ACACTAGTGATCTCGATGAGGACAGGAAGCCGGCGGCTTGTCGAAGGTCCCCCCCCCCCTCTTTGCCTTGATGATCTTTTCCAGCTGTACTGTACTTTATATGTTAACAGAGTTTTGGCATTTACGGCTTCGGCGGGTAAGCGGTTCCATGGGCCTATAACCGTGTGGGTGAAGAAGCATCTTCTGTTCTCAGTCCTACGCTGTGGCTTGTTGAGCTTGAAACTGATGCTCCATGTTTGTGTTACATCTGATCTTCTGAAAAAATTTTCCGGATAAACATCCTCCAATTTGTTCAGTATTTTATAAATTTCAATGAAGTCCGCTCTGTCATACCTGGTTTGCTGTGTTGTTAGCCCTGTGGCTCGTGTTGAGGCATTCGGGGCATATATCCAGGCATACTCCCTATGCAAAGAGGCATATACCCGTATTGAGGCATTACCTCTGCGGCAGTACCTTGGAACGATTAGATGTAAGCTTCACAGCAAGTATACAATACACGGAAACAGAAATGCTAGTCTAAATTAATAAAATATTCTCAAATACAAAATACAAAGAATACAAAAGTATTTCGATGCGTCTCTATGCAAGAAGCTTGCGACCATAATTGTGCAGGAGACACTTACCTTGTGGCTGGGGTCTGGGGGTCGTCTGGGTCGTGGAGCCGGAGGCAGGTTCCTTCACCCGCTTCCTGACGAACCCTGCTCTGCTAAACTTAATTCGATTTCGATGGGAATGCAGCGTGTTGTTGTCGGTTGCACTCAGCAAGGGAGGCTTGTGCAGAACTCTCAGGCCGTCGGCAGTTTCTGTTGTAGTATTGCATATATCATCTTCGTAATAGGTATGTGCAACATGAGATACGACAGGACTACATCGAAGACTAGTACTCATGCCACTGCTATCTCCTAATGTAATACCATCGGCAGAATTTTTATTGAAATCTAATCTGTAATCTTCATTCTGGAATGGGTGTCGGTTCTCCTCTTCAGTTTGTCTAGTGACCGTTTCATCTGACTTCTTAAGTTCCTGGCTATCCTGAAATATGCGAGCCAGAGCCTCTTGGGGAGTGAATTGCCTGGTGTCCAGGAGCGTTCGGCGGGTCGCAGTGGTGAGGGAGGTCACAGACGAGACTGTCTTGCTCGAGTGTCTACTCCTGGGAGGCTTGGCTGGCGGGGCTAAACGACCGGCTTTAGTTCTCCGTTCATTATGTTGTCGAAATTTTACTCGATACTCGATATTATCAACCAGTTTGCTATTTCTCAGTGCTGTGGCATCCTTGTCGTTCATGTCAATATCATGCGAGTCGTTGCCGCTGGTAACGGTCTCTGCTGATGTTACAGCACCGGCTGCAGAATTTGTAGTGCTTCTGAGACGAGTCCCTGAATTTGTACTTTGAGAGGCTCCGTCAATTTCTGGATGTCCGTTTCCCGTGGGATCCTCAGATGGCGGGTGGCTTGCTGATAACGTTTCCAGAGAGGATTTCTTTAGAATTCTTTCATAAGGTTGTGTTGAATACTGATCGCAATTCCTGAGGAGAGGTATTCTCAAATTTAATGAACCATCTTCTTTTTGTGTTTGTTCATTTATTTCATTATCTTCATTTTGTGTCACTTCGTGTACTACTGTTTCATCATTCAACGAATTGATGTTAGTTATTGTGTCGTCATTCGGCCCCTTTCTGAGCGCCTCCGATGTGTCATTGAATGTTTTAACACGCGCCAATATCTGTTGCATCAATAACTTTTTTAGTGTCTTAGTTCTAGCAATGACCGACCTCGTTAGTGTAGAGGTCTCGTTACCCGGGTGTTGCTCGAGTGTTGAGGCCTCGTTACCCGGGTGTTGCTCGAGTGTTGAGGCCTCGTTACCCGGGTGTTGCTCGAGTGTTGAGGCCTCGTTACCCGGGTGTTGCTCGAGTGTTGAGGCCTCGTCACCCTGTACATTTCTACAAGGCGATTGAACGTCTTCAGCGGCAAAACTCTTCAGGGTGAAGAGAGTGTCCCCAGCCGTATCAGGAGGATTCTCGTTGTCGGCAGAGGAGTCGCTTTCTAAAGTGCCGCCGCTGAAGTCCAGAAGTAGGTGGTACTTAGTCTTGTCATCCCCCTGGCACTCTACCTCAGCAGTGGCACTAACGGTGGGGACGGAGAGGGGAAGATGTCCCGACGAAAACGACGCCAGACTTTGAACATTAGTACTGAAATAAAGTAAGAAGAATTAATATTTATCTAAAAGATGGATAACCCAAAACACACGAGAGAAGCGGTCAATATTACTCACAGAGGATACAATGATAAGACTTAAGTTATTCAAAGGCTGCAACACCGCAACATGCTGCGAGTTCTTGATGCAACAGCAGCATAACTCCAGCAGACGATGATGCACTAGATCAAGCAGTCAAGGCCAACACCCTCTCTGGTATAAGCACTTTTATCACGTGTAAGCGGACTCTAATGAACATTTAAAGTGTTGCTATATGCAGTATATAACTGTGTGATGGTGGACACGCTGGTGCGCGGGACTCTCCCCCTTCCCTTCTTCTCTTTCTCTCCTCTCTCTCTTCCTGCTTATCTCTCTCCCTTCTCTGTCTCACCTCTTCCTCGCAGAGGGTCTCTATAGATTCCGATATTTCTTAAGGGGCTGTACTTGGGCCGACACTGGCTGGCCTATGACTCTCGTGTCCCAACCCGTTCTCTTAATAGAGCGTCGCATTTTGACGCTTACTTTACCTAAGGAAAAAAATCGTCGCACTAGAAAATGGTAGCAGCTATATATATATATATATATATATATATATATATATATATATATATATATATATATATATATATATATATATATATATATATATATATATATATATATATATATATATATGACAATGTCAGACCACGGAGGAAAAATGAAACAGGAAATTTCCTTAAGTACTTTCGTATATTAAATACATCTTCAGAAGGTGAAGATGAATATGAAGATGTATTTAATATACGAAAGTACTTAAGGAAATTTCCTGTTTCATTTTTCCTCCGTGGTCTGACATTGTCACATTCTTAATCACGTGTTTATTTTCGTGATATACACACATATATATATATATATATATATATATATATATATATATATATATATATATATATATATATATATATATATGTCGTACCTAGTAGCCAGAACGCACTTCTCTGCCTACTATGCAAGGCCCGATTTGCCTAATAAGCCAAGTTTTCATGAATTAATTGTTTTTCGACTACCTAACCTACCTAACCTAACCTAACCTAACTTTTTCGGCTACCTAACCAAACCTAACCTATAAAGATAGGTTAGGTTAGGTTAGGTAGGGTTGGTTAGGTTCGGTCATATATCTACGTTAATTTAACTCCAATAAAAAAATATTGACCTCATACATAATGAAATGGGTAGCTTTATCATTTCATAAGAAAAAAATTAGAAAAAAATATATTAATTCAGGAAAACTTGGCTTATTAGGCAAATCGGGCCTTGCATAGTAGGCCAAAAAGTGAGTTCTGGCTACTAGGTACGACATATATATATATATATATATATATATATATATATATATATATATATATATATATATTTCTCTATAGACATATATTATTAAATATGACCGAAAAAGTAAGATTAATAATTCTAACACGAATTTTCTCAATCTTTCGTACATTACGCTTCACTGTTGGAGGTAAATCAAAAATCACTTCTCCAAAATTCATTTTTATTTCTAGTCTGACGCGACACGGGCGCGTTTCGTAAAACTTATTACATTTTCAAAGACTTCCGGAGTCTTGAGGTGGGTAGAATATAGTTGTGACTACACAACTATATTCTACCCACCTCAAGACTCCGCTCCAATATAGAAGCATCAAGAAATATGGACCAATAGGCTTTCTACAAACACTTCTATTCAATACCCATTGTTTCTGTTCTGTCTTGTGTTGATACTTTTAATACCCTATTAATACCCCTATTGTTCTGTCTTGTGTTAATGCCACATCACCCTTCCCACCTCACTCAAATGTAGATATAAAATCAGAGAAACGCAAGTTCTAATCAGTTGTGTATTTGTGAAGTCTTTGAAAATGTAATAAGTTTTACGAAACGCGCCCGTGTCGCGTCAGACTAGAAATAAAAATGAATTTTGGAGAAGTGATTTTTGATTTACCTCCAACAGTGAAGCGTAATGTACGAAAGATTGAGAAAATTCGTGTTAGAATTATTAATCTTACTTTTTCGGTCATATTTAATAATATATGTCTACAGGAAAGACTGCTACCAAAATATACTAATATATTTCTCTCTCTCTCTATATATATATATATATATATATATATATATATATATATATATATATATATATATTTCTCATATATATTTATATATAAATATATATATATATATATATATTTCTCTATATATATATATATATTTCTCATATATATTTATATATAAATATATATATATATATATATATATATATATATATATATATATATATATATATATATATATATATATATATATATTTTTACGGGAATTTTCTCAAATATAAATAATTATATATATTTATTTATTTATATATTTTGGTCTTCAGTTATGGAGAGGTGTGTAAGCAGGTATCTTCCAGTTTTGTGCATTAAAATAAGTTTACTTGCTTATATATATATGTTTACAAAACAAAACTCTTTTGTTAGAACAGCATTTAGCATATATGTCCCACAGTCAAGACTGGATGGAAGAGGAACGGGAGTGATGGACACACCCAGTCAGTGATGTCCGGACTCTAGGTAACTTACCTCCTGCTGGTCATGACTTCGTCATCTTCTGGGACCTGTTTTCTGACATCTTGGACTAGTTTGTTCTCTTCTCTTTCTTCGTTGGTTATACTCCCTCGCTCTATTTCTGCGTCTCCCTCCACACTTGTCGTTCTCTCCGCACCGCTTTCTCGCTCGTTTTTCCTGCCCACTGCGTCATCATCCGAGAGCTGAGCATAACCGTTACCATCACTATTACCGTCGCCATCATCACCACCAACACCACCATCTCCATCAAAGGGTCCAGCAAGAACGACTTCTTGGCGTTCTTTCTCAACACAGTGTTCCTCGCCCAACAGGAATGGTGAAGGCGAGGTCGTCGATGGTGCCTCCGAGCTCTCGTCCAAGCTACAGCAAGACAAAAGTAGTGAGGCGAGAGGTTCCCCCTCCCACGTGTAATGCAAGACAACTAAGATAAAGTGGGCATATACCTACATAACCCGTCCTCGACTTAAGTCCATTACATCCAGCGGTCGACCCCACAGATGCATTCATACATTTTAACATGCTGCTCATTCAAAACGGGAATTTTCTCAAATATAAATAAATATTATAATATATTAGCACATTGTGCATATATAGACATAGGTTAGGTTAGGTGTTTAGGTTCTGTTGGCGATTATTTGTATTTGTAGTACGTGGGTGAAGCATTTACAGCGTTGTGGTTCTAACAAAATTCGTCAGTGAACCGTTTGTTCCGGAAATGTTCGAACGTCACCAGTTGTGAGTCGTGTGTAAACCGTTTTTCATGCATAAACATGGGGTTTGGCGGGCGCATGGAATGGACTTTGGCCTTTGTCTATGAGGACAAAGGACGTCCTCCAAACAAAGACCCAAAATCCACTCCATGCACACACCAAACCCCCCATGTTTATGAATTAAAAACGTTAAAATTGTTAACGTTTTTAACATTATGAATGTTAAAATTGATGAATGCGTCTTTGGGGTCGACCACTGGATGGAATGGACTTGGTCCGAGGACGGGTTGGCATTTAGAGAGGTGGGATTCGAACACAGGAAGTAAACAAAACACGGTTCGAGAAAAGTTCAAACTTCAGCAGTTGTGAGTCGTGCAGCCTGTACAGTACGTCCGTCCTCAGGACGGGCTGCTGGCCTTATAAACAAAGGCCAAATATTCATGCAGCAGCCAACCCCTCCTCCCCCTATCCTGTTTATAATGAAAAACGCTTTACACACAACTCACAACTGATGACATTCCAACATTTCTCGAACAGTGCTTCGCTGACGACCTCCTTTCAAGTGGCAGCTCTGTAAATGCTTCTCACACGTACTACAAATACAAATAATTGCCAACAGCATCCAAACACCTTACACTTAACCTACACCTAAATATTCACAATATGCTAAAATATAATAATATTAATTTATACTTGAGAAAATATCTATTTTGTATGAACAGTGTTAAAATTGATGCTTGTATCTTTGGGGCTCGGCGCTGGATGGAATGAACACAACCTGACGACGGGTTGGAGTCGTGTGCAAAGTGTCTTTCAGTCATAAACAGGAAGTTATACCAAACCTGCAAAAGCCACTTGTAGAAGTGGAGCTGGGTCCGTCACAACCATCAAGTTGATTTTGATTCAATGGGAAGAAAGTGTCAAGTAGACTGTCCCGGACGACGCTCTGGGCTAACCTAGACAGCATGGGGGAGAAAACAATTAGGACACGGATAAGGTAGGACTATCTCGGAACCATTAATAAACAGTGTGGCTGTTATTGTATGTGACCCGCCACACCACAGCGTCACTGCCATTCCCGCAGTGATGTCAAAATTGTTTATGCTGTGTAAACACTCGTCTGACTACAGAATGTTGAGCACGTCAGTGATGACAGAATCATAGTGATTAAATATAATGAGCAAACAGAAATTAAAATATCTGTAATATGTTTACATTATCTGACTTACGACAATTTAGATTTGACTCTGCTACTAAGTATTTTAGAGGTTAAAAAGTATAGAGTGGGCACAACAGTCGTGTTACAGTGAAATTACTGCACATGCTGTATACCTTCCTCTGCTTGTGGCATATTGTGGGATCTGTGTCCATGTTTCCATAGATATTTCCCTTCACGCTGAAGCTTGCACATAATAAAAGTAGCTCATGATGACTCTTCTTAGCTCCTCTGCAAATAAATGTGCAAAACTAACTCTTCCCCCCCCCATCCTCTGTAACACACATCCGCTCTGACTGCTCATCGTCAACACGCACGGTGACTGTATGTCTTTCGTGAAGAAAAAATCCATTGGTGCCACTGTTATAAAACAAACAAAAAAGCATAGGTTCGCATAACTATTCTTCGCGTAAAGGAATTCTTCCTGTACTCGAGGAAGTGATGTGTATTCTTCCTACCCTCGACTAAATTTAATTGGCAGTTGTTGACATAAGAGCAGCGTAAATAATTATAGCCCATTTCCATGACACTAAACGGTGAAGAGTATGTGGTACAACTACACAGAAGTAAAGGTGCACAGAACAAGGGGATACAGAACAAAAGTACTCTGTCGCACTAATCTCTATGCTTATCAGGAAGACGAGTATTTTATCTTTTTCTTAGTTACATATGTGAATAAAAATTATCGTGACCAATAAACCAAATGTATCGCAACAGAGATCATTCTGGGTAAATAGTCAGAGCTAAGCAGTAACCAACCCATTTTTCTTAGGCAGTTCCATGGCCATCCCAACCACATGTGAATCTGCTTATACCTCGCGAACGGTGCAATCAAAACCGGTATCATCTCCGATCTAAATGATTATATAATATACTTTGTACATAATCTTAAGGAAGAGTAAGAGTTTTATGTTCCGTTGGCCATTATTTGTGTTGAGAAATAATAAGTAAAGCATTTTGAAAAGTGCGTTTTGAACACGAGAAGTAAAGGAAGCACTTTCTGAGTATGAGAGAGCTACGTGCGCTGACAACTGCGCCACGTTTCTCAGTGTGTGTATACACTGAGGAGTTTACTTATGTCCTTGATTCTGTTCAGGGGTAAAGTATACTTGCTGGCTGGTCAGTAGAATATTGTAGTGGCTGTAGTAAGCCCAACAAATCATCAAACCAACCGACAAGACCACTACGGGCTCACCATAGCCCGTGCTAATTGCAACTTTTTTTCCCCCCGAGTAGCTGTATCTAAAGCAACATCAAACCAACCTACACAACACAACAGACTATACTATGCTTTGGAGGGGTAGAAATAGCCTAAGCTACTTTATCCCTTTGAGATATTTTTTCTTGTCTCAATAAACGTACTTGAACACTATGCTAGTCTCAGTTTTAACATCAAATTTAAATACAAATAATCACGAACAGACTCTTAACAGAACAGAACACTTAACCAAACGTAGGCCTATGTACATAATGTGTAATAATTTAGATTTAGGAAATACAAATTTCTCACCATATGAAGAAATAATTATTATGTTCCTCTCGGGGATGGTCACAGCGTGGCATGAGGATGGATAGCGTAGGATAGGAGAGATTAAAGAGCGGAAATGATGCATAAATAATACAAAAGGTTAAGGATAAGAGCAGAGAGTAACCATTGGGTTGTTTGGGAGACATCTCCCGTCACGCAGGGTGCAGTTGCACCTCCACAGATCTCCAGTATCATCTATCGATATTGGTAATGGCTCAAGAGGGCCACCACTTACGGGCTATTCATGCCTGCCACTTTTGAGTGGCTTAATCTTTATCAATCAATCAATCAATCATTGGGTTGTTGACTTACCGTACTCTGGTGGGCCTGTGGGTCCTCTTGGGTCTGGGGCGGGCCTTGCACGGGTACCCCAGCGACGGACCTGCTGAACACGTCTACGTTAAAGGTGCCTTAAGTTCAAGTATGTTTATTGAGACAAGAAAAAAAAATACATCTCAGTGGGATAGAGTAGCTTAGGCTATTTTTACCCCCCCATAGGTGCCTTAATGCTCGAAGAAAACAACCTTCAGTTATCTATTAACTAATGATACTATGAAACAATTTCCTAAACAGTTCACCCATTAAACAACTCCTAAGCATAGTGGTCTAAGTGCTCGACTTACAATCGAGACACCAGAGTTCAATCCTCGGATAGGATAGAAATGGATGGACACCTATCCTTTCAACTTGTGACTTTTTGTTCACCTATCGGTAAAAAGTTACCCGGGAGTTAGGCATCTGTTGTGGGCTGCATTCTTGGGAAAGTCAGTGGTTGACCTTATATAATATATATATATATAATTATATATATATATAATTATATATATATAACAGGAAGTAAACAAAACACGGTTCGAGAAAAGTTCAAACTTCAGCAGTTGTGAGTCGTGCAGCCTGTACAGTACGTCCGTCCTCAGGACGGGCTGCTGGCCTTATAAACAAAGGCCAAATATTCATGCAGCAGCCAACCCCTCCTCCCCCTATCCTGTTTATAATGAAAAACGCTTTACACACAACTCACAACTGATGACATTCCAACATTTCTCGAACAGTGCTTCGCTGACGACCTCCTTTCAAGTGGCAGCTCTGTAAATGCTTCTCACACGTACTACAAATACAAATAATTGCCAACAGCATCCAAACACCTTACACTTAACCTACACCTAAATATTCACAATATGCTAAAATATAATAATATTAATTTATACTTGAGAAAATATCTATTTTGTATGAACAGTGTTAAAATTGATGCTTGTATCTTTGGGGCTCGGCGCTGGATGGAATGAACACAACCTGACGACGGGTTGGAGTCGTGTGCAAAGTGTCTTTCAGTCATAAACAGGAAGTTATACCAAACCTGCAAAAGCCACTTGTAGAAGTGGAGCTGGGTCCGTCACAACCATCAAGTTGATTTTGATTCAATGGGAAGAAAGTGTCAAGTAGACTGTCCCGGACGACGCTCTGGGCTAACCTAGACAGCATGGGGGAGAAAACAATTAGGACACGGATAAGGTAGGACTATCTCGGAACCATTAATAAACAGTGTGGCTGTTATTGTATGTGACCCGCCACACCACAGCGTCACTGCCATTCCCGCAGTGATGTCAAAATTGTTTATGCTGTGTAAACACTCGTCTGACTACAGAATGTTGAGCACGTCAGTGATGACAGAATCATAGTGATTAAATATAATGAGCAAACAGAAATTAAAATATCTGTAATATGTTTACATTATCTGACTTACGACAATTTAGATTTGACTCTGCTACTAAGTATTTTAGAGGTTAAAAAGTATAGAGTGGGCACAACAGTCGTGTTACAGTGAAATTACTGCACATGCTGTATACCTTCCTCTGCTTGTGGCATATTGTGGGATCTGTGTCCATGTTTCCATAGATATTTCCCTTCACGCTGAAGCTTGCACATAATAAAAGTAGCTCATGATGACTCTTCTTAGCTCCTCTGCAAATAAATGTGCAAAACTAACTCTTCCCCCCCCCCATCCTCTGTAACACACATCCGCTCTGACTGCTCATCGTCAACACGCACGGTGACTGTATGTCTTTCGTGAAGAAAAAATCCATTGGTGCCACTGTTATAAAACAAACAAAAAAGCATAGGTTCGCATAACTATTCTTCGCGTAAAGGAATTCTTCCTGTACTCGAGGAAGTGATGTGTATTCTTCCTACCCTCGACTAAATTTAATTGGCAGTTGTTGACATAAGAGCAGCGTAAATAATTATAGCCCATTTCCATGACACTAAACGGTGAAGAGTATGTGGTACAACTACACAGAAGTAAAGGTGCACAGAACAAGGGGATACAGAACAAAAGTACTCTGTCGCACTAATCTCTATGCTTATTCAGGAAGACGAGTATTTTATCTTTTTCTTAGTTACATATGTGAATAAAAATTATCGTGACCAATAAACCAAATGTATCGCAACAGAGATCATTCTGGGTAAATAGTCAGAGCTAAGCAGTAACCAACCCATTTTTCTTAGGCAGTTCCATGGCCATCCCAACACATGTGAATCTGCTTATACCTCGCGAACGGTGCAATCAAAACCGGTATCATCTCCGATCTAAATGATTATATAATATACTTTGTACATAATCTTAAGGAAGAGTAAGAGTTTTATGTTCCGTTGGCCATTATTTGTGTTGAGAAATAATAAGTAAAGCATTTTGAAAAGTGCGTTTTGAACACGAGAAGTAAAGGAAGCACTTTCTGAGTATGAGAGAGCTACGTGCGCTGACAACTGCGCCACGTTTCTCAGTGTGTGTATACACTGAGGAGTTTACTTATGTCCTTGATTCTGTTCAGGGGTAAAGTATACTTGCTGGCTGGTCAGTAGAATATTGTAGTGGCTGTAGTAAGCCCAACAAATCATCAAACCAACCGACAAGACCACTACGGGCTCACCATAGCCCGTGCTAATTGCAACTTTTTTTCCCCCCGAGTAGCTGTATCTAAAGCAACATCAAACCAACCTACACAACACAACAGACTATACTATGCTTTGGAGGGGTAGAAATAGCCTAAGCTACTTTATCCCTTTGAGATATTTTTTCTTGTCTCAATAAACGTACTTGAACACTATGCTAGTCTCAGTTTTAACATCAAATTTAAATACAAATAATCACGAACAGACTCTTAACAGAACAGAACACTTAACCAAACGTAGGCCTATGTACATAATGTGTAATAATTTAGATTTAGGAAATACAAATTTCTCACCATATGAAGAAATAATTATTATGTTCCTCTCGGGGATGGTCACAGCGTGGCATGAGGATGGATAGCGTAGGATAGGAGAGATTAAAGAGCGGAAATGATGCATAAATAATACAAAAGGTTAAGGATAAGAGCAGAGAGTAACCATTGGGTTGTTTGGGAGACATCTCCCGTCACGCAGGGTGCAGTTGCACCTCCACAGATCTCCAGTATCATCTATCGATATTGGTAATGGCTCAAGAGGGCCACCACTTACGGGCTATTCATGCCTGCCACTTTTGAGTGGCTTAATCTTTATCAATCAATCAATCAATCATTGGGTTGTTGACTTACCGTACTCTGGTGGGCCTGTGGGTCCTCTTGGGTCTGGGGCGGGCCTTGCACGGGTACCCCAGCGACGGACCTGCTGAACACGTCTACGTTAAAGGTGCCTTAAGTTCAAGTATGTTTATTGAGACAAGAAAAAAAATACATCTCAGTGGGATAGAGTAGCTTAGGCTATTTTTACCCCCCCATAGGTGCCTTAATGCTCGAAGAAAACAACCTTCAGTTATCTATTAACTAATGATACTATGAAACAATTTCCTAAACAGTTCACCCATTAAACAACTCCTAAGCATAGTGGTCTAAGTGCTCGACTTACAATCGAGACACCAGAGTTCAATCCTCGGATAGGATAGAAATGGATGGACACCTATCCTTTCAACTTGTGACTTTTTGTTCACCTATCGGTAAAAAGTTACCCGGGAGTTAGGCATCTGTTGTGGGCTGCATTCTTGGGAAAGTCAGTGGTTGACCTTATATAATATATATATATATAATTATATATATATATAATATATATATAATTATATATATAATATATATATAATTATATATATATAATTATATATATATAATTGACCTTATATAATATATATATATATAATTATATATATATATAATTATATATATATAATTATATATAATATATATATATATATATATATATATATATATATATATATATATATATATATATATATATATATATATATATATATATATATATATTATATATATATATATATATATATATATATATATATATATATATATATATATATATATATATATATATATATATATATATATATATATATATATATATATATATTTATATATATATATATATATATTCTTGCCACGTTGTGGTGGGATAACGCCTCGTGCCAAGCCTTCTCTGGTTACAAGAGATAAGATAGACTAAGAGTGATACCCCTAGGGATGAGCTCCGTGGCTCTGTCAGTTACAGTTATCTGTCAAGATGTATTCTTTAGCCAAACTTGCCAAATACTAATAAGTCTCAAGAGAAACAAAACAATTATGTTTGCTGAAGACAAAACTTGTATATATATTAGACAAATAAAGCTTACAATGACGCGGCACTAAACTGGGCTGGGTTTGCCTTCCTATAAGATAAACAAAGCCGTGTGTGAGGTGCTTTAGTGTTAATAATCAGAGTGAAATGATGTACTAAATTACCCGAATCTAGGCTAATGCTGCCTCCTCTAACCGAGAACCCACGAATAGAAAACGGGACAGGACGTCAATATTGCGAGCCGGAATGATTATTTGGACGTCGGGGGCTTCTGACGTTGGAGGCTTTTGACGTTGGGGGCTTTTGACGTTGGGGGCTTTTGACGTTGGGGGCTTTTGACGTTGGGGGCTTTTGACGTTGGGGGCTTTTGACGTCGGGGGCTTTTGACGTCGGGGGATTTTGACGTTGGGGGATTTTGACGTTGGGGCTTCTGACGTTGGGGGCTTTTGACGTTGGAGGCTTTTGACGTTGGGGGCTTTTGACGTTGGGGGCTTTTGACGTTGGGGGCTTTTGACGTTGGGGCTTCTGACGTTGGGGGCTTTTGACGTTGGAGGCTTTTGACGTTGGGGGCTTTTGACGTTGGGGGCTTTTGACGTTGGGGGCTTTTGGCGTTGGAGGCTTTTGACGTTGGGGGCTTTTGACGTTGGGGCTTCTGACGTTGGGGGCTTTTGACGTTGGAGGCTTTTGACGTTGGGGGCTTTTGACGTCGGGGGCTTTTGACGTTGGGGGCTTTTGACGTTGGAGGCTTTTGACGTTGGGGGCTTTTGACGTTGGAGGCTTTTGACGTCAAAATACGCGTTATTCGAGAGCTAGCTGAACGGCACACTATATGTCTTCCGATCAAAATAATCCAGAATGTGAGCTACGTTACACAAACCGATGGATATATTGTTCATGCAATTATTTTAATTTTATTGAATACTTAAGTGGCTCCGCCATGGTGCCTTCATGCAACATCTCCAACATCATGTTGCTGCATGATGTCGCATGCAGCAACATCAACAGCATTAGCCAGCAGCATTAATATCAGTCAGGGAAGTAGGAAGAACTCCCAGAACCCCGTCAAGCAAGTATGAAAATAACATAGGATTAAGGACTTGTCCCAAACGCTACGCGTACTGGTGGCTGTACAAGAATGTAAGAACTCTTATATATATATATATATATATATATATATATATATATATATATATATATATATATATATATATATATATATATATATATATATAATAATAAAAAAAAAGTCCCCCCCCCCACCCCACCAGAGCAGACATGTCGGTTTAGGGCCTGCAGCACACGACGTGCAGGATGTGCACACACACGCACACACACACACACACACACACACACACACACACACACACACACACACACACACACACACACACACACACACACACACACACAGGGGGCGTACTGTGCTCCTCGGGGCACGTACACAAGGCATGTGATTTACGGAAATACACGCGCAAGACGTCCTATCAACCCGCACTTTGAGCACGTTTCAATAATAGTAACATTGTGCACGTGAATTGAATTTAAATGATGGATATAACAAAACACTTTGTTTCACTTTGATGATAGCCTGCGGAGGTGGTTGTTACTGATCATGTTGTTGTTGCATGATGTTGCATGCAGCAACAGCAGCCAGCAGCAGCAACAACAGCAGCCAGCAGCAGCAACAACAGCAGCCAGCAGCAACAGCAGCATTAGCCAGCAGCAACAGCAGCATTAGCCAGCAGCAACAGCAGCATTAGCCAGCAGCAACAGCAGCATTATTAGCCATCAGCAGCAGCAGCAGTATTAGCTATCAACATCAGCATGGGCCAGCAACAACAACAACAACAGCACCAGTACGAGACGGCATCACCAAACCCAGCAGACAGCAACGGCAGCAGACAAACGCATTAGCAACAACAGAAACTGCAAGAAAAGTTGAAGTAACAACAGTAGACCGAGTCTGCATCAACATAAAGAGCTGTACAGGACAGCAGCAGCAGCAGCACCGGAAGTAGCAGTTAGAGAGATGACACAAGCGGGTACAGAGACACCAACAGCTGAAGGAAACGAGAAGGTCTATAGAGCGCCAGCTGGGAGCAACAACAGAAGCAGGACACGACAACATTAAACTCGTGACCGCGGCGGCAGGAGCTGGAGACATCGACAAGTATGTGCTAGCAAACACAGGAAGAACTAAAGGTTACAACAGCTGAAGTCATCGACAATACTGTGGACGGAAACCAAGCGTCCAAATGAGTCATAATATCTGAAAAACTCTTCAAGGATTAAGTGTGACCTGCCCTCTTTCCCTGCCCTCTCCTCTCCTGTTAATTATGATACAGGTATTCCTAATATTATTAATTCTGATTAGAGCAAAACTTGTCTCTTGCCACATGTTGATTGTTTAAATTCCAAACTGAGTTAATCAAACAAAAATTAAACTTTGACGATGCTAAAAAGTGAAAACACCACTGCTATATGGGTTCAATTGGTGAGTCTTTGACAGAATGAGACGCATCGCATCTTCGTCTTCTGATCGATGTTGACTGTCTTGATGGCAATACTTAATGAAAATCCTCGCAAAGGAATGTAGTAGCAAGCGGAATCAGGGCTTTCATACCAGTCATCGCCAGATGAGAGTTTGATTGTGTCAAACACGACCACGATTCTCCGTGACTTTTTGGTCTGAATTCGTGACATAATTTGTTTTGAGCTCAACTCAGCAAAGTCGTCTCTAGCAAGGTGTGCGTTACCGGCGCTGGACCTGCTTCACAGGTCAGAGTGGAAAGGATTGTGAATCCAAGCTTAAATTTTAACACCTGAGGTAAAGGAGATGAGACAAGTGAAAGCTGAGCAGACTGCATACTATTTTAAATTCCTCGACAGCTTTTGTGAATCTTGCAAGAGGTTCCTGTGTAAGCAAAACTGCCAAGCTTAACCTTAACTTTTCAATCATCGCATCATAACCGAGAGGAAGGAAGGAAGAAATGTATTTCTTCCATATTAGGAAACTTTCGATACCACCCACACACACCCTGTACGGAATTTCCAAAGTCTGTACGGTCTTCCAGGTCTTGAGCCCGATTCCAGGTCTTGGGAACCTGGAATGGGTCTTATGTGGAGCGCCTAAACTTTCTCACCACTCGCACTTTCACAGTGTCTTGATCCACTGAGTGCTTATCCTTGGCAGGAGCTTTATGATGATGTTTTTGGAATAAGAAGGAAGTATTTCTGCAGTGTAAGGACAGTAAGTGAAATTAGGGAAACATTAGAGACTTCTTCCATCTTTAGTTTTAAAAGCAGGTCTCACAAATAATGAAGAGGTCGAGAGTCATTAATTGTATTAACTGGCAGTGGGAGAAGTGGGGCCCAAGGACTGAAGATCAATCCTGCAAACACTGTTAGGTATGTTAGATAAGAACTGTGTGTACACAATCTAACATGTGTATATAAGAAAACTGTCACACATTCACATATGTGTATACGTGAATGTATGCATGCACATGCATATGTTATGTACTTACGACGATACCTGATATTGCTGGCTTAAGACATTTAAAGCTAAAATTCAAACCATGAGTTTAGTGTGTGAGGTAAGCTATTTTCAGCAGTGTTATTGCTCACGGAGATGGTATATGTTGGTTGTTTCTGTGTTATGCAGCTTATAATTTAAATGATGAAAGCATAACACGAAATATACACATAAATCACAATAGGGTAACATATCAAATGATATATCAAGGGCCGTGATATATCACGGCCCTTGTGGATTTGTTCATAACACGAAAGTTGGTAACCTATTTTTAATCCAGCCGGAGTAAAGTTAAAAGTTCTGCTTCCTCCCTCTCCTCCCATCCCTCCCAGTATCTTTTTTTCTTCTAGTTGTCTTTATCTGGCTCTGTTTTCTTGTCTGCGAGTCTATGTCTGGGGAAAGAGCGCCAGATGGAAGGTGGCTGACGGGGGACTTAGAAAAGTGAGAGGGATTCTTGTCCAAAACGGATGCACTAATGTGGAAAAAAGTCGCCAGAAGGAGAGTTTAGAGCCACACAGCCACCGATGAAGTCTGCACAAACTAAACCTGTCCCCCCAAATTCAAGTACTTTTATTGAGACAATAAAATACATCTCAGAGGGATAGAGTAGCTTAGGCTATTTCTACCCTCCTCTGTCCCACCTACTTTGTTTACGACTCGCAAGGCTAAGAAAAAAAGTCTTGAAGGACATAACTGGCAGGAAAATAACTAGGACCAATCTGAATTGAAGACACTGCTCACTATTTACTGCACGACCACCTGGACCGACAACCACAACAGACAGACAACCAGACCGACAACCAGAGCAGACCGACAACCACAACAGACAGACAACCAGAGCGCAACTCCATATTCTTCTGAGACTGATGGATGCCAACTACTACCTTGACCCTTCGTCTATGCATGGGTCTTGTTGTGCAGTAGTCTGCGCAGTCTGACCACAAACCTAAGGTTCCGGATTCGATTCCTGCGGCATGACAGAAACGTTTGGACATGTTTCCATCTATCTGGTGCCTGTGTTCACCTAGCAGTAAATAGGTACCAGGGAGTTAGGCAACTGTTGTACTGACTTGCATCCGGGGGAAGGTGACGTTGGCCTAGCGTAGGGTGACCTTGGCAAGCCAAGCAAGGTTCTTGAGGCCGACCCCGGGATAACCAGGAGGAGCTTCCCCGACACTGCCCAGAAAACTTTAGTGAGACGAATGTTCACTATGTCAGTCAATGGTTAAAATTATCTAAGGGCAAGAAGATCTTGAATTCGAAAATACTTAATTATCAAAGTAACGAACAAAGTTTGTTTAAATATTAGCAAACAATTTCAATCAAAATAATGTGATATTTACGCTATATGCATATATATATATATATATTTGTACGCTATGTATGGAAAAATCATGTAAATGTTTTACCAATTGTCGGGAATGGGACGCCTGTTAGGCTTATCGAGATTACCATTGACCTTCCTCAGGATGCAAGCCACAACAGTTGCCTAACTCCCAGGTACCTATTTACTGCTAGGCGAACATACTGCTAGGCATTAGGTGAAAGGAAACGTGTCGAACCCTTGACTTGTTGGTTGTGAACGGACTCTACTAACTACAAGACTATTAAGTGTTTTGGTAGGAAAAAAGCATTGAAAATGTACACGTTCAGGACTAATTCTTTTTATTTTTTTATTTATATATACAAGAGTTTGTACAATCTTGTAAAGCCACTAGCACGCATAGCGTTTAGGGTATTTCTTGTATTTCTTGTATTTCTATTTCGATGGGCAGGTCCTTAATCCTAATTTCCCCGGAATACGACCCGCCAAATCGTTTAACAACCAGGTACCCATTCTCTGTTGGGTGAGCAGAGGCTACAGTTAAGGATTGGCGCCCAGTCAATCCTCCCCGGGCCAGGATACGAACCCCAGACCAAAGTGCTTGCGAAACGCCGGGCGAGTGTTTTACCACTGCGCCACGGGGACTGCAATACACACTGGTTCCCGGTAGGTTCCGTTCTTGGTAGTACAGTTGGGTTCGTTCTCGACGCACAATCAAGAATTCCGGGTTCGCATCCCGGGCGGGACAGATATGGTTGGGCACATTTCCTTTCACCTATGCCTCTGTTTACCTAGCAGTGACTAGGTATTCAGGAGTTAGTCAGCTTATTGTGGGGTAGCATCCTGGGCGGGGTCAGTAATTCCTCCCTGGGAGTTATACTTGATTGGTATCTAGAAAGGTTACGCGAGATTAGTGTAGGTGCATACGCTTAATTTTTTTTTATACAAGAGTTCTTACATTCTTGTACAGCCACAGCACGCATAGCGTTTCGGGCAAGCTTGGCACAAGCCTTCAAGTTAGGTATTTGTCAGCTGCGTGAGAAGGTACACAACCAGCTGTACTCGCCTAGTTGTGTTTGCGGAGAATGAACTACGGCTCTTGGGGTCCGGCTCTCGGCGTTTGAGGGGCTAGGACAATCCGTAGTCTCAGGGCGTCAATCAGGTATATCCACAGCACGAAAACACGCCACGAAGAATTCGTTTGGCAGGAGAGTTGGATTATAAAGCAACAGGCGCTAGATATCCGCGTGGTCACTGTTAGGTATTCACACAAGCCAATAGTAGGGTTATGTACTTACTGTGTGTGTTGTTCATTAGGCGTGATCCTGGCGTTGTTCACTCCTCCCGCCAGCCTTCTTCAGCTCTCCGCTGCTCGCACCTCATACCTCACCACTTTCTCAAATTAGTTAAATTCTGCTCTCGTTTAGAAGTAATAATAATAGGTTTATATAACACACAGTGCCACTGAGCACCCTAGTAAGACTGATCTTGGACCGTATGCAGTAATTGGTATCTTAGTGAGGATGGTGTGTGAGGGCATGTGGAGGTAGGGGAGCGGAGTGCGTGCGTGTGAGTGATTGCGTGTGTGGTGTATGTTAGCGGCTGGCGGCTCATGCAGCACCGCTCTCTCTGCAGCTCGTCAGGTCACTTATCTACAGTCAGCTGGAATTTTACTCACAGCATCCTCTTGAACTTTTGACGTTTACCATAGCTACGTGTGTTTGTAGTACACAGGAGCATGTGTGTCTAGTTGTACATGCCTATTTGGGCTTGCTGGGGGCTGAGCTCCAGCTCTTGGATCTCAACTTTCAACCTTCAATTGCCTGATCTACAGATTTTTGCAAGAAATGGTTTTGGTTTCTAGTGGTTTTACAAGAATGTTAAATCGACTTAATTTTTATGTTCTCTGTTAACCCCCAATGTATCTTCTCGTATATAAATAAATAAATAAATTTACAAACTTTTTCGGATCTGTCCTATCTGCATTTTCAAACTCAGAATGGAACCAACTAAAACCACTTAACTAAATACATTGTTAATTTTTTACCTGTCCCCTTCTTCATGTACAATCCATGTCAAATTGTTTTTCTTTGTACCGTGGCCTTGAGGTCCCACTGTGTTTACCTTAATTTATCTAGTGGCTTCGACGATGATGGGAAGGCGGTGGATTGTCGAAGATCTCCCCATTTGTCTTGATGATATCCATTTTGGACCTTAAACTGCAGCAGGGTTTTAGCATTTACGGCTTCGGTGGGTAGGCGGTTCCATGGGTTTATAAATCTCTGGGTGAAGAAGGACCTCTGTTTTATGTCCTACATCATGGCTTGCTGAGCTTGACGCTGTTGCTCCTTGTTAGTGTTACATCTGACCTTTTGAAGTAGTTGTCTGGATTAATATCCTCCAAGTTGTTCAATAGTTTAAGTCTCGATTAGATCAGCCCTGTCATGTCTGGTTTGTATTGTTAGTCCTGCGGCCCTCGACCGTTCCCGGTACGGGAGTCGACTTAGTTCATTCATTCATTTATTATGCACCCTATACCCATCCCGTTGGCGGTGGTGGAAAGGGTTACATAGGCACATAATGGGTTCTCCTACTGGACCCTATAGTTCATTTAGCTAAGCAAGTGAGCCTTGTGTTCAGGAATTATTCTTGACGCCCGGTGTTGGACTTTCTCCAAAGCAGATGTCTTTCTGAGTATGAGGTCTCCATGCTTGGATACCATAATCTAAAGGGGGGGGGGGTGGCGCACAGGAGAAGCAAACAGTTGAATAACTACCTTATTTACCCCTGATTTCAAAGTTACGTCAGACTATTCCTAAAATTTGCTTGGCTTCTTTTACTCTCGTTCTATTCTTCTTTACATTCAATCTTCTCTGTGTTTACGTCACGTGACAACTTAATGGGGAAGGGAGAGTTTAGTTAGTTCATTTATTATGCACCCCATACCCATCTTGTGGGCGGTAGTAGAAAGGGTTACAGAGGCACATAATGGGCTCAGGGACTGAACCCCCACAATTCATTTAGCTAAGCAAGTTACAATCTTGATGAGCTAGTTACAAAATTCAGTATAAGTCGTCACATCAACAATGGGTTCGAGATCGACCACAGGTACAGTTTCTAAATTAAGCAACTGACATATGTGGAGAGCTAGTGTCACAATTGATATGTTTGTCCTGCACACCGCCCCCATCCAGTGGACAGCGGTGCAGTAAATATGCCAAGTTGATTGAGGGAAAGAACTGTTCATGCGGTAGGTTGCAGGAGGGAAGGTGCAGCCCATGCAACTTGCACGTGATAGGGAGGTGCAGTACATACCTAATTTACCTGAGGGACAACTAACACTAGAGGCCTCGACGAGGACAATAAGCCGGCAGGTTGTCGAAGGTTCCCTCCATTTGCCTTGAGAATTCTTTCCAGGTGAATTGAAAAACCTAACTGAAAATAAATGCGAACCCGGGTCGAAAGAATGGGAATCTTCCATGATACCACTACACCAGCGGCGCCTTGGTAATTGTGATAGCTTGAAGGAAAGAAGCGTATAGGAAAGGGAGAGGAAAGAAGGGAAGGTTTGGGAAGGAAACGTCAAGCCGCCTGCTATCGCTGTATCTATCGATGATTTCTGTGTTGTTTACTAGGATTTCTCTGGCGATGGTTTGGTTGTGGGAAGAGATTATATGTTCCTTAATGGAGCCCTGTTGCTTATGCATCGTTAAACGCCTAGAAAGAGATGTTGTTGTCTTGACTATATACTGGGTTTTTTGGAGCTCATCGATAGATACAGCGATAGCAGGCGGCTTGACGTTTGCGAGGCACTACACATTAAAAAGTCAACACCAGCAATCAACAGCCAATTAATGTACAACTATATTCTACCCACCTCAAGACTCCGCTCCAATATAGAAGCATCAAGAAATATGGACCAATAGGCTTTCTACAATCACTTCCATTCAATACCCATTGTTTCGTGTTCTGTCTTGTGTTGATGAATTTAATACCCTATTAAATACCACCTCACCCCATCCACCTCACTCAAATGTAGATATAAACAAATCGGAGATGTGTAAGTTCTATTCAGTTGCGTATGTGTAAACTAAAGTCTTTGAAAATGTAATAAGTTTTACGAAACGCGCTCAAGTGCCGCGTCAGACTAGAAATAAAAATGAATTTTGGAGAATTGATTTTTGAATTACCACCAACAGTGAAAAGAAATGTACGAAAGATCGAGAAAATTCGTGTTAAAATTATTAATCGTACTTTTTCGGTCATATTTAATAATATATATATATATATATATATATATATATATATATATATATATATATATATATATAACTGAAAACTCACACCCCAGAAGTGACTCGAACCCATACTGCCAGGAGCAACGCAACTGGTATGTACAGGGACGCCTTAATCCGCTTGACCATCACGACCGGACATAAGGAAGTGATAGTCGAAGCTATTTGAACCACTTCCCCGCCGGCACTCGGATGGTAATCTTGGGCATAGCATTTTATCAAATCACCTCATTCTTTGGGGCACACGTGAGGAACACAAATGCAAACAAGCCTGAATGGTCCCCAGGACTATATACAACTGAAAACTCACACCCCAGAAGTGACTCGAACCCATACTGCCAGGAGCAACGCAACTGGTATGTACAGGGACGCCTTAATCCACTTGACCATCACGACCGGACATAAGGAAGTGATAGCCGAAGCTATTTGAACCACTTCCGCCTTAATCAAGCGGATTAAGGCGTCCCTGTACATACCAGTTGCGTTGCTCCTGGCAGTATGGGTTCGAGTCACTTCTGGGGTGTGAGTTTTCAGTTGTATATAGTCCTGGGGACCATTCAGGCTTGTTTGCATATATATATATATATATATATATATATATATATATATATATATATATATATATATATATATATATATATATATATATTATGTATTATATATATATATATATATATATATATATATATGTCGTACCTAGTAGCCAGAACTCACTTCTCAGCCTACTATTCAAGGCCCGATTTGCCTAATAAGCCAAGTTTTCCTGAATTAATGTATTTATTATAATTTTTTCTTATGAAATGATAAAGCAACCCTTTTCTCTATGTATGAGGTCAATTTTTTTTATTGGAGTTAAAATTAACGTAGATATATGACCGAACCTAACCAACCCTACCTAACCTAACCTAACCTATATTTATAGGTAAGGTTAGGTTAGGTAGCCAAAAAAAGCTAGGTTAGGTTAGGTTAGGTAGGTTAGGTAGACGAAAAAACATTAATTCATGAAAACTTGGCTTATTAGGCAAGTCGGGCCTTGAATAGTAGGCTGAGAAGTGCGTTCTGGCTATTAGGTACGACATATATATATATATATATAATATATATAATATATATATAGCCGTATAATTAGACTTACTGCATTGGACTTTTTGGCGCACATATTGGCAAAAATCATGGTCGTGACTACTTATACTGTACCTGCAAAAGCTTAAGAATTTTCAGGCAAAAATATCATACACAAATTAACCATCAATAATAACTAATAATTAAGATTAGTAAGTTAGGTAACAATTTGTTATATCTGCACCATAGCATTCACAACGGTTAGGCCTACTACAGCTTTCACATAGTGAAATATATCACAAACACCGGTGCAAAATACATGCGTACATTAAATAATATATGTACCCTCGGAGTTAGACGACTGTTGTGGGTTGCATCATGAGTAGGGTCAATCGTTGTCCTGGCGGGACGTCGATCAGCTTAACAGGTTAGCCGTTAAAACCATGGAAAACCATCTCATACCATCCATTATTTTAATTAGTTGGCAACCAGCAGGTATGGTGACGTCAGGATCAGGTTTTCAGCATGACTGGACGTGGGCGGCTGCCTCAGTCTTGGGCAGGTGGTCGGGGGAGACAGACACGGTCCTGGCGCCCTCCCACTTTCTCTCACTCTTTCTTTGTATTGCTGACCTACACTAGAATCCTATTGCCAAATTTTATAAACAAATCTGTCAAGACATTGATGAGGTGTGTTGTGGACGAATCATAATTGGCGAGTCGGTGTGTTATAGACTGTAGCCACTTTCACGAAGCTAAATTGTGTGCGCGAGAAGAAAGTGATTATGTAATATTGGCAGGTTGTGTGTGTGTGATCCTCTTGAGCTACATTATACGAGACACTGCTTATACCAGCTGGAAGCATGGCTGGCCAGCCCTGGACGCCTGTACATTGACAGCTATTAGTTTGCAAAAATTGTGTATGCACATGGCTGTACATGGCAAAATACTGGTACAATTTAAGGTCCAACTCGACAAAATCATCGGGACAAATGGGGGGGGGACTTTTGACAAAACGCCGGCGTCCTGTTCTCGTTGAGGCTACTAGAGAGATTGTGGCCCATAGGTAAATTCAGGTAAAGTGTATTCAGTTATTTAACTTGTATTCAACTTGCGAATATATAATTATTCAAATAAATTGGATAATATAATCTGTATGATAAAAGATAATAAGTTGCAATAAAATCGATAAACTTGACTCACAACACTTACAGTAGGCCTACCCCAACAGCCCTCCATAATACCTGTGGAGAATGTAAGCAGACTTGCTCGCAAGCACCAGCAGCATTTGTTGATGGTGTGGGTGTATCGTATGGGGTGGTGTTGGGTGCTGTGGGCGGTGGTGGGGCTGGGGTGGGCGTGTAGTGTGTGGTTGCAGTTCTCAACGTCAACCGTCCACCACACCCCACAGCCAGCCTCCGTGGTCCTTCAGCGCCCAGCTCCCTCCCACCGTACACACAGTGGACCGGACACGGACCGTACATGCGTGACCAGGAACCCTGATGAAGGCTTTATTCTACACAACACTCGAGTACCTTCACCTAAGCGTAAGGTAAGCATAATTGGAATACATCCGACAATTGCATGCCTGAATTTGCCTGAGGGCCACCATCTCTAGTGACTTCGACGGGAACAGGAAGCCGGCGGCTTTTCAAATGCCCCTTTCCCTTATTTTTCCTGATTTTTATCGAGCTGGAGTTTGAAGTGCAGCAATATCCTGGCACTTACGGCTTCGGCGGGTAGGCGGTTCCATGGGTTTATAACCCACTGAGTAAAAAATACATAAAAAAATACATCCGAGCTTTGGGTTTTGCTACCCAGTGTTCTCTGTGAGGGGCGGGGCCGGTGCTTGCCTCCCTGAGTTGACTCCTGGGGCTCCCCAATCATCTGCCCATCTGTATGTTTATTGGCCGCGAGACACATTAGTTTCCGCCGATAGGCTATTCAATTTTTTTTATTATGCGCCCCATACCCATGATTTTGCTTTGCGTTTGCTAAAGACTAGTGACGCTGCTCAATAAACTTGCTCTTCTGATTAAAACTAAGTTCTCAACCTTTGAACACTTACTGTATAGGCTCCAGAGTATTTATTGGGCAGTGTATGGAGTTTGTCTCTACTGCTTCACTTCCTGGCGTATTCCATTTGTTCACTATCCTAATGCTGTTTTTTTTTTCTGGTTAATTTGGGGGTCAGTTACCATCTGAACCCACATAGTTACACAATGAACTCTGGATATGTTCGCACTTTCTACAGTATGCAAACTTCGGAATATGGCAAGATTGTGTGCCTTATAAACTTGTGGATGAAATGTTAACAAAATTAAATGTTAGTAAGAATAGTCTCTAAACTTGTACTTTTCACATTCAGTTAGCCTTTATAGGCTAGTGACATACGGTGTGCGAATAGTTTTTCCGGCCAGTAAGTGATGTAACCTGTTTGTTACACCAAGACAATAACCTCTGTTCTGCCTTCCTTATTCACCAATGATGCAAACTTTATCCCAGTTTTCAAACTTGGCAATATTGTACAAGCATGCAGTATGCAATTATACTTCTATAGAAAACCGCTCATTATATATAATATTTACATATATATTCTTATTAAGTTTCATGTGCCGTTGCAGAAGGGAGTGCTGGAGCGTACCTGGGGATCTGTCATGGAGGAACGTCTAGCGCGGGTAGCTAGAGTGTGCCGTAAACATTTCCGCTCATTAAAGAGGTTCTCCTTCTTCGATAAGATCACCTTTGATACCAAGCACCACCTTGCTTACTGCAGGAATGCCAAGGTAATGGGGAACATTTTAAATGAAATTTAGCCGTTTAATGGCTGAAGAAACACTGCAACTCCCCGTGGGCATAATATCAAATAATAACATTAATTTAACGTCAAATCAAGGTTAATTCAACGTTTAAATAACATTACACTTGCATATTGTGCCCACTGGATCATGTTCATCCAAACTGTGACTTGGTCTAAAGACCTCAGTCATAATTTAGTATTTTTTTTGTAGTGAACTGCATAGTCAAAAATGATATTGCCTCCAGTATAAATATTATTGTGTTCAGATAGGACTAGTGTGTTGGTAGTGTGAACTCTACCTTGGCTCAGTCGGCACCACCACCTCTCCCTTCGGCCGTAGTTCGCCCTTCCTCTGCTCCTTCTCTCCCAACCCCCTGCTTCCGGCCTCGAAGCATCTGAGGGTTCTCGGGTCGGGGGGCAGGGCTTAGCTCGGGATGTGGGGCGACCAGTTCCGGAAGTTGCCCCTTCTGAATCGGATGTAGAGGCAGTTGAGCCTGCTAGTCCTGCTGTAACACGGGTAGGGTTTCTCGACTTAATCTTTCCTCCTTTTCCCCTTCTACCCGTATTCTTACTTTTTATTCTCTACCAAGGGACTCCAAAACTTTTACTAAAGCCAACTCCACGCCACGTGGTCCTAAGACGATTGACCGACTTAGGATTCTACAACCCGTATGACGTGACCTAGGCTTTGAGCAAAACCCTAGAGTCGCCTCCGCCGCCACCACCAGACCAGTAACACAGAGCAATGATCGAGGTCTGGATCGATCATGCTAATTAATCAACCTTGGGGCTTGATCCCCACTAGTAACCGATGACCTTGGAAACTTAGAGTGTGGAATTAATTACACGGGAATGATGAATTCCGACTCGATGTTAGAATCGGCGCCCAATCCAACTCTGCCTCGTGTGGACCACGTGACCAGGACAAGTTCACATAAACACATGGAAATAATAAAAATGCAAATTATTAACTAATTAATTTATTAAAAGAAAACTAAAACAAAATCTAAATATGTTCACTCCCTGTCACTTTAACACTCCCTACTTGACCTGAACGGCAATGAGTTGACTATCCCTATAAATAACAATAGCAACTATACCTCTATGTTGACCAGCTAAAGATGTTGGGCTGGTCTTGGGGGAGAGGTGAGATGGGTTGACCTCCCCCAGTTGATCTGGAGTTCACACTGATCTCTCCTCGTCTGGTCTTCCCCAGACTAGAGCATTGTATCCTTCCGCATAGTCTAAGTTTTACCAAGTTACTAGCAAGGTTTAAGTTATAACAATTAACCTCTGTTTGTACTGAATTGATCCAGACTGGTTGAATTATTTTACTGAAATTAAATTACACAAGCATCTAACGGCAGAGCTGTTCCCGTTCCCCAAAATGGTTATTTGAACTTTGAAAAATAGTGTACATGTCAACTCTGATGACCTATGACCGCCGGTCACTCGCGCCTTACAACTTAGATCAGATTCGTGACGTCACTGATGGTGACTTAACTCAATAATTAGAATACTCTTGATATTGTACCCAGTAATATTATACAATACAATTTTAATACAAAATGAATAAAGGCTAATTTCTCTAAATAAGTGAATACTATAGAATGGTTCATTATACGAAGCTATGAGCAAGGCGTCGATTATTTTCACCGCGAATTCCCAGGGGGTCAGGTCCCGGGTCACCACGCGGGCCCAGCTTCCCATTCTCTTTTGTCGATAAACCACTCTGGATAATTCTTACAACCAGCCTAGTTTGTTACACTGCTAAGGCTTTTGGGTTCTTCTTTCTGCCAGTTCCTCCTTCCTTTGAAGCTTATCCTTTGAACTCTGCCTTTTGTCTCAGGCGGTGGGCGAGAACGTTGGTTCTGTCCCAGGGCCCGACTTTGGGGGAAGGGGAATGAATCTGTGCACTTGGTTCCCGTTCGACTCGATAGCATGTGGCTCCTGGTTCCCTCCGAGGTGGGTCTACTTTTGCAGGGGGATGCGTTTCACACCCTCCCTCCTTGTACGAGTATAATTTAGGTGTAATATTCCCCAGAGTTTGTGTGTGCATTTTGGTCCCATCGGAATCGTCATTCTAAAAGTTTCCTTCCTCTCGTGTCCCTCCTGCAGCGGCTTGGGAGGCTTTTTACGAACCTCCTGCGAGATCCGGTGTACGTCTTTAGAAGGCCCTTCCTCTTTTGAGTTTGGGTTTTCTCCGTACTGAATGTGTTATAAGGTTCCGGAGTCTGGCTGGCCGGCAAACAATACCTTGTTTACGCTTGGCACTCGGTTCGGTTTTTGTCATACCAGTATGCTGGGAGTGGCGCAAGGTGTCGACCATACTGCAGATGTTTCTAGAGGGGAGGGGGCTTATTTTTTTCCACCTCTCGGTGACTGTATGTTTTCTCCCGCTTTTTCTCGGGATGTAGGTCTCTTTCAGCTCCATGCCCAGGTTTCTCTGGGCATGGAGCCCAGGGAATCCGGGTCTATCGTTTTCATTATGGACCCGGCATACTTTAAATTTGGGTCAGCTTCCACTTTTGGCTCCGGTGCAGTTTGTCATCGTGGCTTGCAGACAACACTCTTTTCTTTTTATAGGGGTTTGGCATGACTTTGGCTAACCCAGATGCTTCAATTGCAGGAATTGGGTACAGTCTTTCATATCTTCTTGTGCAGTGCTTCCTATATGCCACTAGAGCTGCACGTTTGCTCCAGTTCTCTCCACGAACATGGGCATGTGGTAGCACAATGTTCAGCTGCATTTGCTTACCTCACAAATTGGAGTCCTCACTGTGGAGGATCACAGAGCTCGGCCACTTGTCACCCATTTTGAGGGGATGGGGGGGGGGAGGGGATGGTTGTTCTTTGACCAGCTCCTTGACAGCCTGAATGTTCTGGCAATGGTGCCTGGTAACTGCCCGAGTGTAATTCCAGGATAGAGAGCTATGCTCGTAGTGTCCTGTCCTTATATTACTGTTTGAAACTACTGACGGTTTTGGCATCCTCCTCCTCACTTAATTTGTTCCAACCGTCTACAACTTTTGTTCTTCTTTACACAGAAAAGCACTTTCTAACACTACACTACACAAATCATAATAGCGTGATGCATACCTGGTTGATACCTGGTTGATGGGGTTCTGGGAGTTCTTCTACTCCCCAAGCCCGGCCCGAGGCCAGGCTTGACTTGTGAGAGTTTGGTCCACCAGGCTGTTGCTTGGAGCGGCCCGCAGGCCCACATACCCACCACAGCCCGGTTGGTCCGGCACTCCTTGGAGGAATAAATCTAGTTTCCTCTTGAAAATGTCCACGGTTGTTCCGGCAATGTTCCGGCATCAAATGAACAAATCCACAAGGGCCATGACGTGGATTCGAACCTGCGTCCGAGAGCATCCCAGACACTGCCTTAATCGACTGAGCTACGACATGGACATGGAGTTGAAACCGAAGTTCTACTGAACTTACTGGATCCTGCAGCCTTTCCGAGGCACAAACAGGGTTTTACACAACTCCTCCCATGCACTCGAGCTATGTCAATAGGCCGTTCTCCCTCTTCGCCCTTACTTCATTACACTTCATTATGTCGTAGCTCAGTCGATTAAGGCAGCGTCTGGGATGCTCTCGGACGCAGGTTCGAATCCTCGTCACGGCCCTTGTGGATTTGTTCAAGCACTTTCTAATATTTTTGGCATTTTTGCTTAGCTTGAATCTATAGCCTCTTGGTCTCCAAGTTGCAGTTTTCAAGCATTTCTCTTTGTCAATTTTATGTTACTATTTTGTATGTAGTGGTCATATTGCCTCTTTTTCTTCTATCTTCTAGCTATGGCATATTTAACACCTCTAGCTCCTCATGACTCTTATGTTTCGGAAGCCATTTCATAGCACATCTTTGCACTATTTCCAGTTTATTAATGTACTTCTTAAGATATGGGCACCATACAACCATTGCATATTCCAGATTGATTGATTGATGAAGATTAAGCCACCTAAAAGGTGGCACGGGCATGAATAGCCCGTAAATGGTGGCCCTCTTGAGTCATTACCAGTATCAATAGATGATACTGGAGATCTGTGGAGGTGCGATCTGACGGGAGATGTCTCCCGAGTGCATATTCCAACTTTGTTCTTGCAAAAGTCGTGAACCGTTTCTTTGTTTCATCATCCAAGTATTTACAAGTTATTTAAAGTTGAAAAATGTAGCATAGCCTCATCGCACAATGTCCTGTGCGGTCCTCTGTAGTGTTTTCCAGGACTACTCATAGATCATTCTTTGTCAGTCTTTCATGTTTTCCACATAATTTGTAGGTTGTGTGTGGCCTATTTTCTCCTATTCCTTAACGTGGCATTTCTTCACATTAAATTCCATTTGCCAAGTGTTGCTCCATGCACTTATTTTTATTCAGATCATCTTTAAGGACATGACAATCGTCTCTCTTTCCTAGTAGCTTCGTATCATCTGCAAACATTTTCATGTAGTTCTGTATTCCTTTTGGTAAATCATTTATATAGATGATGAACATTACTGGTGGAAGAACTGAACCCCTTGGTACTCTCCTAGTAACACTTCTCCAGTCAGATACATTGCCTCTGAGGTCAGACTTGCTCCTATTCACCCAAATTTCCGGGACTGATTAGGGTTTCTTGTGAGGGTATCAGGCCTACTGCTTCAAGGTTTTTTTACCTTTCAGCTTGCATTTGGCTCTTCATATATCTATCAAATTAGTGTGAGTAGTTGTGACCCGGCTGTCTCTCTTGGGGGTTTGTGCCTTAGCCTATCATGCCGACTGGCCTGGGCTCCCTGTCAGTTCACAAGTCACTTTTGATTCTTTCTCAGCTTGTCCTAGTGAACTGGTAGAAATATATATTGGTTCTTTCCTAAGTATCAGACCTGGATGAGTATGGTTTTGGATTCCCAGATGGTTTCTCTCGCTCTCTCTGCCTCTAGCAACTCTGCTTGTGTAGAGCAATCTCGGTGAGCTAGCTTCAGGGAGCCATTGAGGCCCTAGCAGAAAGACTCATTATGTTCAGTAATGATTTTTTTAATAAATAATTGTTGCACAGACAGGCACCACTACATGGTTAGGGCACCTATTGGAGTGGGCAGGTGTTGAGATATCAAACATGACATCTCACCAGATCCATGAAACAGCCACACATGCTTTTCCTCCCCTACTGCCTAAGGCAGCTGCCCAAGAGTTGCACCACCTGCCCATTACCTTTACTGTGGTCCGGCATCCTTTCACCAGGTAATGTAAATTACATAAAATTGTTTTCTTTACTATGCAAACAATGTAGTCATTTCTGGAGTTTTGTTCTCTGTAATTCAGCATCACTTTTAAAAATGTGGTAAAATCCAATACAGAAATTGTAAAGAATGACATTTTGTGAGGGTAGCATGAGGGTGTGATGTTTAACAATTATTGACATATAACCAACAGCAAGAATATGACAGCTTTAATGTTAAAATATAGCGTTAGAACTGCCTTATATATAATCTATTTATATAAAAAGTAAAATCATTGACAATATGCATTCTGTTATTACTGCCTCGCAGACTAACAATTTTTATTCATGCTTTCAGATTAGTATCTGCATATAGAGACAAAATGCCAGAAAAATATAAGAGAGATATGCAAATAAAAATGATATCAAAATATAGAATACAGCAAAGAAACACCAGCTCTGTTAGAAGTGAAGTTATAAGTGGCATCAATAAACGCTTTGATGAAGTAGAAGGCTTTGAAAAAAACCTGAAAGATGTAAATGATAATATTCCCAGTTTCAAAGATTTTGATATGCTATCGGTGAAAGACTCTACATTAATACTCAATCAAACATTAACTGGGGCATTACCTGCCCTAAATGAGTCTCCCGAGACAGCACAGGACATGGGCATACCAACCTTCCGTGAGTTTGTGTTGTTTGCAAGTGATCAGGTGCTGAAGTGTGCACGTGATGTAAATTTCACTTGTTTTAATGAAGTGGATGTACACTGGCGGCCTTTTTATGATCGCTGTGCACCCTGTGATGTGCCCTACAATATTATTGCTAAGGTGAGAGCCAGTTTTGTTTTATATTTAGAATAAAGTAGATTTGCATTGTTTATTTACAATTTTAATATTCATATAAGTATATATACATACTTATCTAGGTTATTTATCTTGCTTATTTCTATATAAATATTGATATACCACTATATATATTGTACGTTATATACTGTACATGTAATAATAGTCCTGTAGTGCCGTGCTCAGTGCATCCTTAGGTAAGTAGTTTTCCTGGGAAACCTCCAAGCCTAATAGATTACCATCAGGAAACAGTGTTAGTTTGTTGGAAGGCGAGCTTTGTCAAGAAAATGAAGGGTATCAGTGAGATTTTTTAGTTCATATATGAAGAAAAAGCAGAGCACAATGCCTAATAGTGTTGGAAATGGGTTTGGGATGCAATTTCATTTAGCTTGATAATTAGGCACAGTTGATAAAATGTAAGGGGTAACCAAGGCAAGAGAAAGATTTGTAAATAAAGGAAATTTCGGAATCGATTAACTGAGGGGTCACTGATGCGTACAGCACGGAAGGGTATTCACTAATACCCCTTTGTCCTCTTGACATAAAGCTCGGCTTTCGACAAACTAACACTCTACGTAGTAATCTGGTTCACACTGCTGCTCTTGCTTCCAATGCTGCTGGTGTCTACTCTATTTCCTGTTCGTCTTGTCCTAACCAATACTTTGGGGAAACTGGCCATATACTAAATGACAGACTTGAGGAATACAGAAGTGTTAAGTCTACAAACATAAACAATGCTCTCTTTTGTCATGTTAGAGATTCTAATCATCCTATTGATTGGTCTTCTAAAATAATCTTTCCAGCATCTACTCTTCACAGACACTGTCTTGTTGAATAGGCTCTGATACACATGAACCTTAGTTCTGACTTTGCTGCTGTCGACTCTTCCCTTTCACAGTACATACTCATATGCTCTAACCTTTCTAACAAACGTGACCTGACATAAGCCTACACCCCTTGTTTCTCTTTCTCCTCTTATTCTTATGTTCCCATTCTTATACCCATCGTACACCCCATTTTTACATCCATCCCATCTGTACCTTTCTTATTACCTTTCATCATGCTCTTACCTTCTTCTAGAAATTACCTCCTGTTGTCTGCTCCTTGCCTCTCTCCTGCCTTACTTAATATGGCAAGAGTGCCTCCCTCCTTATGGGCACACTATAGCCCATGCTACATGAACATTTCATTCTGAATAGCTAAATCTAAAACAACAAAAACCAACCTCCCTCTCTCCAGAATTAGCTTTTGCAACACTTGCCTGGCACAGGAGTGGGACATTCCTGTGCCAGGCAAGTGCACTATAGGCTCGCCATAGCCTGTACTACTTGGAACTGTTTGTTCAGAGTAGCTGAATTTAAGACAACCACCTCTCCCCCATCACAATAGACTTGATAATGGTCCAGGACGAACCAAAACATCTTCGTCTCATCTTCTGATGTGTGGTTTGGTAATGATATCGTCAGCCACGTTATTGTGACTATTCGCCTGCAACACCAAAAAGTATTACCTATCCTATTCAAATATTTTTCTTGTTATGCACAACACTTATTTTCCTCAGATTGAAACCTTTGCTGAAGATGAAAAGTACTTGAGCCAGCTGACGGGGCTTCCTATGTGCACTGAAAAATCGCCCAAACTACATTCAGCCAAATCTCCTTCCACTACTACCCTCGCCAAGAAATATTTTTCTACTTTGAATCAAAGTGAAAGGGAACAAGTTTTCAAAGCATATTATTATGATTTTCTCCTTTTTGGCTATTCACCTGATATAGATTTATAATTAATTAATATCACTACTGCAAAATTTTATTTCTTTTGAGTAAGAAAAATATAGTTTTGGGATTTTACTTGCAAGAATTATGTTTACCTTTTTCAATATAATTTTTTTTTCTATAGAACTACCAGGGAGAAAACATAAATTGGCCTACCTATAGAGGCACAGGAAGTGGTGCATTTTTTACGCCATCCTACTGAAACCTCGAAATGCGCCAAAAACCTCCCCAACTATGTAACGAACTACAGAATTCTCTTGAAACTACAGCAAACTCGTTCACCTTACATTCCCCACTCGTTTGGGGGGGGGGGGGAAGTAACTCGCTGCAAACCAATAGCAGTTAGGTCAAGGCCAGCAGAGGAAGGGAAAGTGAAGCCAACAGAACCCCAAAGGAGACCCAGTCCAATCTGAACCTGGGATGAAACCAATTGGGGCTTCCTCCAGTTCACCCTGAACCCAAACCCAGTGAGTTGGAAAAGAATCAGACCCCTGGCTAGCAGATATGCAGATTGGCCAAAGGCCCAGTCCAGCTAGTTATTGGAGGCAAAAACTTGATCGCACAACAAACGAAGACAAGCCACGTTGACCCGAGCCAAGCACGTAAACAAGCATAGAGCCCAGATTGAGCCCAAACAGGTGAAGCCAAAACTTTAAACCTTGCCACCCCACTATAAACCAAGCCAATCCCAGAACCCATCCAATGTATAGGGATGTGCCAAAATGTGTCCCAGAGGTTCAGTCCCGGGAAATCATTTAAGCCTCTGCCTGTAGTACGAGATGGACCTACGACAAAGCAGCCATTCAGAATTAGGGTCAGGGAATGAATTGGTCCAGCAGGGGGAAAAATCGAAGGAAAAGGTGCAAACAGAACAAAGGCAGAAATCACCAACCCTTCCCATTCTAGAACCCTAAACACCAGTCGAGGCAGCTCTGGGGCATATAAGGGTCCAATTCATTGCTGGCCCAGAAGCTAGGCCAGCAATGAATCAGTCCAGAGCTGTGACAATGAACTGATGAAACTGGAAGGGTGGGGGCTGGGGGAAGGAAATAGGGAGCCACTGAGGCTCTACCAGAAACTATTTCATTACATTCAATGCTGGTTTTCTGGAAGAGCCCCTGGGTGGCTCTCTGAAGCTCTCTAGCAACAGAGAAGACAGAAAACACGGGACTCACCAAGGAGGAGAGCAGCAACTACACACCCGAAGATGAAACCCCAGGCTAGGAAACTGATCCAGAGCAACACAAGACCGACTGGATCCAAGAAAATAGACCAGATACTGAGCGGCAAAGACCCTGGCAGACTTCCAAACCCCCCTAGCCTGAATTATAGCCCATGATATGAAAGCAAACACAGCAGCTAAGGTCGCAAACTTGCAAACCTCGGTGCCAAGGGTAGACCACAGGCTAGCCTGAGTAACAGCAGACATCCTGAGAAAAACATGCCTTGGGAGAGATTTCACAAACTGAAGGGGCAACCCATGAACCAAGAAGAGAAAACACACGTTCCATCCAAGGGGAGAGACCAAAACAGCTCAAGAGGAGCATAAGCCTAGGAAGTGAAAGAATCGGTGCTGAAGTATTGATGATGAACTCTAAGAGCAGCTCTGCCAAAGCCGTGGAGTAAGAGGAGATAGTAATAAGCATGAGATGCTGATCAACAGATAACCACCATAACAGATACAGAAGAATTAGGTGACAGGAGCACCAGGAACCTGCATATTACCACTGCAACGAACGATGTAGGCAGAACGTTAACAATGTAGCCACCTATGCACCACACAAATGGTGTTAAACTTGCATCAGAAACTTCAGACAAGGATATCAGCGGAGGGCAAACCAGCAAGATACATAATCGAGCCGTTCTGCTAAAAGAGACAGAGCCACAAACAAAGACCAAGGTGGCCACCAAGGAGCTAGAAGGATCACCATACGAGTGTCTCCAACCTGGACAACACCCAGAGCTACAACTGAATGAACCTGTGGGGAAAGGGAGAACACAGATGAACCCCAACAAGTCCAGCTGAACGTGGGATCACTTGCAAGAGCCTCGTGATCGGAGAATGGAGCCATGTAAAAGGAAAGTTCTAACCCTTCAAACAGCTTAAAAATAATGATCAAAACATTTTTTAATGGGTTGCTCAGCAAGAGGCTGCGAGGAATGGGCAGGTTTGGCCAACTAAACACAACAAGGGTCAGGATGTATCAATATGAACAAAAAGTGCTAATTTTTTTTTTTTTTTTTTTTTTGCTAATTACTGTAAATGTATATCTGGGAAGTGAGAGGAAGGGGGGAGGAGGGGCTAACTAAAAAGCGAAGTGCTACCATTAGCACTTTTTAATTAAATTTTTTTAAAGTTCATTAGCAGGTTAACCCTCAAACCACTAGGGGTCCAAATGGATTTAACACCCACAGGCACAAAAAAAAAAAAAAAAAAAAAAAAAAATTCGTCTTATAGAAGTGTTCATTTTTGTTCCCTGATCACCGAAAAAAATAACAAAAAAATTGTAGGTGGCATATTTTAGCCACAATAGGGTAGGGAAGTCTGGCAAAAAAGGGGCGTTGACAGAGCCTTCGCCTGGCGAGGGCTACTCCGCTTGAGCTGTCAGGCGGCAGTTGCCACAAATATATTATTACCTAATTAATTCAATGTCTCTCATTGATTTTTTCTTATTTTTTTTGCAGTAATATTATTCAACAGAGTGAATTGTGATATACAGTGGTACCTTGCATAACGATCGCCCCACAAGGCGAATATTTTGGGTAACGACTGGCCCGATCGGCGAGAAATCGTCCCATATGACGAACGCTCGTTTGTGTAACGTCAACACCACATGGTGGGGTCACGCCGCCACTGTCTACAGTGTTGTATTGGTGTCTCACACGACCAGTATCCGTCTGTATCGCTCCACACACAATTCTGATATTCGTGTTTTTTTTTTTTTGTGGTTTTGTGACTACAATTCTGAACGCACGATGTCGTCCAAGAAGCAGCCTGCGAAAGCAGGAGTTTGCAAGGGGAAGAAAGAGGCAATCACTGTGGAAGTGAAGAAAGAGATCATAGCAAAGCACGAGCGTGGTATTCGTGTGGTTGATCTTGCCAGGGAGTATGGCAGGGCTCCCTCAACAATATCCACCATACTGAAGGGCAAGGATAAATATAAGACGCTTGACATGGCCAAAGGAGTTAGCAAGCTCACCAGCAAACGTCCAAAACTCCTGGAAGATGTGGAACGGCTACTGCTGGTGTGGATGAATGAACGACAATTGCATGGCGATTGTGTCTCTGAAGCTATCGTTTGCGCTAAGGCTAGGATGCTGTATGTGGACCTTGTCAGGAAGATACCAGGTGCGTCGTCTGAAGATGAGGAGGTATTTAGGGCAAGCCGTGGCTGGTTTGAGAACTTTAAGAAAAGGAGTGGTATACACAGTGTTGTGCGACATGGGGAGGCTGCCAGCTCTGATAAAGGTGCTGCTGAGGCTTTTGTGCCAGAGTTCCAGAAATTTGTTGATCAGGAGCAGTTTCTGCCACAACAAGTTTTCAATTGTGACGAGACCGGCCTTTTTTGAAAAAAACTGACGAAGAGGACCTACATCACGCAAGAGGAACAATCATTGCCTGGCCACAAACCGATGAAGGATCGCCTTACTCTCGTGCTCTGCGCCAATGCAAGTGGCGATTGCAAGGTCAAGCCGCTGCTCGTCTATCACTCAGAAAATCCACGAGTGTTCAAGGCGTTTAAGGGTCACAAGACACGGCTGAATGTGATGTGGAGGTCGAACAAGAGGTCCTGGGTCACGCAGATCTTCTTTAGTGAGTGGGTAAATGACGTTTTCGGCCCCACAGTGAGAAATTATCTCGTCGACAAGCAGTTACCACTCAAGGCCTTGCTTGTGCTCGATAATGCACCTGCGCATCCTTGCCAACTGCAAGATGATCTGTTCCCTGAAAATCAGTTTATCACCATCAAGTTTCTTCCTCCAAACACCACGCCACTCCTCCAACCCATGGATCAGCAGGTCATTGCTAACTTTAAGAAGCTCTATATGAAGGCCTTGTTGGAGAGATGTGTTCATGTGATTGACACCACAGAGCTGACCCTCAGACAATTCTGGAAGGAGCAGTTCAATATCATGGGGGCCTTGCGTTTGATAGATAAGGCCTGGGAAGGGGTGTCACAGAGAACCCTACACTCTGCATGGCGAAACTTGTGGCCTGAGGGTGTCCCTGAGCGAGACTTCGAAGGTTTCGGTCCTGCACCTGCATCTGCATCCGCACCTGTGGATGACCCGGAGGCTCTTTTAGTGGATGATATTGTCGCTCTGGGACACACACTGGGTCTGGAGGTGGATGCTGCTGATGTGCAGGAGTTGGTGGAGGAGCACAGTGATGAACTGACCACCGAGGAACTCCTGGAACTGCAGAAAGAGCTGGTGCAACAGGAGGTACAGGAGCTCTCATCGGGGGAGGAGGAGGTCTGCGAGGATGCTATCCCATCTAGTGAGATCAGGGACGTGCTGGGCATGTTCGAAAAGGTGACAGCATTTGCGGAAAAGCATCACCCTGATAAGGCGGTGACAACACGGTGCGTGAACCTGTTTAATGACAATGTGCTGTCTCGATTTAGGGACATCCTCAAACGAAGACAACAGCAAGTGACACGCGATATGGTCAGTGGACAGGGTGGGAAGAGACGTGCTAGTGATATTGAACCACAACCCGGTCCTAGTGGGGTTAAATTCCCAAAGAGAGCGAGCCCGCCTGACCCAGAGGTGGTGTCTCCCTCCTCCCCATAAGCCCTCTCCTCCCTCCCTCCCGATCGGCTCCCTCAAGCCAGCAACGACTCTTCATAAGGTAAAGTGAATATACACATGGAAACAGTCAAACAAACATTTATTTAACATGTACAGTATAATATTACCAGTGTATAATGTCATATTGTTGTTTTAGGGGGTGGAACGGATTATTTGTATTTACATTGTTTTGGGTGGGGAAAATTGTTTTGCATGACGCCGGTTTCACATGACGACAGCGGCGTTGGAACGGATTAAATTCGTTATGCGAGGTACCACTGTATTTATAGGTTATATGCAAGTATCTGCATGTTTTGTTCACCATAACGAGCCACTTCGTGTGTAGTGAGTCAAAATGCAACGAGGAGTGACCGCCACACACGAGCCAGCCACTCGCTCCCTCAACAACACCTCTCTTGCCCTCATTCTCCTCCCACAATACTGTTTTTGCATTTATTCATTATACACAAACGTTATATACAAGTATTTACATGTTTTGTTCACCATATCTGTACATCTAAGCTTGTATGGTGAATAAAGGCACAAAGACGTAGTTACTCACACAGTCAGCTGGTGGCGGCCGCCCTCAAGGCCAGACGCACTAATATTTCTCCTCCAACAATATTGTTTGTGGTGTTATTACGCTATATACACACACACATGTAAGTATCTGTTTTATTCACCATACCTGTACAAATAAGCTGGTATGGTGCCCAAAGACAATAGTGGCCACCAATAAACAACATGACAAGTCGTGCTGACGATGCACCTCCCTCACCAAAATGGCGGCTCCCAACCTACTCCTCTTGCTGTTATTACACTCTATACACACGTTATATATAAGTATCTACATTTGTGTTCACCATTGCGAACCACTAAGCTGGTATGGTGAGTGCAGTCAAAAAAAGGTGGCCCACATACAGTCAGAAGACAACGCCACCTCCCTCCCACCCTCAGCATTACTCCTCCCTCCATGGAGAACAGTGCTAAATATCACCACAATCCTGCTATTATCAGAATCCTGGTCAGTTTTATCAGTCAGGGGTCTTCTGTAATACTATCATTGCTAAATAGTAGCAGTATCATATATATATATATATATATATATATATATATATATATATATATATATATATATATATATATATATATATATATATATATATATATATATATATATATATATATATATATATATATATATATATATATATATGTCGTACCTAATAGCCAGAACGCACTTCTCAGCCTACTATTCAAGGCCCGATTTGCCTAATAAGCCAAGTTTTCGGATGGTAATCTTGGGCATAGCATTTCATGAATTAATATATTTTCTCTATTTTTTTTCTTATGAAATGATAAAGCTACCCATTTCATTATGTATGAGGTCAATTTTTTTTATTGGAGTTAAAATTAACATAGATATATGACCGAACCTAACCAACCCTACCTAACCTAACCTAACCTATCTTTATAGGTTAGGTTAGGTTAGGTAGCCGAAAAAATTAGGTTAGGTTAGGTTAGGTAGGTTAGGTTGTCGAAAACACATTAATTCGTGAAAACTTGGCTTATTAGGCAAATCGGGCCTTGCATAGTAGGATGAGAAGTGCGTTCTGGCTATTAGGTACGACATATATATATATATATATATATATATATATATATATATATATATATATATATATATTATGGCATTTGTAATCGATGCTGTGGTCACAAGCCGAACAGCGGTGCTGTGAGCTCGTGCTGCATGCGCCAGCCTTGGTGGCTTGCTCAATACTGAAGCTCTTACACCCAAGAATGTTGGCCTGGATTTTTTCTAGGTGGCATCTGGCAACTATCGGCCGTGGCTGCACTATAGCTGCCCCTATCTCAGGCGGGGTGTTTAAATTATAGCGCTAAACACGAAATCACATATATATATGATGTGCGCGGTTTCGGTTTTGTCACTGAAATCATATATATATATGATTTGCACAGTTTAAGGGTTAAAGTTCTGGTAACAAAGAAAAATTAGTAAAATTTATTGGGAATTAATATTTTTACATATATAATGATGATAGAAATATGAATTGTGTATCAACACTCTTAGACAAGAAAAATTCTGAAGAGGTCCAGAATAATGCTGTATAGAAGTCCAGATTTGTTTAAATTGCACTAAACAATTACTTTTCTTAATGTTGATGATGGTCTTAATTTGGATCTCTGAAAACACTTTTAGCAAAGGTTTGTGCCAGAACCTGATGCCCAACCCCTCTTGTCATAGAGGAACAAGGAGCTGGGGATTGGTACAACTCCCTCGCAAAGTCATTGAAGAAATACAAATGACTGCAAAATTTGCATAAAATGAAGCAGAGTAAATTTCCAATCAAACTTTTTCCGATTACTGTAATATAAAATTTAAATACATTTACACAATTAACTGTACATACACCTACAAACTGTGTTTTTTTTTCCCAATCACCTGGCTAGTGTACCGTTTCACTAATGTTAAACAAAGTGACTAACAGCAATTACATGTACCACAATCAAAGTAATGGTTCCTTGGCATTAAATTTTCCTTTAAGCTTGGTTGTTGATCTACGAATTTTTCTCCTCTCTTCTTGGTGCTCCTTTTGCTGCTGTTTTATACGCTCAAACTTGGGTGCCTTCTTGATAACATAATTCATCTCACGGCTACCAAAAGTGTGTTGCTTGATGCTCTCGGTGTCAACTTCCATATCAAGGCGATCAGCCAATGTCATTCTGAATTAAATTATTGAAACATTAAAATATTTCATAACAAATAATGTACTTTAAAAAAAAAAAATCACCTGTGCCAGCTTCTTAACTTTGAAGTTTTATTTGCTTTCAAGTGTTCACTTGACTTTCAGCAACGTACATTACAGTAAACGTTTATTTGGAATTTTACTATTTAAAAGTTTTATCATCATTTGTTAATTAGTTTAATTTCTTCCTCAAACACTAAGTGTTACACACAATATATAAACCTACACGTTTTATCATGCATAAATAAAACCATCTTGGGTAAAAAACTAATGTAGTAAGCCTCAAACTAGACCACAAGACGTACTTCACTTCATTTTTGCTATAGAACACTTTTGTCAAAGTTATTTTACTATCAATTAAAACAAGTTAATTGAAACGATACTTACTTGCTTAGTTTTTTCCTGTTGGATTTCAATTCAGCAATGGAGTCAGCAGCAGTAAAGTTTAAATTCTTGCTTTCGCCTGGTTTCTTCTCTAAAGAACTTCCAGCTGCTGGAAGTTTTTCTTCACTCTCTTTTAATTTGTTTTGCTTCCATGTGTCTCTATTTTCTTTTGAATCTTGCTTAGCTTTGATGTCTCTCTTGACCTTTACCTATCAAAGTTATAATTTAAGGTTATTGAATAATAATTTGTTTAAAGTTACTTTTAAAGTATCCTTTTTTTTCTAATCTTTTTTGTTGATGTTGCCCCCATCTCATGAAAGTGGGAAGTCAGGCAATGATGATGGTCTTTATAATTAATTTGGTACATTAAACATCTTCAATACTGATAAACTAAATTACCCCGAATGGAGCATGCTATGTCAAGTCATCAATACTGTAGACAAATTTGAAAATATAGTTAGATTCTAAGAAAAATACTGCATCTGAAATTGCAATATGACAAAAAATAGTGTACAAACATTTATGATTAAACATTTTCATTATGAATTAAATACTTTCTTTCAGTAAAATACATTATCCTATAAAAATACTATCTGAGGGCTAAGGATAATACTCAGATGATAACGAATCACTACTGATAAATTAAGAATTGTACCATCTATTGTTATTTTTAAGTACAGTAACCAGATACTGTATTAGTTTATCAACATTGAAATTGTCAAATCTGAATGAAAGAAAATAAACACTAGAGAAAGGCAGAGTAAAGTGATATGACGTGGGTATACAAGTGGATGAGAAGTATAATAAAAGGAATATTAACAAAAACAATGAACACAGATTGGATAAGATTAGATTCATAAAACACCTAGGTAAATATTGGTTTGGAAATTGTCATTGATTTATGGAGCAAATTACCGAGTAACAAAATAGTTGTGGGATCGCTGGATTGTTTCAATCCAAGGTTACACATACAGTACTGTAACCCTGTGATTATCCGGGATTCAAACTTCCGGAAAACGCCCTTATACGGCCAAAATCGTGATCGGATAAAGTTATCACAATATCCGGCCAAAATGGCCACAGGAACCGGATAAAAGCTGGTTTGGCCGGATGAATATTCGGCCATACCATATTAATCCCGTCTGTGGCTCTAGACGCATGGTGGAGGAGGGGGTGGGGTGGTGTTGGGAGGGGTGCGTCGGAAGGGACCACCTGGGTACAGGAATTACCATTAATTTTAGAACACTTAATCATAGCCAAAAACAAATGAAATACTAGTAATTATGTAATAACAAATAAATAAGTTTCCTAAAAGTAATGTGCACAGGCTGAAGTTTCCTTCAAAAATATTGTGAGTTTTTTCCTCCTGGCGGCCTACGTAACGTGCTATAGCTGCCCCACCCCAAGTGGACCCGTCCAACACTGGTCAACCCATGTCCGTCCGTCCCTCGTGTTATACACAGTGCTGCTCCATTAGTGAAATATTTTTTAAATAACTTTTTTATTTTCATAGTAATTTTGAACATTTTTGGCCAAGACTATGTCTGGTAGCACCATCAATCGTTCTGGAGGTGTTAAGAGGAAGAAGGTTGTCCTAGCAATTAAAGACAAGTTATGTGTTGTTCAACCAGTGAGGCGTCACAGGCAGCCAAATGCCTTCAACAAGTGAGGCGCCACAGGCAAGCCAAGCGCCTTCAACAAGTGAGGCGCAAGCAAGCAAGCGCCTTCAACAAGCGAGGCGTCACAAGCAAGCCAAATGCCTTCAACAAGTGAGGCTTCACAGGCAAAGCCAAGCGCCTTCAACAAGTGAGGCGCAAGCAGGCGCCTTTAACAAGTGAGGCGCAAGCAGGCACCTTTAACAAGTGAGGCGCAAGCAGGCGCCTTTAACAAGTGAGTCACAGGCAAGCCAAGCGCTTTCAACAAGTGAGACGCATGCAAGCGCCTTCAACAAGTGAGGCGCATGCAAGCGCCTTCAACAAGCGAGGCCTCACAGGCAACCCGTGAGGCTTCAGCAGCTGGCAGTCAAAACTAACTTTGCTTAATGAACTGTACAGTAATTTTAAGTGTTAATTTTAGTGTTGTGTTAGTATAGGTTACGTAAATTGTTAAGAATTCTTAACTTCAAGATGTGTGGCATCAATCAAGAAGACGAACACCAACAAGGTAAGTTGAGGTTTCTAGTTGAATGTTTAATAATTATACAGTATGTGGCAAGGCAATTCAAATTATGTTGTTTGTAGTATAAAAGTAGTTGGAAATTGTCACTTTTGGACTCGTAGGTGAAAAGGTACCATTATCCGAAAAATGTGATAATCCGGCTGGGGGTCCTTCCCATATAGTCCGGATGATCGAGTGGAGACAGTACTGTAAATATTAATAGGTATGGCTGGGTATAAATCGGAGCTGCCTCACATAGGCCAATCTAGGCCTTCTGCAGTTTCCTTTATTATTGTGTTCTTACCTATAAAAAATGTTTGAACTGCATGACATTTCTCAAAACTTTCAATAACTGTGGAACATTTGTAAGTCTGAAACTGAAAAAAAAGCACCACTTACCTCTGGCTCCTCATCTCCCATGTCTGACATGATTGAATCTGAATCTGAACTATCATCTTGGTCCAAGTCACCCTGAAAAAATAATTTAATTAGTTAGAAATAGTAATCAGTATAGAATCAAAGCTAGATACAGTTTAAGTGGAAGTGAATACTCAAGGAAGAGCAACATTAACAGGTATGCCGATGATACAAAAATGGGGCCACAGTTTTCAAGCTTAGTGTGATTTCTGTGCATTCATGAAGTTGTGGCATAAGGTGTGGGACCATTTTGCCCTTCAACCCAAGTTCTTGTGGGTCATGCGTAAAAACTTGGACTGGCTTCAGTAGGGACCTCCAGACTTCTTGGGATTTCAATAGAAATGCAGTTGTATGACTTTTACAAGTCAGTGGTAGTCCAGTGGTAGAGTACGCGACTGGCAAAGCTGTGGTCATAGGTTCACGCCACCTCACAGCCCTGATGGATTTTCTCATTGATATATACCATGTTAGTGTGATTTATGTGTTAATAATAATAATATAATAATAATAATATAATAATAATAATAATATAATAATAATAATAATAATAATAATAATAATAATAATATTATTATATTATGATCATCAGATTTGGTTCTAGGCCCAACCCATCCTCTCTAATAGTACATATGGGATTCATATATCAAAATTCTAAGTCCAAAACCTGATGTGCTAAAAATCATAGTGGCTCACAAAATTGATGTGGTGTCCTATTTTTCTATTCATGAGTCTTCAGTTAGGTTAGGTTTGGTCAATTAAGTGACATTATGAATGCTTAAGATGATGGGCTTCTAAGCCAGGCACTGAAACCTGATGATTATTTTACAATCCTGTATTATAAAATACTAGTAATTTAAATGTCTCTATGACTGGGCTATGATAGCCCAGTCATAGAGCTTCGGCCTCACGCGCATGTGGTCCATGGTTCAAAATTCCTATAGCCCAGGTGAATGGAATGTTTCTTTCCATGGAATTGTGGATGACAATTTATAGCATTCTGTTAGTAAGCAACAAACTCTGGAAAGAATTAGTCAAAAGTTCCAGCAGAGACAAAATTTACAATAATAAGTCATTACCATCAAAAAGCATTGATGTACTATAATATCCCTGGCAATGCCATACTACAATATCCCTAAATTGCTATATTGAATTATAATACCACCCAACATTGTCACGCTACTTTACTGTGGCACTTCCATACTATAATATCCCTAACATAGCCATTGACAATGTCCTCTGGCACTGACATACTGTACTATATTACTGACATTCTCATACCATACTCTCTCTTCCCTTAATTGCAGGCATGTTAATGTAAGAAATGTCAATTAAAATGCTTACTCTTTCTGAAGGCTAAAAATTCAAATGAATTTAGGCAAAACGAGACAACATATCCAACATTCTAATAATATATAAACTCTTACAGGTTACAAAAATGAACCAATACAGTATCAGCCAGTCAGCACAGAATATGAATATACATTACCCGGGCCTTTAAGAAGTCTCTTTCCTCTTCCTCCTCTTGCATTTTCTGCTTCTTTTTCCTCTTGTCCATTCTACTAAGCACAGGGTTTAATAATCTGAGAAAATAAGGATAATTAATAATGCAAAATAATTTGCTTAAATGAGCAAGGCAACTACCAACATTCACTTCAACACCCATAACAATATACAGGATTTCAAATAGTAAATTATTCATCCTGTCTTTAATTAACACTTTCGCGCTATCCGGACGCACCGGCGCGTCCTGTTTCGTCTAACGCTAACGCATAGTGGACATAAAGTTATGTCCTCTTTTAAAATATTTGTATAAAATTCAATTTTAATCCGATTTCATTGGGGTTTGTTTCAAACGACGCGCCATGAAGTTCTCTTTCTCGCCACTAGGCCTCCCGGCGCGTCGGCCTACCCGGTCACGTGACGGGCCCATTGTTTTCGTGTCACGTGTTGTGAGTCGATCACGCTCCCCTCGCGCGCCAAACTCGAGCATTTTTACCCGTTTCCGTGTGGATTATACCCAATTACTTCATCAAAAATGGATCAAGGTCAAGGCCCAAGCACTTCTACGCCCAAGGAAGCCTCCAGGTCATCGAGAGTGGACAAAATAACCCAAATTTTTAAGAAGTGGAGCGGAGTGAAGCTCACACCAACGAAAATTCCAGGCCTTGTGGAGGATTTATCAGAAGCTGAAGGTGATGTAGAGGTATTGGAGGAAGATTTTGGAACCCACAACGATTATAGTGTACCTAGAGCTAGAGGGAATGATATGGCAACGAGTGATGAGGAGACTGAGGCCCTCACCGAGGAAGAGGAGGCACCGCGACCCCCTCCTCCTCCTCCATCTCGGCGCACACGTGGTGCATCTAGGCTACCTAGAAAAGTAGCTACCAGACATGTTACTCGTCGTAGGAACACACGACAAATTGCGCCAAGTGATTCTGAAAGTATAAGTGATGAGGATTCATTCGAGCCTCCTGAAAGGCGTACACGTACAGTACGTACTCGGCAGGCTGGGGCTGGTGAGGGCTGGAGTCGTAGCAATACTTCTCCAGTTGTTGATGATTTTACTGGAAATCCTGGACTGAAAATTCCCAAGCCTACTAGTGCACTGGCTTATATTCAATTGTTCATCACGCGTGCCCTCCTCGAGTTCTTTACCGTTGAAACAAATTTGTACGCCTCACAGTTATTCCGGATGGCCAATGAAAATGTATCAGATATTTGGACCCCAGTGAAGGTGAGTGAAATGGCGCGATTCCTAGGACTGTTCATATTGATGGGCATAATTAGGCTCCCAACTATGAGGATGTATTGGCAAACAGCAAAGCCATGGCATGCTCGTTTCTTCAGCTTGTTCATGACGTCCAGACGATTCCAGCATATAAACCAGTTTTTCCACACATTCAATACCAATGCAGTGCCCGTGAACAATCGTGATAAGTTGATAAAAGTGAGGCCAGTGATGGATTACTTGAAAGAGAGGTTTGCTCAAGTTTACATCCCCAAGAAAGAGTTGTGTTTGGATGAGGGTACAATGCCATGGCGAGGCCGACTATCCTTCAAAGTGTACAATCCAAACAAACCAGACAAGTATGGTGTGAAACTTTATATGCTTGCTGAATCTGTCTCTGGGTACATATATGACTTTGACGTATACTCAGGTATTGGTAAGACGATAGTGGATACAGTAACGGGGTTGATGCAGCCTTTAGTGAACCAGGGTTACCATTTGTACATGGATAATTACTACAACTCGGTTACCCTGACAGAAACATTGAGAGAACTTGGGGTGTACACATGTGGCACAATTAGAATGCTACGTGGCGCCCCAAAGGTATTGCAAGCTCTAGCCAAGGGTAAACTTCCACTGGATACCACCGTATACCGCCGCAAAGATAACACCTTCATTCTCCTGTGGAAAGACAAGCGAGTGGTTTCAATCATTACCAACATCCACAATGCAGACACTCAGCGAGTTCAGCGAAGGAAGCGAATTCGCAACCGAGACGGAACAAGTGGAATACAACAGGTAACAGTGAACAAACCGACTGCAATTTGCGAGTACAATAAGTTCATGAAAGGTGTGGACCACTTCGATCAAATGGTTAAATATTACCATTTTACCAGGAAAACTCACAAGTGGACCAAAAAGATTACCTTTTATTTCCTGCAAATGGCATTGCATAATGCCTATGTTTTGTACAAATACAACACAACTGATAGAAAAAAGCTAACATTGCTACAGTTCCACGAAGTGGCAATCTGGGCCCTATTGAACTGGGACACAGAGGAGTGGCCTAAAACAACATCATCATCTCAACACTTGCGGCACGCTCCAGACATAAATGATGACACAGCTCCTGCCAATGCTGACGCCATGCCAACTCCCGGACCATCTGGTGTGAGGCGGCCTTTGTTCACTACACCACCTCAAGATGAAGCAGACAACGAATCTGAACCCGACATGTCTGCCACACTGCCAGTTGACGAAACTGTTTTGTCAGATGAATCTGACTCTCCTGCAAATGTTTCACTTCCAGCGAGAAGACCTGGCCCTATTGTTGATTCAGAAAATCGCATGAACACAAAACTGAAACATGAAATTTACAGACTGCCCAAACGTCTCAAGTGTCATGTATGCGCACGGTCCGGTAAAAGGAAGGACACGAACATAGGATGCAAGACCTGTGGTGTTGCACTCTGTGTTATTCCCTGCTACACCAATTACCACCGGAAACAGGTGTATTGGGTGGTGAAGAAGTAACCACCCGCAACAGCTTCACTCCACCTACAAACCATCTGTTGAGCAACTTCAGGAATGAAGAACCTGAAGAAGGTGGAGTGAAAAACAAATGCTCAACTTACTGTTCCACAACCAGCCTTCCCTTGGTAAGTACACCTATTTGGTCCAAGTTTGTGTAGTATAATTTAGCTCATAGAACATTCTATTGCGAAAACATTGCCACAAAAATGAATGACATACATACAATAATAATATCAGAACAGTGAAATAAGTATAAACTTTCAAAGCAACGTTTCGCGCATGTGTCGTCCGGTCACCGTTACCGGGTAACAGTGCGCCCACTTCCCACACTCTTGCGGGTGGGCCGGGACCATTATTCTACGATTATATTCATATCACCGTGTTGGGAATTTTATTGGGAGTCCATTGATACCAAAATTAAGGCTGTAGGACAATTGTAGAGGTGATAATAATCCCAAGAGTAAAAACATTTTGTTGCTGATGGGCGCTCACGGCGACTCATCTTCGTAGTTATTTATTTCATGCTGGTATCTCTATAGCTTTAGTGACTTTTTTTACTGATGTTCTTCTAGAGAATTTTATTGCGAACACGTTGGTACCAAAATGAAATACGTAGCATGAAAACTAAGGTCAGAAAAGTAAAGAGTATACACATTTTTGTTTTTACGCTTAAGCGATAAAAACGCCGCGCGCACATACGGTTGGCTGAGTGACCTTCGCCGAGAGCGCTAAAGTGTTAATACAAATCATTTCTCTTTCCTTTTGACATGTTGTTGACCACTCAGTGGTTTGCTATATTTACTCCACCTCCACATTGCCCTGTAAATGTATAAAATTCTGTTTTCCCTTTTGCTATACGATATACTGTGTTTCTTCTGGTCACATTAGGTTCATTTTTTCATACTGTTCTCTCTATTATTGTTTCTCCGTGAATAAAGTTGACTTTCACTAAGTAAAAGTCAAATCTACAAGTGAAAACCTTGATCAAAAGATTCGTGCTCTTTCAAATGCCTTCGAGATTTGAAAGCAGTTAGTATTTCAAGATTTTACATAATGCCAGTGCTTTGTGAAGATTCTACATAAGGATGACTACTCAGGAAGATTCTACATTAAGGATGTAGACCCTGCAGACTCGGGGGCCTGACAGCTGAGTAGACAGTGCTTTGGATTCGTAGTCCTGAGGTCCCGGGTTCGATCCCCGGTGAAGGCGGAAACAAATGGCCAGTTTCTTTCACCGAGATGCACCTGTTCATCTAGCAGTAAATAGGTACCTGGGAGTTAGATAGCTGCTATGGGCTGCTTCCTTGGGGTGTGTAACAAAAAGGAGGCCTGGTCGAGGACCGGGCCGCAGGGAAGCTAAGCCCCAAAATCATCTCAAGATAACCTCAAGAAGAATACCTTCTTTTAGAAAGATTATATAATATACATACAATGACACTTCTTTTTGAAATACAGCATTAAAAAACAAATTAATGAACTGTGTAATGCTTTCTTCAACACAGAGAATTTGTTTAAGGCAGTATCTATTTACTGTTATTTTTGTCTCAAGACTTTACAATTGGGTTCGTTACCGACTCACAATCGGGAAGCCTGGGTTCAAATCCCAGGTGGGACAGAAATGGATGGGCATATTTCATATCACCTAATGCCTATGTTTACCTAGCAGTGAATAGTACCCGCAAGTTAGTGTGTTGTGGGGTTGCATCTTGTGGAGGACCAGTAGTTCGACCTTGGGGGAACTTTCATGTAAGCTTAAGCCTAAGGAATTTGTGTAACTACCTCAGTGTAGGTACAAGATGAGAGCTACACTTGTGGTGTCCCATCTTCCCAGCACTCTGTCATATAATGCTTTGAAACTACTGAGAGTTTTGGCCTCCACCACTTCCTCACTTAACTTGTTCCAACCGTCTACCACTTTGTATGCAAAAGAAAACTTGCCAATATATTTTCAGCACCTTTGTTTCCTTAGCTTGAATCTATGACTTGTTCTTGAGGTGTGTGTGTGTGTAATTACCTAAGTAATTACCTAAGTGTAGTTACAGGATGAGAGCTACGCTCGTGGTGTCCCGTCTTCCTTGCGTGTGTCCGTGTGTGTGTGTGTGTGTGTGTGTGTGTGTGTGTGTGTGTGTGTGTGTGTGTGTGTGTGTGTGTGTGTGTGTGTGTGCGTGCGTGCGTGCGGTTTGAGTATCTACAAATAGTCATATCAATATATATATAGTGCAGTCAAAAGCTAAAATATAAAATACGTACTTAAACTCGACTGAATCCTTATCTATTTGGAAATCAGAACTTGAAAACAGTTCCCCAAATCTGTCATCTTTCAACAATGCTTCTGCTGCAACCGCCTGCTGTTTCTTCTTATTCTTGTTTTCAACTTCTTCCTCTATTAACCGTTCAAACAAATCACGGTTAACATTTGGAAGTTTCTGAAATTAATAAAATATTTACATTATACCTACATTCACATAATTTTTCAACATTAAATAAAATAAAACTAAAACTAAGGAGAGGCTCCACAAGTACAGTTTAAACCAGAAGTCGTATACTATGTTCATTTTAACAAGATTAATGTTTTATAAAGATTTTTCTAACCACAGAAACCTTGCCTTACAGGTTAGCAATGTTTAGTGACTGACAGTAACATTTGTAGACGGCCAAATGTCACAAAAATTTAAAAGGCTACGAGAACCCCTAAATATAGAAACAATTATCTGCTGTCCATATCCAATGTTAGAGAGGAAAGTAGTGAGCCCCCTGGATTATGCTTATGAAGGCAACCAAAGTCCCTATTTTTTTAATTTGCTTTTCTGCTCAATGTTTAATTACTGGTTGAAATGAAAGATATAAATTGAATATAAAACATAAATTGGAAAAATTATAACACTAATGTAAGATAGCCAAGTGCTAGTGATGCAGTGTTATGCTATTTACCTTAGTTTGAATTCCTCGTTGATTCTCTTCAGTGATCTTCTGCCTCACTTTACGCTTCATGAAGTCATTATAATCAAATGGATTAGCAATTAGCTTAGCCTTGTTGTATAGTCGAATATCAATGTAGTATCCATGCATTACAGCACGCAGCATGTTACTGCCTGGAAAGAAATTTTTTTAATTGAATAAAAAAACCCAACTGCCAAAGCTGAAGTTCAACCCGTTTAGAAACCTAGCCTGGACAAGTAGAAATATAACCCAGTTGAGCAGAAATCTAGCCTTGTTGAATACATACCTACCTGTGCCTAAGGTGACTGAAATTTGGCTCGAGTGTCGTACCTCAAAGTGACTATACTTGGTTATTTATACCTCTGAGTGTTCCAGTACTTTGTCTTGCTTGCCCTAGAAGCTGAGAGTGAATATCAGTAACAGTAGACTGTGTGAACTGGAGTACATGCAAGGAACACCACTCGCAAGACTCTGGGTCGAAGGTGTCATCGACCCAACAAGCAACATGGCGGAGGTTAGGCTGGGGGAGCAAACCCCCCCTCCCCCTCCCAGGGAGGGGCGAGTTGTGCAGACAGCACAACTTCGGTGGCTCTGGAGACGTCATGATTGTTTGCTTGTTTTCTGACTGCGGAGTTCTGTTTGTTCGTTTGGCTTTCGATTTGCAATTTTTAACCAGCTGTAGTTTGTTTTGGGACTTCTACCTTTTTGAGTGCCTGACCTGGTAGATGGCAGATATCGACTGCTTCCAACTAAATGGGGGGTGTCTATAGGCCATTGCTCCTCGTGCCTCTCTGAGGGGGACAAGTTCTGGCTCGTGGTCCCTGATAGGCATAGAACTCCACCAATTGACTGTTGCTACTGTCTAATATATACACATCAGCCCAGTATAGCTCCAGGGAGCCAAAGGGTCTCTCCACAGAAAATGTATTGCAATATTGTCTAACTATATATAGTATGTTGTTACGTAATGCAATCTGAAAGCACGACAATATGATAACTCACCAATGAGATCATGGAGGCCAAGCTGCTTTAGCTCATCTTCTGTGACAAACTTATAGTCATCATACTGAATTGGAGCATCTTCTTCCTCCAACTCTTCAATCAGTGCATCGAGATGGGAACACCATTTTGGTGCAGCACCAAGACTCTGAAATTAATATTGTTACTTTAAATGTGTTCATAAAATAGTTCAGTTACAAACAAAAAATATTTCTCTATAATTTAATATTATAAACAATTTAGCTTAAAGGCACAATAATGTTACTAAACTTCAAAATAAGAAATAGTCATTTAAAACTGGGTCTAGGTACTAGTAGTTACTGGTTAGGTAACCATGTGGATATATACCCCTTTAAAAACCTGATGCTCTTGGCAAGGTGTACATATGCACAACTTTTTTGGGGTATGGCATAAGATAGAACAGGAACAGCTTTGGTTATAAATGACCATTACAGATTCAGCAAGCCCAAATTTCATCCATGAAGTCCCATATTTCTGGCATTTATTTCACATAAGCATGTGTTTTATCATCTTGTAATGTCTGCCTATTTGCCTACCATGTAGAATATTATGCTTCAATGTGAACTATATTATTGTGTTTTCTTTATACTGGATAACAACACCCAAAAATCACAGAAGATCTGCAAAGAGAGGTGTGCAGACCATGATAGCAACTAAAAACCAGCCTTTAATGTAATGCAACATTGCTTTCTAGTGAAACCCCCGGTGGCTCCCTGAAGCTATCTCGTTGAGATTGCTCCATACTAATTGGTCATCACAGTCGCAAGAGTTCTTGTTTGGCCTACCTGGGACCGGAGCCAGAGGTGGTGGGAGCCAACAAAAACACCACCCAGTATTTAACCACCTTTAAAAATAAAATGGATTATAGTGTTTGCATATGTATTGCAAATAATTAACAGATGGTCAGCAACACAAGTTGGTCATTTACAACTGAAGCTCCACAACAAAAAAGTGCTGAGTAGAATGGTAGTTATTTCATTAGAATTTACTATGTAATACAAATTAAGACAAATTAGGTACTGTAATTTAAAGGCCTTATCTGGTTTCAAGCGAGCAAAGTATATTACCGTATACAGATTCTAGTTTTGGTAGTTAACACACTCATGGTATGAAAATTATTTGTGGCCTCCAATACAATTCAGCTGTTAAAAAATCCTAATACAATGGCCTTGCCATTATGGTAACAAGAGAAATTATATACAATACTTCAATCTACAAAAATTTATTCTTTCTCTCAACAACTTATATCTCTATTATTACCTTAAATTTATTATAGACAGACGTTCAATCATAAATTTTAAAAACTAACGAACTTACCGGCAAAAAATAAGTTTGCATTTTTGTGTCCTCAGAAGCCAAGAACATCATCCCAGAGTTAGGTACTACACACATGTCATTGTAATCCACTCCAGACTCAATGCTAGTGTGTGGGGCCCCCTGAAATATAAATGCTAGTTACAATAACAAATCTGCGACTGTTTTATATATTATACAAAAATTTACTAGATGATGTTGATTGTATTTACTCAGAAAATAAGCATAATTCAAAACAAGACAAATATTTACATGCAAAATAAATAATGTATAATCATGCCCCAGTCATACCATAACAAGCTTTCTTAAAAATTACTTTAAAAATGGCAAGGTGTCTTATCAAATTTAAAAGTTTTGAACACAATAGTATTTTAAGACCACTAAGTTTAAAATTTTGTCCATCAAATTCCTTTAAATTGCTAAGAGTTAACATTAGACAAGGAAAAATATCAGTGTTCAAAATATAGCTTTGCAGATGGTTTAGAAATGACTGGATATCAAAGGTGAATGGTAAATGGAAGGTGCATGTTCATTCCACAATATGGCTGTGGTATACCAAATATTATATGGCACGGTATTCTATTTTTGGATTATCAAAACACACACAATAACTAAGACTGCACTGATGCAAGTACTGTATTATGTAACTATACTTGAGAAAGGAGTTAAACAACTAGTATTTTCCAGAAAAGCAGAGCCATGGAAGTAGTGATGGAAGAGAGAGGATACATCAGTGGAACTGATCGGGTCAATGGCTTTCGCATGAACAAATGAACACATTCACAGGAGTCTATTTCAAATATAAGAACATTATACTACATATGAGTGAATTATATTTTTTATAGACGTGAAGCAACTATGAAGCAAAATACCTTCCGTACTTGAAGAGAATGATCAACATTTTGGAAGCATTCTTAGCAATCGCTGTGATTTGGGATTCAATGGCACACTGGATGCAATTGTGATGCACATAATATTACTATACATTTGAGGTTAGAGATAGTAATTAGCTAGTTTATTTGAATGTAATTAGCAAAAATCTGATTCTGTATAATATAAAAAGTTCTTTTCTAAGCAAGACACTCAGATGCAAGGCAAGAGTGCCATTGGATAGGATAATGAGTTAGGGCAGTGACACACTGAATCATTCAGAACCTTGTATACCACTTATGTTAGACCAATTCTGGAGTATGCAGCTCCAGCCTGAAGTTCATACCTAGTTAAACACAAGATAATGTAAGAGAAGATTCAGAGGTATGCCACCAGGCTAGTCCCAGAACTGAGAGGTGTGAGTTACGAAGAAAGGCTGTAGGAACTAAACCTCTCATCCCTGAAAGACAGAAGAGTTAGGGGAGACATGATCACCACCTACAAAATTCTCAGAGGAATTGACAAGGTAGACAAAGACATACTATTTAGCATAGGTGGAACATGAACAAAGGGAAACAGGTGAAAATTGAGAACCCAAATGAGCCACAGAGACATTAGAAATAATATTTGTCAGTGCCAGGGTAGTTAACAAATGGAATGCATTAGGCAGTGATGTGGTGGAGGCAAACTCCATACACAGTTTCAAATGTAGATATGATAGAGTCCAATAAGCTCAGGAATCTGTACACCAGTTGATTGACAGTCGAGAGGCAAGACCAAAGAGCTGAAGCTCAACCCCTGCAAGCATAACTAGGCGTGTACACACCACCACACAATAGGCACCTTTTCAAACACGGTGGACTCGACTAAGAGGCTGGAATAAACATAGTGTAAACAAATTAATCCAACTTGTAATTATGAAGGTGATGTCACACTTTACTTACTGTGTCTTTATTCCATATTTTAACCATTTTTGAAGACATGGATAGAACCACGCCTGCTGAATTATGAAATTCCAGCTCCTTTATAGGATATCCATCATTGTGATCTTTTATCAACAACGGTTTGTCTGATCGGATATCATAAAGAAGCACCTGAAAAAGAAATACAAAAAAGAAAATGCTTTACACATTTATATTACATGGAAACAAGACTATAGAGGCAGGAATGAATATAAGACAAATAACTTGATTCTATTTCCATGAGAGGATGGAGAAAAAAGGAAAAGACCTATGATAAAACAAATAGACAAGACACCTGCTAGTATATGATAATTAAACACAAAAAGAAAATCAAAAGACTTTAGTCTCTAATGGAAACAAAAATAGAAAGGTCATAACAATAGCCCTTTATTCACTCACTAATAATTCTTTGCTTCAGCCATTTTCAAACTAAACCACACAATGACTGCCACATACTCTCATATACCTTGCTCTGGGGGTGCAGACTTGTACAAGTTAGGCCTTAATGGGATGTAGCATTTGTAATGTATCAAGAGGCAAGCGATAGTCTAGAAGGGAGTCTACAGAAATTCTGTAATTAAATCAAGCCCAACGAACCCAGATTGGCACAATCCTCACAGATTTTAAAATCTGTGAGTAAAATCCATAGATTTTACCATAGATCCATAGATTTTACCCTCTCTTTTTGTTTTTACTTTATAATACTTTCAATGTTTTCTACCTTTAATTAAATTTCTTCAACTCTATTTTCCTCTTATGATATATTCTGAGTTATTCTGTCCTTTTCTCTTAAATTTAATTCTTATTCCTATAACAAAGTGAGTACAACCTATGTTTTTGTGATAGCCATAATAAAATACAGAAATCATCAGTATGAGTATGTTGAGAATTTTACATTTGAAGATGTAGAAATGGCTAAATTCTGAATGCATCATTCTATTCCCAATGCTATAAAAGGTGTACATGATAGAGAATGAAGAATTGAGTTATTCCCCTTTTTGTCTCATATTTACCTGTAATCTCATAATTTCTTGATTTTTTCTATATCCTACTCTTTCTTCAACATATTGTCAAAAACTACATGATGTTTACTTCAATGTTTGTTTCTATTACACAACCCATCCTCCGAATTGACAGTACTGACAGTACGGTTTAATTTCCTGACTGTCATACATAGAACATAATTGCACTTATGGGGCTGTTACATTTACCTCCCCATTTATTCTCCTCGTTTTCTGTTAATACACTCAGAATTTTAGGATGAAGTTTTCAAGTTCAGTTTGCTATACACAAGTTTTAAATATCAGGAATTTCTTTTTCAGTTTTAACAAACAATAGAGATTTTATACAAAATTGGAAAATATCCTGAGTTACTTAACTAAAATATATCAATAAAGTGTATTGCTTTATTAGTTTTATAAAACTGTAATATCAGTACAGCTATAGGTTAAGTACTAATTGTAACCAAGAAGCAATAAAATGATTATCTTCAAACACTAAGACAGTTAGGTGAGGTCATGGTTTTCTATTCAACTTTTCAGGTAAACTCAAACATTCACAATATATTTGACAGTACAATTTAATACTAAGTGAATATAAGTACAATTCCTGACTGATATGAATAGTACATAATTGCACTTATCTGTGCTGTTACATTTATCTCCCCATTTTTGGAGGACGGGCTGCTATTATATTACCTATCATTCAACAAAACAAAGAATTTACCTGGCCAGTTTGTGTGCCGACACCCAGTGTGAGTGTGTCATTGTAGGCTAAAGCAGAAATGCCCAATTGTTTCACCGATTTGTAGCTGCTTAGCCTGAAATGTAAAACAGTAAAATTTGTCCTAATTACACATAAATATAAATACTGTATATATATATTCTTTTATATGCTAACTACAGAATATGATACATTAATCGAAACTGCTATTACTATTCCATTCACCTGGACTGTATGGGTCTTGAACCGAGGACCCCACGCGTGTGAGGCCGTAGCTCTATCAATATGTGGGGCCTCACACGCGTGGGGTCCACGATACAAGACCCATAGTCCAGAATGTATTGTTTATTTCCACGGAAGTGTGGATGGCAATTTATTTGCTATTTCTATTAAACAATACTATATTATTTTTATTATATTTGTAAAATATACTGTAGTGGCTGGGAATCACCAGAACAAGAGTTCAAGCCACTCCATTTTCTCAAAATGATTCTCATTGATATATCACACCATTGTGATTTCATTGAGATTCTCATACTGAACAGTATTTACTTTTATTCAAGCACTACCTCAACAGGGCAACTTACTGCATATTTTCTGTAGCCATATGTACTGCACAGTCTAACACTCCAACTCTATGCCTTGATCTTGGATCCCAAGCTTCAACTCTGCCATCTTCAGTTCCACAGGTAAAAAGGTAGTGAACATTGTTGAAAGCACATTTATTTACACCTGGAGCATCTGTTTGCAGTGAGTTCAGGAACCGACCCTGGTTCAAATTTAATCGATATATTTCACTCCTGAAAAGAAAAAGCTATATATGTCAAGTGAAATGAATCATGCCTTTGAGCCAGTCCCTCAGATGCTTCCTGAGCCAGAGCTCATATGGTCAATCTTTACAATTGATCTTGACAAGGAATGAGAGAGAAGGAAGACAGTGCCAAATCTAGTTTAAGCCATCACCGAAAGACTAGTTCACTATGAGAAATTACAGAGCAATACGATTGATATCCCCTGTAAGCAATAAACAGAAACATGAGGAACACTAATTATCACTCTGTTAACTACAAATTAGTATGTAACTGTTACCATGACTGCCATCAGGTGACAGCACTTGTCATAACAAAAATAATGTCTGCAGAACAACCTCCCCCACTATTTAAGAAATGTGGTGAAAACAGAACAGTATATGAATCAGTATCTACTTATGCCATATAGGGCATACCGTGCAATAAGGCACAAGAACCATAAGGAAGGCAATCATTTTGGAATTAGGTTCAACCCCATGGGAGTGAACTCTAGGAATTGTCTCACTTCTCGTTTTTTTAGGTTTCAACCCCAGTGCAGTCTACGTTCAGGAGGGTTTCAAACTTACGCATGGGCGTAAGTGAACGACATGGAAGAAAATGCAGAACAGAACCAGTGAAGAGCAGGGGTGCCATAGGCACAATCAGAGAACACTGTATGAACATCAGAGGTCCACGGTTGTTCAACGTCCTACCAGCGAGCATCAGAAATATTGCAGGAACAACTGTGGACATCTACAAGAGGAAACTAGATTGTTTCCTTCAAGGAGTGCCGGACCAACCGGGCTGTGGTGGGTATGTGGGCCTGCGGGCTGCTCCAAGCAACAGCCTGGTGGACCAAACTTTCACTAGTCAAGTCTGGCCTCGGGCCGGGCTTGGGGAGTAGAAGAACTCCCAGAACCCCATCAACCAGGTATCAACCAGGGCAGCTGCCACCTGGTGGAGTCTGGGTAGTAAGTTTATTGGAGGAAAGAGGAGTGTTTAAAGGGTTTGTGTGTGCCATAGCAGAAGGTTTCTCTGGGTTGAGGATTGATCTCTGATCCTCAGATGCTTCCCACCCTGAATGAGGGAGATAAAACAAAGAAGTCACCCAGGAGCCTGGAGTATACACTATGTTCTGGCCACACCAGTGATCTAAGTAAGGGAAGTCACCAAGGGGGGGTTACCCAGATAACAGCAGATGACAATTTGTTAATACAGTATACAGTTAATACAGTAATCTATAATGTAATATATTAATACAAATATAATTTTATATGATTTTCTAATTATATACAACACAAATTACACATGTTATAATATGTATTTTGCATAATGAAAATAATAAAGTAAATGATGCTTTAGGTACAGTATTAATGTCCAAGCCAAATGATGCACCCCTTACATTGGAGGAAATCATATACACAGACTAACTGAATAACAGGCTTATCCTAGGAGGAAGTTAAGGGTGGTCACAAACTATTTTGAAGAGCATTATATCAAAATTTTAATTCAGCACACTCTACTGTTTTTTCTTAAAGAGCTGTATGCTTGCTGGTTGTCTTTGGGCATACCTTATCTTATCTATACCTTGCGTTGATTTCAGTGATCAAAGTCCCCGCAGTCTGGTCTCTGACCAAACCTCCTGATTTGATGGTCTGGACAATCAGGCTGTTTCATGCAGCTGCTCTCAGCATGGGCATCAATAACAACCAAAATTAAAACTAACTATAATCCATACAAACATTCAGAAAGATTTTCCTGTATTTGATTTACAGTTCAGCACTTTGGTCAAACATTACTCACCCTGATGCAGCAATATAAAGATCACAGGAGGGATAATGATAGGCCAAGTCACGTCCAAATCTTGGGATTCGGGTTCGAAACCATCGACCTGCTTGACTATGAAACTCTACATATCTTTCTTCTTGCAAGAAAACCAGCTGAAACAAGATATTTAATACATAGTATTAATTAATATAAATGCTGTACCAGCTTCTTCAAAAAAATTATTATAAGAAAATAGACTCAAAGTAGCCAGTGATCAAATTCAACACTTATATAACAATTTTAAGAGTAAATACTACATATACTTATTGTACTGAAATATGAGATAAGAAATGCATAGTGTACAGTATACAGCAAATATAGCACTAAACTAACCTTGCTATAATCATCTGACAAAATTTCAAACCGAATGACTTCAGCATCAAAGCATCTTTCAAACTTAAGAGAAAGGGCAGCTACTTCATAACATTTTACTCTTGGCTTATACGTTCCAGTGGCTAAAATATAGCGACCATCCGGAGATACACGCACACAGCCACTAACATCAGGCATAGTAAAATCCTGAATTAGTTCTATCCTGCGGCGAAATTCTGAAAATTGTAATAATGGTTTATTACACAAATATTACTTTATATGCCTACAGTACTAACAATGCTTTATTACAAAAATATTACTTTATATACCTACAGTACTAACACAATGTTCCAACATCATTTTCTGCAAATAAGACTTTAAAGGCTTTGTTCAACCCATGGTTGATCACCCCAAGGGGCACATGGTGTTCCCAATCGGTATTGGAGGCTTCCAGCAAACATCCACCAACTTAAAAAGTGACGAGTTTTTGAACATTTCTCGTATGGCTATGGTGGTTTTTAATAATATAGCAAGACAAAAAAATTGTTTTAATGGATTTTATTTTTTGTGTGCACATACAGATGTATGTGCACACCTAATGTAACATACCTAATGTGTACACACCTAATGTAACTCTTGCACATTCCAAATGCTAAAATGAAATTGACTACCATACGACCAGGATAACCAATGCCACAGGAAACTTTTCAGATAGTCTTGCAGGGTTATTAAAGGTACAGTATAACAAAAATCACTGGAGAAAAATTTCATCCAACTCAGAATGATCAAATGAGGTTCATTTATATAATGTACTGTAGATAGCTTCTCAGCATAATAATCTACCTAATGCCACACAATGGCTACAGAGGCAGAGGATCTTAGCAGGTACAGTTCAGAAAAAGTGTAATTAATTCATCAGAAGTCCCAAGCTCTGAACTCTGAAGAGGACATATTAGAGTAGAACATCTTACAGGTGATAAACTTTCACAAGTCATGCACCTGAGCATACAAGTGTGACTGCACAACCTAACCAATATGCACAACAGCTAGGAAATGAAAACCTTAGAATACAGGAGCAATGACTTAGAGCAAGGGTGGCAAACCAATTGTATGCATGCACAGAGTGGCAAATGAGCAAATTTTGCTAGCATGCTGCATTCAGTACCACCCCATGATTTTTTAAACTGCACCCATAATAAAATAATAAATATATCACTGTCTAACCAACAGGCTGACCTTTCAAAACTAGTTGCTGTGGTAACTGATGGTGCACTGTGCATGATTGGTAAAGAAGCAGGCTTTGTAAATGTGTTTGCAAAATATGTTGGACATCCACTGGTAGGCTTTCATTCAGCATACAATGACAAAAGGAGTCATTGTATGCTGAAGTTGTCCTTAACACTTAGACCGCACAATACATATATGATTTGACAAAATAATTTAACAAGTTTTTAAAACTTGCACAAACACCTTCTAATTTTTTTTTGCATAATCAATTAGGCAAATGCTCCAACTTTGTCTAAATTGAAATTGAAATTGAAATAAGTTTATTGAGGTAAAATACACACAAAGGGATGAGGTAGATGATCACAGCATAACTTGAGAAACAAGAGAATTAAAATACATTTTAAAATTGAATACTGAAAACTTCAGATTTTCAATTCAAAATAAAAATATGAACTATCACCAATTGTTCATTTAATGTTATTATTCTCTCAGAATAGCATATGATCTTCATTTTCATCAAATTAGAATATAGGTTTTCAATACAGTTTACTGTAATGAAAATCGTCAATAGGGCATTTGAAATATGCAGCAAATTTAGACCAAAAAAAATTATAACTCCAAATGTATAGTTATGAAAAATCCATTCTGATGAGACTGTAGAACAGACAGCTGAGCACACAATGTCAAATTATTGAGAATTGGTCAAAAACTGGTATTTTAGAAGCCACTCAAAGTTGAAACTCTAGTTTCAGAGAGTTGAAGTTATCAACAATGAATAAAGGTAGTTTTAATTCGTTAATTTAATTGTATGTTTTAATAAACAATGTTTGGCATTCATAGTCGAATATGTGAAAGTCTCCGTGGTATAGTGGTAAGACACTCGCCTGGCGTTCCGCGAGCGCTATGTCATGGGTTCGTATCCTGGCCGGGGAGGATTTACTGGGCACAATTCCTTAACTGTAGCTTCTGTTTAACACAACAGTAAAATGTGTACAGTACTTGGATGAAAAAACGATTCTTCGCGGCAGGGGATCGTATTCCAGGGACCTGCCCAAAACGCTATGCGTACTAGTGGCTGTACAAGAATGTAACAACTCTTGTAAAAATAACAACTCAAAAAAAAAAAAAAAAGTTGTAGGTCATTATGTGTTGAAATGAAGTCAAGAAAAAATAACCCCCAAAAACACAAAATATAGGGATAATTATAATAATTATAATTTATGGTATATACTTATATACCATAAATTATATTTATGGTATATAAGTATATATTTATGGTATATAAGTATATATTTATGGATATATTTATGGTATACTTTATATAAGTGAAAAGCCCTAATATGGTCCCTAATCATCAAAACAACCTAAGTGACAAAGAAAATAAAGTTTGAAATCAGAGAAAAAATCAGGCCAAAAAATTAAAAGTCCCAAGTTTTGTGAGCTGTGACTGATTTATTTGTTGACCAATTTCATTCTATCTTCACATAGTTAGGGAAACGTATGCATTCTCTAGGATGTAAAGGTTACAACAAAATCAGATAATAAACAAAGCAGAAAAAAAACTAAAATCTTAAAAAAATTTCCCCTAAAAATTTTTTTTGGAGCATTGATGAAAGTAACATATGTTAACATTAGGCAATGTCTTTATGTGATATATAACAAAATAGAGCATATTAACATAGTTATTCATTATTATTTGTGTTATTATGTATTACTCAACACTGATATAAAGGCACCAACTGCATATCCACTTTGTGGACACTTCTTACTACTACTCTTCTTCTTTGATCGTCAGACAGGTGATTGCATCTCTTTATTACTGCATAATCCTTTAGTTCCAGTTATTAGCTGTTTTCCTTATTAACACTTTCGCTCACCCCGCGCGCCACCCCTCGACAGGGCGATATGGGCCCCAGCGTGTCACGGAAGCGCGCGTTAATTTCGAAAAGTGTATACTCTCTTCAACTTTGTCACCTCAATTCTCCTTCTACGAGATTAAATTTGGTATCATTGTGTCCGCAATAAAATTCTCTACAACACTAAATGCATATAAACTCCAAAAGCCCAGCTAATTACCCGCAGCAAACAGAGAAAGTGCGAACGAGTTACCCGGGAGCGCGCAAACGGGATAAAATGTTTTCACTATTTTCACTCTGGTCACCTCAATTTTTGTCCTAGGTCTTTCAATTTGGTCTCAATGGGTTCGTAATAAAATTCTCTATAGGAACATTAGCATATAAAAAAAAAAACCTGGTCACGCTCCAACCGCCGACGAGTTGAAGACGGGCCACGCGTTAGCCGTGAGTGAGTGCTCAGAGGCCTTCCTGCTACACTCCCAATTCCCACCCTTTTCAAGCCTTTCTTTCGCAATTTTCTTCCTGGAAGGGCCTTGTTCATGATTACTATCCATCGTGGAGTAAGCGTAGATAGTTTCTAAAGCCGCAGTAAGAAATATAGCCACGGGAAATAGCCGAAATGTTCACACGTTTGAGATGCGAGGGGAGGCGACATTGGTCACAACAGTGGAGCAAAGACAATGGGCCCATGGCATGTGCCAAGCCGCCTGAGGGCCACGAGGCTCAACAAAGAAAATGGGAAGACATCGGCGCACATTTTAAAACCAGTCCCCAAAAAATCGGATAAAAACCTGATTTTTGGCGAATTTTTAAAGTGGATGACGCAATGCGCCAGTAAACGGATGACGCAATGCTGCGTCATCCCCGAGCGAAAGTGTTAACAAAATGTTCTTATTTTTAAAAAATTTGTCTAAAATCAATTTCTGAAAATATTTTGATGAAAGTTTTATGACACTGAAGCCAATACGTTGGAGATTTGTTTAACATTTTTAAGTTATTTTTACATACTTCAATTATTTTTCGCTACCAATCCCCCAATATGCGCGGTCTAAGGGTTCAGGAACTTGAAGTAATGAAAACTAACCAAGATAATCAGATTTCTGTGCATGTTTTGAAAAAATCAGCCCTGAATGTAATGAAATGCCAGTTTCTGTGTGAGCCTCTGTTACAGACCCGAGTCCAGCTTCGGAGCATGGAGCAGTGACGACAGCGCCATCTGTGAGTCCGCTCCCGAAACCCACTCCAAATGGACGACGCCATCTAGTGGTGACAGGATAGGCCAGCAATAACTGTTGGATTCCTGTCCTAGTCAGCTCGTGACGTAGCCGCTGCTGACCTCTGGTGAGGTGGCGCTTAGACAGCAACGCCATCTATGGAGTGAAGAGGTGGACGTTTCTTTCTAAGCTTGTGAGTGAAGTGTCCCAGTATTAATGACGTGTCTGATTTCAGAGTCGACTTGGGACTGCAGTGTTGGACGATGGATCAGTCTACCCAAGGCAGCCAAGGTCTCTTCACGAGTCTGCTTTGAAGAAGCTGTGAGCCACCCCCGGACGAACTCTGTTGAGAGAGTAATAGCCTGCCTGAGGAGTGGCAGTGTTGGGAATCGCCTTATCCGGGGTTGGCTGGTGGAGGAGACCACCCACTGGGGTGCTGTATGAGGAGAGTGACCAGCGAGTCACACGGGGCTCCTGGCTAGGGCACGCAACCTTAAGTATCGGTCGTGGAGTGGCCTACACAGCGGAGCTGATCGGTACCTGCCAGCTACAGGCTGGATTGTTGTTGAAGGCCTCCACGACGAAGCACCCAGTGGGACTGTGATTTGGCTGGCCTGTGGCCAGGGTAGATTCGTCGTAGAGTTATCACGGATTCATTGTGAGCCACGGAAGCCGAGACCAGGGCTACCTAGAAGAAGCATCGCCACGTGTTGAGCGTCTTCAGAGAGGGAGACCTCATTGTACATTGTGTAGTAATAATTCCCTTTTATGACTTTAAATTATGGTGGTGGAAATATATATATAAATTGGAATATTTGTATCCCTCCCCCTTTAGCTTTGACTTGCATTACGGAACACACCCCTTGAAAGCCTCTACTAACATGGGGCCGGATACCTTACCTTGAGGTTACCTTGAGGTGCTTCCGGGGCTTAGTGTCCCCGCGGCCCGGTCGTCGACCAGGCCTCCTGGTTGCCGGACTGATCAACCAGGCTGTTGGACGCGGCTGCTCGCAGCCTGACGTATGAGTCACAGCCTGGTTGATCAGGTATCCTTTGGAGGTGCTTATCCAGTTCTCTCTTGAACACTGTGAGGGGTCGGCCAGTTATGCCCCTTATGTGTAGTGGAAGCGTGTTGAACAGTCTCGGGCCTCCTGGCCCGGATACCCAAAACTCTACTACCATCAGAGAAGAACCCGTTGCGTCCCAGTAGGGCCGTAACAGCCTCAGAGGCTCCTTGAAGCTATTATTATTGATTCAGTACCATACTTCTACATACCATCAGTCACAGAGTTCTATTGGCCTACCGGGGACCACTTGCCAGAACCTGGCACCCTCAGAGATTCACACGGAGCAATGGCCTATGAACACTTTAAATATACTGTAAAGTTAATCATAATTGCCACCACCAGGAAAGCACCCAGAAAATTAGGTAAAACAAAACAGACTACTGCATAGTTAAAAGGAAACCACATCCTAAAAAATTTGCCAAAAGAACTCCCCAACAATATAAATAAACAACCAAAATTCATGAAACTATCTTGAGCATCCTCTGCTCTGCCCCACCTCCCCTCTCGTTTGGGGGAGAGGAAGGAGGGGTACTGGATCGGTCAGCTAGCCCTCCGCACTGTCAGTTCTATTCTGATGGTGCATGGTCGCTGTCATGTCACTCTGGCTTCAATCTCCCGTTTTGAGTGGTGTTTTGCCTTTGAGGCTGTTCTTTTATACATTGGTGTAGCATGCGCCAGGAGTTAAGTGTACCTGGAGCTGCATATATTCAGGGTTATCTTCCCTGTGCACTCTTTGACCCTTGTACAGTCAGGGTTATCTTCCCTGGGGTGTTTGGCACATACTCCCTTTAGGGGGCCTCCTCGCTTAGAATGGTTCATACCCTTCAGGTAAGCCGGTGGTCTGTGACTGTTTTCCCTCAAGTTAGGGATGTTTTTTTTGGTCTTCCCTTGGGTTGGGAGGTGTTTTTTGTCTTCCCTCGGGCTGGGGTGTTTTTGGCTGGAATCAAGGAATCCAGTCATCACGAGTCAGCCCAATCATCGTCAAACTCACCGATGAGTGATGTCTACAAGTCTTCTTCCAGTAGCTACGCTAGGTTACATGATCTATAAAGCATTGTTGATGGATATGATTTCAGAGCTCTACTAGTCATTATCATGTTTAACTAAAATGATGCATAAAATCTTAAGTAGGACCTACCATTAACTTCATTACAGTAGACAAGTTTATACATGTAAACATAAATCAAGTATTTCTTAGCAGTCCTTCATGCTAGCAGTGAGTGTACATGATGTAAGGGCTGAATAATGTTTCGAGAGACTGCGGTGTTATGACAATGGATGGAGCTGTATTGGGTGCCATGTTTTTGTTGCATACTCATCTGTCTCAATTGCATGGCAGTTATCTTGCCATACATTATTTCTGTAGAACATTTCCACTTAATAACCCTATCCATGCTATTTCATCATAAATACGGTAAAAAATAAAGGAAATGCAAAGCTTAATAATGCAAGAAACTATACTGCACACATGTAACATCACAGTCAAGCCTTAAGAGCATCCATGCTTGGCTCAAATACATCAATGAAAGAACTACACTGGGGTGTGGTTCAAGCAGTGTATCAACTGGCCAAAAATTTGTTAAATTTAAACAATGATTTACACCAGCTAGTTTCCAATGTACTACAGTATACTAACAAACAATACACATGCAACAAATATCACTTAAATACTATGCCTTGTACTTACCAACATCTCTCTTTGATAGTTGTCTTTTTTTCCTGTCTGTCAACCACTGAATAGAAAACAAAAAGAAAGCTACTTATTAGAGCACAAAAAAATCCTCATTGTTGAAGAAATATTAGATATATATGCAGTCAAGGATCATTGAAGGCTTGTATAACTATAAGTAACCTGATATTTCAAAGACTAGGCACTTTCAGGAGTTAGATACAAAAGTAAATGTCTTCAACCCAATTCCCAAACTACTCTGAAGCCAAAATTATCCAGTTTAAAGTATCACACACAAATGGAGGAAACATTCAATGACTTCTGTTGTAAAAAAAAAAAAAAAAAAAGGGCAGATCATGTAATTTATTAAATTTGTTTCATCTTTTACATAATTCTTCATTTTTAAAATTGCTTATACTGTATCTGATAAATGTAATACTGAGCTCTCAGTTTGTTTAACATAGAACAATGTATCACATCTTACAAAAAAAAAAATTACAAACAGATATAGTATTAAAATAAAATACTGTATACTATAGAACAAATTTGATGTACAGTAAATAATTTTGACTAATATGTAAATAAAAATGAAATAGCCTCTAACTCCAATTCTGATGAAAGCCCTGTAAAAAAAAAAAAAAAAACTAAAAAAAATTGCAGTCACATGTTAATGAAAACCTATCATTATTTAACACAATGCATCAAAACAAAATATAATATATAATGCATACTAATTATTATATACTATAGTGCAGTAGATTCATTTTAATGTCAACTTTGGCAGTTATATACACTTAATATAATTGTGCAAGTTAGCCTTAGAATATAACAAAATCAAAGCAGCAGCAAACAATATTTTACACCATGATAACCACTTTATTTTGAATATAATTAAATATAAATTAAAACACCAACACAAGACTCACATCAGGAAGTGATTTGCCAGCACTTAAGTTGTATACTTTTACATTGTTGCGTCCATCTAAGGCCTTCATCTTGACTTAGGATACCTGCGAGTCTTGCATTGGCAAAACAACCATAAGTGTGCAATTTCAGGTACTAAGCATTTCACCTCACCAAGCTGTCTATACAGTAATTGTTATTGACCAATTTGCACGTTGTTGCAACTAAGTATAAATATGCCTTTCTTTTTTTTTCTTTTTAGATTCCTGGGTGTCCTTTCCTCTTCATTATACGCAAAGTTACATCTTCCGAACCTGCACTATGGGTAACGATATCACGTGACGTAACTCTTCCAGATTTCAGTGCTATATCTTCTTTATACGTGCGGTTTAAGTGTTATTAATTATTTCGGTGATTGTAAGAGTTATGTGGTCGCTCAGATTCTTTTTTTTCTTTATAATAAGTGCTTGAGTGAGAGGTCTCTTCGCGACACGTGTAGCTGGGTGAGTGCTCCTTGTTGTTGTTGTGAGGGTCTCAGGGTAGAAGCACGGTTTCTGTTCTGTACATCCAGGGCCATTTTCTTTGGTTGTGTATATGTGGCTAGAAAACATACTTAAATTTTGTAATTAAATTAAATATATTTGATTAAAAATTATCATGTATATCATAATGAAAGGTTTTGGATGCTAATAAGTTTATTTGTTTTTTTATTAACACGCGCAAGTACACAGCAGGGGCCTCGTAGCCTGGTGGATAGCGCGCAGGACTCGTAATTCTGTGGCGCGGGTTCGATTCCCGCACGAGGCAGAAACAAATGGGCAAAGTTTCTTTCACCCTAAGTGCCCCTGTTACCTAGCAGTAAATAGGTACCTGGGAGTTAGTCAGCTGTCACGGGCTGCTTCCTGGGGTGTGTGTGTGTGGTGTGTGGAAAAAAAAAAAAAAAAAAAAAAAAAAAAAGTAGTTAGTAAGTTAGTAGTTAGTAAACAGTTGATTGACAGTTGAGAGGCGGACCGAAAGAGCAAAAAAGCTCAACCCCCGCAAAAACACAACTAGTAAGCAGTGTTAAGCTTCCATAAGAAATTCTACAACCCAAAACTATCTTCGACCCTTAATTACTCAACACATATCAACAATTAGAACAATAATAAACTTAAGCCCCAGACATGCTACTAGAACAGTATGAAAGCACTGCTAGCATACCGAATCTGCCCCAAAATATACAACAATATGTTGACCAAACCACACACTAAAAATTGAAGAGACGACGACGTTTCGGTCCGTTCTGGACCATTCTCAAGTCGATTGTGAGAATGCACAATTGACTTGAGCATGGTCCAGGACGGACCGAAACGTCGTCGTCCCTTCACTTTCTAGTGTGTGGTTTGGTCAACAAACACCTCACCTAACCAGACAAACACCCTCCTAACTCTACCAAGCACACTGAGAGCCGTACCAAAGTAGGGAGGGTCCACAGACGAGAACGTGGTTGTAAGTATAGGTCCACAGACATGGGTCCCAGTGCCCATCATCTGGGTTGGAGGGCAACAGTGCATTACTTTGCTCAGAGAGTATAATGCTGCTAATACAGCACTGCCTTCAATATGCAAACTTTTCAGGATTATTTAATTAGCTAAGATTTACCTGAATTTACAATAGGGTGACTGAGTATACTAAGATTCAGGTTTACAGAGCCTGTGTCCTGAGCAATCTCCTTTATGGCAGTGAGTCTTGGACACTCCGCGCCCGTCAGGAAAGACAGCTGAATGCCTACCACATGCGCTGCCTTCGACACATCTTGGACATCACCTGGCAGGACAAGGTGACAAACAACAACGTCTTGGGGAGAGCAAGAATCACCAGCATGTACACAATGCTGAAACAGAGAAGAATGCGCTGGCTCGGGCACGTTGTGCGAATGGGCGACGGCAGGATCCCCAAGGATCTCCTGTACGGAGAGCTGATGCAGGGAAAGCGTCCAACAGGCAAGCCCCAGCTACGGTACAAAGACGTATGCAAGAGGGACCTGAAAGCCATGGACGTCGATCTTGCTATGTGAGAGACACTGGCTGAAGACCGTTCAGCCTGGAGGCAGTCTGTTCACAGAGGTCTTTCCAAGTTCGAGGAGTCACTTACCAAGGAATCAGAGGCAAAGAGACAGAGAAGGAAAGCCGGTAGCCAGGAAGACAGACCAGAATCGGACTTCGTTTGTGCTCGGTGTGGAATGGACTGCCACTCTCGGATTGGCCTCATCAGTCACACCAGACGCTGCACTAGGATTGACAACTAGGGCGCTACTCCATAGTCTCCCGAGACTGAAGGATGCCTACTACTACTACTACCTGAATTTACCAGAGGGTCACTATCTCTCAGTGAGGATAGGAAGCCGGCGGCTTGTCAAATGTCTCCTATTTGCCCTGGTGATTGTATAATAATAATAATAATAATAATATTTTTTATTTAGGTAAGGTATATACATAAAGAGATTTTACAAAGTTTGTTGGCTTTATAGATAGAGCTAGTACATACAATGCCTAAAGCCACTATTACGCAAAGCGTTTCGGGCAGGAAAAACATTAATGACTAAAGCTTAAAACTAATGGGTAAAAAGAATAAAATGTGTTGAGAACAAATAAAAATAGAGGTAAAAGAGGGGGGAACATGGTTGAAAAAGCAGCACAAATACAATTACAAATTATTACAGAAAATTACATTCAAACAGCGTTGTTTTGAAAAAAAAAAACAAAAAACATACATGGGTTGACAACAGAGGGGTAAGGTAGGTTACAGGGAATTTATTAGGTAGTGCTTCGTTTTTATCTTAAACTGGTTGAGAGAGGTACTGTCTTTAACATGGTTGGGAAGATCATTCCACATTCTGGGTCCCTTGATTTGAAGAGCATTTCTAGTATGATTAAGTCGTACTCTAGGAATATCAAAACTGTATTTATTTCTGGTGTGGTGCTCATGGGTTCTGTTACAACCTTCAATGAATCTTTTGAGGTCAGGATTGGCATTACAGTTCAGCGTTTTATATATGTATAATACACATGAGAGAATGTGCAATGACTTAATATCTAACATATTCAGAGATTTGAGTAGGGGTACCGAGTGATGTCTGGGGCTAGAGTTGGATATTGTCCTAATAGCAGCTTTGTGTTGAGTAATTAGAGGACGTAAATGATTTTGGGTAGTAGAACCCCAAGCACAAATGCCATAGTTGAGATATGGATAGATGAGGGAGTAATAGAGAGTCACCAGGGCAGGGCGGGGTACATAATATCTGATCTTAGAAAGAATGCCAACAGTTTTTGAAACTTTTTTTGATATATTTAGAATGTGTCCCTGGAAATTCAGCTTGTGGTCGATGAGAACGCCAAGGAATTTGCCATCTAATTTGTTACAAATTTGGGTATTGTTTATTTTGAGATTTATATGATTAGAGGATTTATTGCCAAACAGAATATAAAACGTTTTGTCAATGTTAAGGGTGAGTTTGTTGGCAGTTAGCCAAAGATGGACTTTCTCTAGCTCAGTATTTACTGTGGCATTTAGAGCAAGGGGGTCAGGACTGGAGTAAATGAAGGTTGTGTCGTCAGCAAATAGAATTGGTTTGAGGTGTTGGGAGGCATTTGGAAGGTCATTAATGTAGATGAGAAAGAGGAGAGGGCCAAGTATGCTGCCCTGAGGAACACCAATGTTGATGGGTAGGGTGGGAGAAATTGTATTATTCACAGAAACATACTGGAGCCTGTCAGTAAGATAAGATTTGAGGTATTGCAGGGAGTGTCCTCTGACTCCATAATGATGTAATTTAAGAAGAAGGTTCTGGTGGTTGACAGTGTCAAAAGCCTTACGCAGGTCCACAAATAACCCAACAGGGAACTCCTTTTTATCAAGAGCTGCGTGAATCAAGTTAATCATACTAATAAGTGCATCGTTAGTGCTTTTTTTGGGTCTGAAGCCATATTGACAAGAGCTAAGTATATTGTGTTTGGCTAGAAAAGAGTAAAGCTGCTTGTAGATTAGTTTTTCGAATATTTTTGACAAGTTAGGCAGGATTGATATAGGTCTGTAGTTGTTAACATCTGTGTGATCACCACATTTGTGGACAGGGGTTACTCTTACTTTTTTTAGAATGTCTGGAAAGGTTTGGAGTTCAAGTGACTTGTTGAAGAGCAATGCAATAGCAGGGGCTAAAGATCTGGAGGCTTTTTTGTAAATTAAAGTTGGTATCTCCTCGAGGGCACTAGACTTATCGAGCAATGTTTTATCATTTACGGTTTCGTCGGGAAGGTGGTTCCATGGTTTCCCTGAATTTACTCGAGGGTGCCCCCTCGGGCAAATTCAGGTATCTCTCTCTAGTGGTCTCGACGAGGACAAGAAGGTTATCTGGCTTGTCGAAGGCCCCTCCCATTTGTTTTGGGGACAAACAAATGCCAATGTTTTGGCATTTACGGCTTCGGCGGGTATGCGTTTCCACAACTGTATAATTATATAGGAGAAAACAAATATTTTCCATCCTTCAGTGTGGCTTGTTGAGCTCGAAACCGTTGCTCCTTGTTCGTTTTACTTCTAGCCTTTTGAAGAAGTGTTCTGGGTCAATATCTTCCAAATTGTTCAGTAATTTAAAAGTTTTGCTGAGAGCAGCCCCTCAGTCCCTGTGGCCCTCAACCGTTCCTGGTATGAAAGTCGACTTAGTTCGGAAAAGATTTTAGTCGTCCGGTGTTGAACTTTCTCCAAAGCAGATATGTCTTTCTGAAGACTCAATGCGTGGATATAATAATCCAAGTGGAAGCACACCAGAGATTTATACAGTTGTATAACTACCTTTTCCTTCGTCAAAATTTCGTTTGACTATTCCAAAGGATTTGGTTTGCTTTTATAACTGCAGCTTCCACTTGTTGTACAACTATCAGTGATTGGTGGATTCTGACTCCAAGATAATGTTGATGATTTGGTAGTTGTGCATTGTTATCCCCACGTGAGTGAAAAAATCTGTTTTCTGTCCTAAGTTGTGGCTTGTTGAACTTGAAATCGTTGTTCCTTGTTTGTGATTGATTGATGAAGATTAAGCTACCCAAGAGGTGGCACGGGCATGAATAGCCCGTAAGTGGAAGATTTTTTTGGAGTGAATGTATCTTTGGTCGTAAAAGGATATACTGCGTGCTGTGCTCGCATTTAAATTGTCAGTCTATGGCTGCTAAATGAATTGTGGGGGTTCAGTCCCTGAGCCCATTATGTGCCTCTGTAACCCTTTCCACTACCGCCCACAAGATGGGTATGGGGTGCATAATAAATGAACTAAACTAACTACCTATGTCTTTTCCGAATTAGCGCTATTTGAGCGTTAGTGATTTTACTAAAATATACCAATTACACACCAAAATGTTCTCAAAATGCATTGTACATTCTGGTAAATATTTAAATATAAAAATAAATATAAAAGATGCGTGCCAGCGGTGGAGAGATGAGCACACTCCCAGGTGTCCCAGCTGGGTGTTGAGGCGGGCCACAGCGTTCACAAGTGCTCCACGTTGCCTCCGCTTGCTCCACCTCTTCACTCTTCTGTATAGCGCCAAAGCTTCTAGATTAATGTCAAGTACATTGTTTTATTGTTCAGTTCTAGTAAAGATCCTTGAGTAATAAAGAAGAGCTTCGAGTGTGTGTGCGCCATTTTAAAACTCGAACGTGTAAATAAATCATGTAAACAAACAGGGTTAGCGACGTCAGTCTTGGCACCGCTGCCAGGGCCATTATACTAACCTTGTGATCGTCTCCAGAAAACAGGTGAGGGCCTCATACCCTAAATACGGTGTCCTTTTCTTTGTCGCGGTTTATTATAAGTATGTGGTATGACCAGTGTTGCCTGGACCATGGTTGGAGGGTGGGGCGTTCCTTGGCCAGGGTGCAAGGCCCCCAATATGTTAGTTTGTTGTGCATTGTCTTAGGGATACAGTATTGTGACGGAATAACAGTAGAACAGTTACTTGGTAAGAAATGACAAGTTGTTTACTTATAATGTCACTCGTTGAAGAGCAGTATCACTCCTGAGTTTAGGCAGGTGTCATTGGCAGCATTTTACGTTCTACTTGTAGCTTCGGAATATATTATTACATGTGAATAGTTATGGTCAAATAATAATGAATGGAAACTAACCATATCCTGTGTTTTACGGTTAGCAATCTGCACCTACAAATGTAAGCACCAAGTCAGCCAGAGCTGATTATTTGAACATTTTCAAAATTGTGTGCACACTGTTAGTAGGCAAGAACTCTTGTGGACATGACCTCTATATATACATTACAGGTATGTAGTTTTGAAGTATAGTAAATGTTGTTGGTTTAGGGACTACACTGACCTTGTACTTATTAATGTATATACGAAAGATTGTGTGCACTAAATACAGTACAGTACACCTATTGTTAAGAAATTATGAATGAAAAAGTTCCAGGTACAGAAATGAAATGTTACATTCAGGTGGTAATAGGTTAGTTCAACAAGCAGAAGATGTACTCTTATGTATATTTGTGCACTATTTTTAGCTAAAGTTTAGCATACAGTAACAAAATAAGCCACTGTTTGAATGGCAGCATAACTAGTAAGTCATTAAATGTTTCTTGTTAAAAAAAGCATCTTGCCTCCTTGTTTTTCAGACCTTAATACTAATAATGCGCCTGCCATCTCGGAGGACAGTGATTTCATCCGTTCCTGCTAGCAGTCACAATACATGTGCCTAAATAAGGTAAGACCTGTTTTAGGTATTTAGGTCTATGTTTTAATTGTTAGACTGGATTTGTGGATGCAAGATAAAATCAAGGTAGTTATCAAGAGAAAAAATTTAGTATAATTTGTATCACTTTGGAAGGAAGTGGAGGACAAGGCGAGATATGAATATGGCGGGTAGTTGTGCAATATTACTTTTGCATGCAACATCACCAATTTGCACATGGCAGATGGCTTGACAAAGGTTTTTAAGATCCACTAACTGAGACCAATGCATACCAGACCTGAGTACACTAGAAGTGTGTGGAATCCTGTGTGGGTAGTCCTCAGACAGGTGTCACTTAGTTTAGATTTGCTTGGTCATGAGTTTCTTTAATACTGTACCAATGAAACACTCTTGGAGAACTTGTCTCAGGTTCTCATCAAGAATTAATTTAATTTAGGGGTTAGTATTAGTATTGGGGGTTAGTAGTAATTATTAGTACAGGTATTGACACGAGCACTTACAATGCTTAGGGCACAGGTGTGAGTAGCTGTACTTGGAAGTGAATTCATGAAAACCAAAAATCATTCGTGTTCTTTTTGATGCTCAGCCTCAGAACTGAATGCTGTAGCCACCGGCGTGGGGACAGGGGTCTGTGCGGATGATCAGTGCAACAGTGTTAATGACATTTGCTTCTTTTTACTTTGAGAGTTCTGCCTCCCTGCTCGTTTTTAGGTAACAATTTTTACCATGTGGGAATTGCTATATTACACCTACAATTCTGGTTACCAAACCCTGGTCGATAGCTGATATGTAATGCCTCCAAACACACACACTACTTCTATAGGCATTGCCATTCTGAGGGGGGCCAGGTTCTGGCTCGTGGTTCCTGGTAGGCAAGAACTCCATCGACTGATGCCACGGTCTAATACATACAGTACATACATACATATCAGCCCAGTAAGCTCCGGGGAGCCTCCAGGAAGCCTCCAGTGGCTTGCTCAGAAAATGGCAACTCATTACATTCAACACTGTTGTTTTTTATCTGTTAACTGGTTCATCAATCCCATGATGCTTAACGATGCCCAGGGACAAATTTTTGCCTTCCTGCTGTTCAGGTTGGGCAGAATTTTAAGATTTATCTTTGGGATGGGGGGGGAAGGGGGGGGGGTGGATTTGAGGATCTGACTTCTCTGCTTGGCTGGAGATTGCCTTAGCCACCTCCTTCCTGGATCCAGTTTCAGTTCCCTACTTTCTCATGGCCTCTGGGCTGTTTGCCAGCTGAGCTTTTGATTTTCGGTGACTTCTCTTCCACCTCTCCCGCGATCGCTGGGTTCGGCCCCTGGGGGCCTTGCGTCAGCTGCTGCATCGCCGGCTTCTTCTTGGAGTTTTCGGGGTTAAGTCACTTGACCCCTACCGGAGCCCTCACTCAATGTGTTCACGGATGTGTTGTCTCTTGGCTGGGGTTTTGTGACCAGTGCTCACCAGGCTGGCCAGGAGGGGGTGGGGTCCATCCTTCCATCGGGCTCACTGCATGGTGCCAGAGTTTGCTGTGGTGTAGATGTCGTTTCAGAGGATTCGAGTCGCCCGCAGATCGACGATCTGACTCCTTTTGGACTGTTTCCTGGTGGTTCCTTGCCTGGACTATGGGGTTCGATGCAGTCCTTGGCTCTTTGAGGCTGGTCGCTTCAAGTGACTCGTCTGCTGAGTTCCTGGAGTTGGCTCTCTTGGCCGTTCACATCTGGGGAATGTCCAGCGTCTTGGCGGACAGCCTTCCCGGTTAATTCTCCTGTCCACAGAATGGACAATTGTCGAGGACTCATTCAGTTGGCTCTGCCAGACATTCGGGCATCCGGAGGTGTTCCTCTTCGTGTCGATTTGGTCGAGGCGTTTTCCGGTATAAATGGCACCCTTCTCTGACTGCGCAGCAATTGGGGTGTCGATGTCTTCAGGCAGGGATGGTCGAGGTGGGGGTTCCTATACCTCTTTTCCCCTGGTTCAGTTGTTGTTCCAGGTCTTAACTCGCTTGGAGACTTACCAGGGGGAAAATAGTCCTCTTGGCCCCATGGTGGCCGGCCTAGCCTTGGTTCTGAGTCTGCTTGCTCGGTGTCTGAACCCAGAGGTTTCCCGCGGCTCCGCCTCTTTCAGCAGTTCGGTCTGGTCCATTACGTGACTGGTTCATTCTTCTCCTCGAGTCTTCGCGTCTGGTCTTTTTGCCTCGAGTCGATCACCATCTGTGTGGTGATCAGGAGGCTTCGTTAATGGTGTCCCACTTGCGGGTTTCATCTCGGCGGCAGTATGAAGTTTTCCTGGTGGTCCTTCCGTTTCCTTCTATCGCTTCGTAGGTATACTTCGCTTTCTGTTCAGGTTGTCTTGTCCTTTCTCTAGTGTTGTTCAGGGCAGTCATCTTATACCGAATACTGTCGCCTCGTATCGTGTGGTGTTGGCAGAGCTGCTACAGCTTGCTTTCGGTTTTGATGTTACTTCTGCGCTGTTTCGTATGTTTTTTCTCCTGCTTATGCACCGCTTGAGCAGTCCTGGCCCTTGGATCAGGTGCTCTTTTATCTCTCTTTGCCTCGGTTTGTTGTGTCCCCCTTCGGTTCTGGGTTGTTTTTCCAAAGCCCTTTCTTGTTTAAATTGGCCTCTGGGGGTCAGGTCGGGGAGCTTTATAATCTCCTCCAGCATGGGGGTTTCTGCTCTTTTGGTCCTGGCGATAGGTTTGTTCAGTTGCAGCCGTCTCCTTCTTTTCTGGCGATAAATGTGATGGCTGCTTTCAGGAGGGGGTCCATGGGTTGTTGGTGCTTAGTTGGTCGGGCCGGGGTGCATCTTGTGTTGTGTCTGGTTGTGGCTCTCCGCCGTTCTTTGTGAGCCTCGGCATTTGTGACTGGGGACACGCTTTGGATTGTTCTGTTTCTCTTCTTCCCTGTTCCAGGGTTCGGGTCTCCCAGGTCATCTGCAGGGTTATTCGGTCTTGCCAGCCTGCGGTCTCTCCCCGTGCCCGCGAGGTTTGTAAGTTTGCTGCGCTTGCTGCCGTCTTTGGTAACATGTCTTGGGTGGACACTTGGGCACTGGGTTTTTGGCAGTTGAACGGGATCCTGGCTGAACGCTACCTGGTCAATGTTCCTGGGCCTAGTTGGGCCTGGCTCGCTTGGGTTGGCAGTTGCGTCCTGTTGTCTCGACTTTAAGTTTAGGAGCAAGTGCCTCCCGCCTCCTGGGGTAAGTCCACTTTGGATTTCGTCTTTTGTGATGTAGCTCCAGGGAACTGAAGGGACTCCCCACCATAAAATCAGTGTTGAATGTAATGAAACGCCGTTTTCTAGGGGAGAGACCCCCCCCCCCGGTTGGCAGTTTTTCGTGTGTTTTGACATCCAGCCTCAAACTGTGGGTGGGGATAGCTGGTGCGAGGGGTCTGAGGCTCCCCCTTTCTCCTCCTGATGAGGGGGGAGCTGCGCAGACAAGCGGCGTGGCAAGTGTGACGTCATGCTCGTTTTTCCTTTGGCGAGTTCTGTCCACACGTTAGCTTTCAGTAATAATTTTAACCAGAATAGGGGTTTGTTTTGGGGCACTTACCTTTCTGGGTGCCTGACCCGGTCAATGGCAGACATAGAATGCTCCAAATCGCATGTGCATTTCTATAGGCCATTGCTCCTCGTGCCTTTCTGAGGGGGTCAGGTTCTGGCTCGTGGTCCCCGGTTGGCCTAGAACCCCATTCACATTGATGCCAAAGTCTAATAATGTACATATCAGCCTGAATAGCTCCGGGGAACCTCCGCGTCTCACCCAGAAAATGGTGTTTCATTACATTCAATGCTGGTCTTATTCCACTTAAAAAAATCTTTAGTGGACAATGACTAGCGACATTACCAATGTGTAAATTTCTGTAATTAATGATTTTATATTTCGGTAGATAAAGACTGCTATTCTCAGAGATGGCACAAAGCAACTGTAATGCTGACTGGCAGACGGAACTTAGATTTATCCACCAAAGGGCAGGTCATGTTTTGGAGTCGGGACAATGGGCTGATTGTACCTTTATTGTTGGCAATGAAAATAATCAAAAGGTAAGTATTTAATTATTTTATATTAATATACTGTAGTTCTTTGCAGACCTAAATCATTAGTTCTGAAGGTTAAGGAAACCCTTGCAGATTCATGTTAATTTTTTAATTTATCAAAAAGTATTTGTGGAAATATTGAATGTTATTTGTCTTGTAAAAATATTACACAGTGCAGTGCACTGTGTAATATTTTGTATATGGGAACATTCTTCACCACTGCTGGAATATCTTATCATTATCCGCTTACATGTTTCATTTACTCTCTCTCCTCTTCTGAAAGGTATTTATACTGCACACTATCCCATATTTCTTTTAAAACCCCTTTCTTTTAATGTCTTACATCACATCTACCCATCTACCTATTTCCAGACCTGGTACCTTCCACTGCATATCTATGTACTTTCATGTGGTCTACTTTGAGTCTGTATCCTTTACACCTTTTCATACACAATACAATAGACTCCTAAATTTATGATTATAATCTTTATAGATTGAATATATGAAAGTTCTAAATTGAGACCCTTAAGTTTTTAAGCAATGTTTGAATATGTATTTATTTGCATGGCAATGTAATTATTTTTGGAAAGGCCCCTCCCTCTCTATCTCCCCGAGCTACCCATCTGGCTAGCTGATTAGGTGTAAATGAGCGGCAAACTAGTGGTTCAACTCGGGTAACAATTGTTTACATAAATACAGCATTGCCAGCAGTTACCACACTTATCTATTTTAGCGCACTGTACCTTTCTGGTGGTTTTCTCTTGGATACCGTGGTTGATTGTAGATCTTCAGACTTCTCTACCTCTATTGAGGGGGAGGGGGCAGATTCTGGTCTAAGTCTTTGTCTTTTGTAGACACTCATGAATAGATTGAACCTATTATGGTAATTACCTAAGTGTAGTTACAGGATGAGAGCTACGCTCGTGGTGTCCCGTCTTCCCAGCACTCTTTGTCATATAACGCTTTAAAACTACTGACGGTCTTGGCCTCCACCACCTTTTCCCCTAACTTGTTCCAACCGTCTACCACTCTGTTTGCGAAAGTGAATTTTCTTATATTTCTTCGGCATCTGTGTTTAGCTAGTTTATATCTATGACCTCTTGTTCTTAAAGTTCCAGGTCTCAGGAAATCTTCCCTATCGATTTTATCAATTCCTGTTACTATTTTGTATGTAGTGATCATATCACCTCTTTTTCTTCTGTCCTCTAGTTTGGGCATATTTAATGCCTCTAACCTCTCCTCGTAGCTCTTGCCCTTCAGTTCTGGGAGCCACTTAGTAGCATGTCTTTGCACCTTTTCCAGTTTGTAGTTAAGTACAGTATGTTGGCTAGCTGGGTAGGTACCTCTTAGGTAATGAGGGGGACCCACCAGAAAGAGGCATTTAATTGCATTCTTTGCTGGGTTTCTTGCTATGCTCAATGAAATTTCACATTATTCATGCTACAATGAAGTTTTCCAGGTGAATCTCTTGACTTCTTGAACTGGGAACTCAAATTCAAATTAAAAAAATTCAAATGTTTATTCAGGTAAAGTACATACATACAAGGGGTGATACAAATATTGATGGATTTATAGATAGAGCTAGTACATACAATGCCGAAGGCCACTATTACGCAAAGCGTTTCGGGCAGGAAAAACACTAAAGACTAAAACTTAATACTAATAGAGATTAAACTGCCTGCCCTATCCCAGGATGAGATGTCTTAGTAGCTCCATGCTCAGGTTTTTCTCTTGCTTTCTTTTCTCTCTCCTCTCCTCCTCTCCAGTAGATTTCAAAGCCTGGTCTGCTTTTGAAGATGTTTGTGTTTTGTCTACACACAAGATTTTACCACTAGAATTCAGTTTCTAGTTTAATTTTATTCACTAGAACGTAAGCTTTCCTGCCTGGAAGTTGTCTTTACCGGGCTTGATCTTGACTTTTCAGCAGCCAGGGCCTTGCCAAAGTAGTTTATGTAGCTTGTAACATTTGTAGCATCTGATAGTAAATAGCGATGCTGGCTATTGTTTTTATAATAGAATTTGCAGTTTTAACATAACTAACAAATTAATGCAAAGTTCTCAAATTGTTACTCTTATGCTTAATAATAGAAATGTTAAAATTTGATGTGCAGTACATCAATAAATACAACTCTAGCCCACAAAATTATTTAAGTTATCCAATTACAATTTCAACTTACAACCTTGAGAACATGCGTTAATAATACTCTCTCCATTGTTTGTGCAAAATTACAATTATGGCCATATGAAGTAATTTTGGAACGCTATTTGATTAAACACAACTTGTAGAAACCTAAAATATTTTTGTATGTACAAATAAGCAGTCCTCGTGGCGCAGTGGTAAAACACTTGCCCGGCACTTCGAGCACTTTGGCCTGGGTTCATATCCTAGCCAGGGAGGATTGATAGGCACAAATCCTTAACTGTAGCCTCTGCTCACCCAGCAGTGAATGGGTACCTGGTTGTTAAATGATTTGGTGGGTTGTATTCCGGGGAGAAATTAGGATTAAAGACCTGCCCGAAACGCTATGTGTGCTAGTGGCTGTACAAGAATGTATGAACTCGTGTGTGTGTGTGTGTGTGTGTGTGTGTGTGTGTGTGTGTGTGTGTGTGTGTGTGTGTGTGTGTATACACACACACACACGCACAGCGGTAGCGAACTGTTTGCCGCAGACGTTTACCGGAGTAAATGGGGAACCAGCCTTTTGCCTGTCGCGGGGCACATATGCCGAGGTATTTGGAGTCCGGTGTGTGAGTGGCCGACCATTGCGTTCTGTTAGACATACGTAACATTAGGCGAAGGCGGCCCTCCTTGCACATGTCGTGTGGTTCTAGAGCCAGGCATCTCGGGTCCGGTGTGCGCGTGCGACCGATCTTGTTTATTTGTTAGACATATGTAACAGTGGGCGAAGACAGTCGGCGAAACTCACACATGTTGTGTGGTCCGAGATGGCTTTCCATGCACATTAGATATAGATATATAAGGGGGGAGACTCGGTGGCTGGCTGACAACTACCGGCGTCTTGGCGACATTGTGTCTCGTTGTCGCCAGAGAGAAGGAGCAAATGTATTCCATTGTTTTGGTACGTGGGCTCCTTTCTCTTCCCCCATGTACTGTAATCAAAAACTCTTGACCTTTAAATCATAAGCTGTATTTTCCAGACTCTTCGAGGACACCGCCTCATCTTGGCAATGTCTTCACCAGTGTTTGAAGCCATGTTCTATGGTGGGATGGCAGAGAAGAAGGACAAACCTGTGGAAATTTTAGATGTACAGCCAGAAGCATTTAGAGCTTTATTACAGTGAGTGATTTGGTTAGAAATTTGTGAATACAGTTAAAATTCTCTAATGCTCCCGTGGAGTTGTTGGTACTGTGTGGTAGCAGACCAGTTGGCCTTGATTGCCCAAATAAGCACAACTTTGGGGAAAGTAAAGAAGGCATCTCAATGCCTCAGGGCTTCGACAGGTTATTCCTGCAGCCTTCCTGTACAGTTCTTACCTTTGGTGTTAATTCTTTACTTACTAGTGTTCCCCTTTATCTCTAATTCAGGAGGAGACAGAGGGCCTTCATTTTCTACTTACATTTTCCACATTTACATTACTGTATTGACACACTACCCACCTTTCTTTCAATGGTAAATATTTTTCATACATGGTGTTGTTATGGGATCTCCTTTCTCTCCTGTTCTTGCCACTCTATATATGGAATTTGTTTTTTAAATATTCTTCCAACTATTGACATTTATACCTCCCCCTTTCCCTCTGGTTTTACTATGTTGATATTTTGGATCTTCGGCCTCATAACTAATCTTTTCAAACCCTTCCCATCTCTTGGTAATCTGGTTCCCTCCATAAATTTCAAAATTGAAAAGGAATCAAATTCCCTTCCTTGATGTATATATATTCACAGCTGTGACTGGCGTCTTTCTCTTTACAGTACAGTATACTGAAAGCCTATGCACAATGGTTTGTGCATTAATTTATTTTCCTCCCATCTTTCTTTTATAACAAAAAATAAGTTTCCATTTAAATTTGATAAGGGTTCAGGACAGGCAGAAACATCATTACTGTACTTTAATTTTTACATGTGGGTTGGGTTACGTTTTTCAGACGTGTGAATATAAGACACGAGAATAAGACGTGTCTTATTCTCTGAATTTGTGAAATTTTAATTATTTTAAATTTTAAATGCCATACTTTTTCACCATATACCTGAGTCATTACAATTGTAGTTTCTAGAGTTTATGCTATGAAAAGTGTGTTTTGATGAATATACAGTACTGTACAGTATTTAAATTCATGTTTGTGATTCCAGATACATCTACAGTGATGAAATTACTCTAAAATCATTTGACCAAGTATGTGAGATTTGCTATGCTGCTAAGAAGTACATGATTCCGTCCTTGGTAGAGCAGTGCACACAGTTTATATGGCAAGATCTTCACCCAGGCAATGTTTGCAGAGCTTATGAGTTTGCACGCTTGTTTGAAGAGTCTAGCCTCTTGGAAAAGTGTGTCCAGGTATAACATGCCTCTTATTTAAGTTATTAATTTAAAATTTATTGGCTAAATTTAAAGTTAATTTAACAAAATTAAATTAAATAAAAAAATTTAGCGAAAATTTTTCTAAATTTAAGTTAATTTAGGACCAGATTAAGACTTTTTTTACTTATATAACGTACCAACCCGTCCTCTTCAAATGTCGCTTTTCACTTATGCACACTATGGCCAAAAATGGACGTATGTAATTTTAAATGAAATCGGCTCACGAAAGTGATGTACTTTCCTGTTTGAGTCCTCTGGCTTACTCGGAAAGGTTAGGAGAGGAACAAATCCACAAGGGATTTGTGGATTTGTTCATTTGATGCATCACGCTATTGTGATTTATGTGTGTAGTGTTAGGAGAGGAAACTTTCAAATAACATTTTTCATGACGTTTTGAAACTTAAGGAAAATTTCCTGCCCGCCTATCTAGAGGACCCTTAACTTACTGTTTTGGGGAAAAAAATCCAAAATTTATTTTCAATTTCATTTTGAAATTACGTCAGTTATCAGCCATATGGGTAAACGGCCAAAAGCGGCGTAATTTTTAAGAGGACAGGTTGAAAGTACACCCTAAATATATTCCCTAAATCATTATTATTATCCCTATATTTTGTTTTTAGGGGGGGTTATATTTTCTCGACTTCATTTCAACAGTGACCTACAACTTTCACATATTTGAGTATGAATTCCAAACAATGTTTATTACAACATACAAGTAAATTCATGAATTAGAACTGCCTTATTCATTGTCGATAACTTCAATTATATCTACAGTAACTAGAATTTCAACTTGCTTCAGTATCCAAAAATCTAGTTCGACCGATTCGCACCATTTTTAGTGTGCACAGCTGTCTGCTCTACAGTCCGTATAGAGTTGATTTTACATAAACTAGACGTTTGGAGTTAAATTTGTTTAAATTTGTGCATATTTCAAATGCCATATATTTTTTTTTTTACAGTAAACTACAGTATACTGAAAATTTATATTCTAAATATGAAAATGATCATATGCTATTCTGAGAGCATAACAATAAATGAACAGCTGGTGATTTTATATTTTTGCAGATTTCAAAATCTGACGTTTTCAATATTTAATTTTATAATTATTTTCTATTTTAAACAAAGTTGAAGCATTTGCCTTGTAGATTATGCACAAAACACTTAAGTTTCAGAAAATTTAAAAAACTGAGCTCAATCAAACATCATATGACATTTTGTGCAGTGTACGGGTTAATCCATCATATACCCAATATAAAAAATGTATACTTTAGGTTAATTGAAGAGGATTTTTTGTATATTTTTATTATAGTATATACCACAAATGAGGATAAAATATAAACCTTACTCCTACTATTCACAAGCCTTATTACAATACTGTATATATATAAATATACAAGTTTTCCCAGGTACTTAAGTGCTACTGGTGCTCAGTATGCTAAAATAATGAAGGAAACAATTCATTAAATGAGTCAATATCAAAGTCCATACTATGGTCTTCAAATTCATCAGATTGTAATGATTGAGGTGATAGGACATCAAAAGATTCTAAAGATTGTGGTGATGTAATAGATTCATAGCCAGACTCTGACCCTAAGAGAGATTCTGGGCTAGAACTAGTCAATTTATCCTGAAGAAAATCTAAAATCTGCTCCTTACTAATTGGTAAAGGTGCTCTGGTAGAATGAGACTGTGTTCTTGGGCAAGTTTCATTGCCTTTTGTAACTGAAATACTGGCAATTTTTTCAAAATCTAGAAAGTCTTTCAAAACTTCTGGATTAGTTATATCTTCAGTTGGACTTGCCAGTTCATCAATTGACATTGTGACACCATTTGTTGATACACACTCAATGCTTTGAGCAGGAACTTCATTTAATGCACTAGTTAACTGAGCAATAAGGTCTTCTTCAGCAGGAGTAAGTCTTGTATTTAGGTCCTCTTTTGCTTCATATCCCTTAGTATAGTCATGATCTGTTTCTTGACTTTATTTCAATACATATTGACCTACGACTTTCACATGTTCGAGTACGAATGCCAAACAATATTTATTAAAACATACAACTAAATTAACGAATTGAAACTATCTTTATTCATTGTTGATAATTTCAATTATCTCTGAAACCAGAGTTTCAACTTTGAGTGGCTTCTAAAATTCCAGTTATTAACTGATTCTCACTAATTTGACATGTTGTGTGCTCTGTTGTCTGTTCTACAATCCTATCAGAATGGATTTTTTACGAACTTTATACATTTGGAATTATAATTTTTTTTGTCTAAATTTTTCGCATATTTCAAATGTCCTATTGATGATTTTTTTTTTACAGTAAACTATACTAAAGCCTATATTCTAATTTAATGAAAATGAAGCTATATGCTATACTGAGAGCATAATAACATTAAATGAACAATTAATGATGGTTCATATTTTTTATTCTGAATTGAAAATCTGAAATTTTCAATATTAAATTTTAAAATTAGTTTTGATTCTGGATTTTCAAGTTACGCTGTGATCATTTAGACGAAGTTGGAGCATTTGACTAGTTGATTATGCAAAAAAAAAATTGGAAAGTGTTTGTGCAAGTTTTAAAAACTTATCTTAAATTATTTTTTGTCAAATCATATATGTATGTATTGCACAGTCTAAGGGTTAAGAGCAGAAACTCTACTTACCAGGACAATAGAGGTTTGATTATCTGTTGATAATTTTTTAAAGTTCTTCTACACTACAGCCTGGCCTTTGCCAGTCTTCCCAGGCAATTAATTGCCTGGGGCCAGATTCACGAAAGCACTTGCGCAAGCACTTGTGAACCTATACATCTTTTCTCAATCTTTGGCGGCTTTGTTTCCAATTATTAAACAGTTAATGAGCTCCGAAGCATCAGGAGGCTGTTTATAACAATAACAACAGTTGAATGGGAAGTTTTCATGCATGTAAACTGTTTAATAATTGTAAACAAAGCCGTCAAAGATTGAGAAAAGATGTACAGGTTCGTAAGTGCTTGCATAAGTGCTTTCGTGAATCTGGCCCCTGGTCTTTGAGGTTGTTAGTCTTTGTAACCTGTAACCTGACCATGTGGTCATCACAGCTAGGCTGACCTGTTAGTTCCACCAGGAACTAGAGAGACCCCCTCCTGTTGTATGGAAGATTTTATGAAGCCTACCTGAATGGCAACCAGAAGTTATTAAAACAAACACATTAGCACCAAATACTGATTTAGATTATAGTGTGGCATAGCAGAAAATCTGAACCTGCAATGAAGGGACCAATTGTATCCTTCCATGGACCAGTGAACTAACCAATGTATCTCAACACGGGAATCCTATACCTGTAGAGAAAATTTGTGGCCCTACACAGCAGAATTCTTAAGAGAAAAAAAAAACAGGCAGCATAAGACCTTCATATAAAATGGGCCCACTCTAGGTCCATAACTGAGCAACCACCTCGGAACAATTAAGAGAATTAACCAACCTTGCAGAGAAGGTTTGAGAAGACCTAAAGGGTGGCCATTAGTACAGGGCTCAGCAGATATGAAAAATGTAACATTATCCACAATGAACAAATGGCCTGCACAGATTTTATTTCAGGAGATAGAGAAACCAGGGCACCAACTTCAGAAACATGGAAAAAGAATAGAAGCACCCGATCACAGCCATGACATATATTGGGAAAAACAGGGAACAACCCTTGGTAACCAGGAGAGACAGAGCATAGTACTTGGGACTTGGGCACCCAAATGATGAAAAGTGTCCTGTACAGGAAGAAATGGAGAAAAACAGCCCACAGCAAGTAAAATATCCTGGATCCAGGGGTCCAGGGTAAAAGCCCAGAAACTGGAGAAGAACACTAATTCGTAGAACAAGGAAATGCACCTAGGAAATCAGGGACCATATTTAGAGAGCTGGGGAACAGACCAGGGAAATTCGGTGGAGATCTAGGCACCTGACTGGAATGAGCAGTTTTACCTAGGTACCCAGAATGAACATGCCTAATAAAATTGAAGAACTCCATGAAAGCCCAGAACATCACCCCATCATGTGAAGAGTAGAAAATCTCTTAAAATTGGGGTAGGAGGAAAACTCCCAAAAGATGGAAGAACATGCCCTGGGAACATTCCTAGCCAAACAAAGGGTTGTTTTTTAGTTCACTTTAGCAAGATTATCTCTAGTACTCCTGCGAGGATATTTGGATTCCTCTCGTTCCACCTAGAATGTTACCCTGCCTAACTGATTAATTTGCTTCCCCCGCATGTCAGTGGAGTCTTCTGAAGAAGGTGTTTATCTCACACTATTGGACCATATTTTCATGCCATTGTCATACTCTGGTCTTGCCATGCTTGCTGCTGTGTTTTGGACCATCGACTCTGAAACTGATGACCATGCACTGTGGGTTATATTGGAAATACTGTACCTGGTATATACCAGGTATGATTTGCTCTAACCCCATGGCAAACCATACGTGCTTTTCTTTGTGTTGCACTTCTTTTGTGTATAGATGGAGCAGTATCAGTGAAAGTTTTTTCCTAGAAACTTTTACTTTTATAAAAGACAAAGTAAGATTATAATACTTTACAGCATTTCTTACAATAGTGACATATTATTTTTTGCAGATAATCCAAAATGCCACGGAACAAGTGCTAAAGGATCCATCTTTTGAGGAAGTGGATGCATCTATCCTACGCACTATACTGCAGCAGGAAAGACTCGGTGGTTAGTGTCTTTCTTTCCACATATTTTGCATTTAGTCACTTCATTTGTTTTGCCTTATTAATAAATATTAAGTAAATGTCATGTACAAGGTATTGTATATACATTTGTAGGTGGTATTAGTCATATTCATTGCTTATAGAGTTTTGGTCCTTTAGATATTTTAGTGGAAAACGATCTGTACAGTACTTATTTAGTCTTTAGTGTGCAGATAGATTTACTTTTAAGTGTTCAAATTGTTACAATTAAAGAATTTGAAATATTCATTTTCATTCACTTGAAATTATAGTAGTACTATAATAGGTTAGCTTCCTACAACAAGAAAAATTTGTATAAAAATGAGTTGTAGTTAATATTAATAATTTATCAAGCTGTGAAAGATTTTACGGTAATTTAGAAATATGGCTATCTTGAATGTGTAAGTTCTACTGTGTAAGATAAACAGGAGAAATTTAGTGAGCAAACATGAAAAGCACTCATAAGAGGTAGAGACCTACGGGAAACTGAATGTAGCAAAACTCCTCGTACGACTTGGATTTGGTGTCTGCCCCTCCCCAGGTTTGGGTTAGTGTCCCCTCAGGAGCGTCAGTTCCGTCTTTCCGGAGGTTTTCGGCTTCCCACATCCCACCGTCTGCGGTGCGGGCGGCCCTTGCGGCTTACCTCCTGCGTGACCCGGATTACGCCTTGGTGATGGATCCGTCGTCTTTCAGGTTTGAGACTACGTTCTCTTTCTGGGTCCGTTACGAGGTTCCAGAGTCTTCCTGGCTGGCGGACTATCCTGTCTTTGCTTTGGAGGCCTGGCATTCCTTCTGTCGTTCCTGCATACTTGAGTGGCATGAGGTTTCTCCTGTGGTTCAGGTTTTCCTGGGGGGCGACCTTGTGCACCTTAATGAGTGCTTGTTTGCTCCTGCCCTTCCCTGGGATGTTAGTGTTCTGCAGCTCCATGTGCAGGTTCTTGGCCACCTGCGTAGCTGAAAGGGAGAGGATTTGCACGCCAGGGGCCTCTTGGTTTCGGTCTTGCACTTCTTTTCCCTCCTGGAGCTGTCTTCGGATTGGCTTGGGGAGGACGTGGGGGTGCTCGGAGCCGTTTCTGGGTCCAGTGCCTTGGGCTCGGCTGCTTGCGCGTCGGCTGCTTTGTTGAAGCTATTTGCGCCAATACTGCGGGATGCGGTTGCTCAGTTTTATGCTTCCTGGCTCGCGTGTCGACAGGCGGTGCTGGCCTCCTCTTTGGAATCGGCCTGGGCCCTGGCTCTTAGGTTGTCTTCACCCTTTTGTCCACTGCCTTTTGCTCCTACGGCTGTGGCGCAGTATATTCAGGTGGCCTCGGCCAGTTGTCATCCAATGTCGGACTTATTGGTTCTCCAGGGGTCCCAGGGGGAAGGGCCTGCCCAGAGGGGTCATGCCAGGGCTCGGGGTTCCTCTCATCGTGGTAGGCCTCTGGTGCCAGGTTCGGGCTTGGCTCCACCTTCGGATCCTCCTTCGGCTGGTCGGCGCGGTGTTCGCCCTGTGCGGGGTTCTGGGTCTTGTAAGGGGCGCCGGTCCTTTTGCGGTTCGCCCCATTGACGGGGCAATGGAGGGGAGGCTTGCGCTGTTCGCTCACACCTGGTCCCATGATTTGTGGGCGTTTCAGGTCGTTTCCTTCGGCCTGCGGTGGCATTGGGGGGCCCCTTCCCCTTTGGGGGGTTCGGCGCTGACAGGGAAGGCTTCCTTCTTCTCCTGCGCTCCATCGGGTCATCTCTAAATGGGTTCACTTGGGCGTCGTCGAAATGACATTGTCCCTCAGATGGGTTTCTCGTCTGTTTCCAGTGTCGAAACGGGACTGTGAGGACCTGCGGTTCGTTCTGGACTTGTCCCATCTGAACCCTTGTGTTCATTGCCCCTCCTTTTGGATGACTACGCTGTCTCAAGTTCGACTCCTGTTGGAGCCAGGTTCTTGGATGGTGCTCCTGGACCTCCGGGATGCTTATTGGCATGTCCCGATTCATCCGGGGTTCAGGGACTGGCTCTTGTTTGTTGTGGGGTGTCACGATTACCACTTTCGTTGTCTCCCATTCAGGTTGAACCTGGCACCTCGTGTGTTCACACGCCTCATGCGAGGCATCGTGGCCCGTCTGTGCCTTTTAGGTGCTCGGGTGTTGGCCTACCTTGACAACTGGCTGGTTTGGGCTCCCAGCCAGTCCAGTTGTCTGCTAGCCACGGATTTGGTTCTTTCCCAGCTCACCAGGTTCGTGTTCTTGGTGAACTGGAGGCAGTCTCATCTGGTGCCCTCCCAGGTTCGGTCGTGGCTGGGTCTTGTGTGGGACTCTCGGAGGACTCCCGTTTCCTTGTCTCTTCCTCCGAAGTCTCTCTTTCGGCTGCAGTCCCTCATGCGCCTGTTTTGGGGGGGCTCCCGGGGGTCACCCAGTGGTTGCTCGAGGGTTTTTGCGGGAGCCTGAACTTCGCGATGTTGGTCTACCCGCTGGTCGGGTTTGGCTTTGTCGGCTGTTCTGGTTCCTTCGGGGATGTCCCTTCCACCTCTCTTGCGATCACAGGGTTCGGCCCCACGTGGGCTTTGGGTCGGCTGCTGCGTCGCCGGCTTCCTCTCCGGGTTTTTCGGGGTTCAGTGCCTTGGCGCCACCTCGTTTGATGTGCTCACGGATGCGTTGTCTCTCGGCTGGGGCTATGTGACCAGTGCTCACCAGGCCAGCCAGGGGCGATGGGGTCAATCCTTCCGTTGAGCCCACAGCACGGTGCGGGAGTTCACAGAGGTGTGGTTTGTGCTTCGGAGGATTCAGGTCGCCCGCGGATCGACGATCCGGCTCCATTCGGACTGCTCCCCGGTGTTTCATTGCCTGAACCTAGGGGGTTCGATGCGGTCCTTGGCTCTTTGGCGCTGGTTGCTTCGGATGACTCATCTGCTGAGTTTTCGGGGTTTGGCTCTCCTGGCAGTTCACGTGCAAGGAGTGTCCTGCATCCACAACTTGAAGAAAAAAATATGACAAGAACTTGAATTGAGATGTAATTGGCATGCCAGTTATGCTAGGAGGAAGAACTAGTGTTAGATCTGGTTTCTGTGTTGTCACTGTTAGATAAGAAATGTAGAAGAAAGTAATCTTTCGTTCTTATTACTTTTGTGGGTATCGTTGGGTGAAGCAGCTATTGTAGAATGTCTGGAAGATGCCATGATGAAAGAATGACGTCTGAAAGATGCACAACACACAAATCACACCAACTCGCTGTTTATTTTGTACTTTTGTTGAAGACTGTACCTACTTCGTGTATTTTGTTATTTTGTGCATGCTAAACCTCTGCATGGCAAAAGCTGATTGTAATGTCAAATTTACTTCCTATATTTCAGTGTCAGAGTTGATACTGTGGGAAGCATGTCTCACTTGGGCCAAGCAGGAATGTGTCCGACAGTCTTTGGAAGTCAGTCCCATGAATCAACGTAAGGTATTGGGAGACTGTCTTGGCATGATCAGGTATGGAAATATATTTTATCTCTTTTTCTTTATATCTCTTTCAGTAAAAGCCGATTCATTTTGACTATTTTAATACAAGAAACTATTATAACCCACCCACTCAGGCACCCAGAGTGAAATTAAGTGTTCTACACATCATTGTTTTTGCTGGTAGAATTTTTTTTTAGGAAATGAAAATGTGTATAGAGCTTGGTGAACTTTCTCGTTATAGACTCGAAAGGCATAGGCAGACCAGCCAGAAAGCCTATTCTCACTGAATTTATTTAAATATTAATTCAGTATTAATTAAATTTCAATATTTAATATTAAAATATTATTTTAAATATTAAAAGTAATAAAATATTAAATATTTATTTAAATAATAAATATTTATTTAAATGTTAAATATTTATTTCAATATTAATTTAAATATTTAAATTTTAAATAGTTTATTTAAACATTAAATATTAATTTAAATAAATATATCTAATACAGTAATATACAGTATTACATATTCAATGTACTTATAAAAGAATCTGACATTAGCATATCAGCCTAGTAAGCTCCGGGGAGCCTCCGGGTCTCACCCCGAAAATGGCGTTTCATTACATTCAACGCTGGCGTTTTGAGATAAGTGGGGGAGGCGGAAGCAGGGGTGAGGATGAGGGAAGGGACCAAGGAGGATGGGGATAATGATGATAGGATCAGACTGGGATGGGGTGAAGAAGGGAGATGAAGGAGCAAAAGAGGGGAAAGAGGGTGGGGGAATAGACAGTGGGATAGGCAGGGGGGGGGGGAGAGGAAGGATTAAGGGGGAAAACAAAGGGTATGGGGACGAGAAGATCAGAGGGAGATGGAGGTGAAAAAAGGGTAAGGATGATATCTATCACTAATCTCACTGTTAATAATACATGCATAGATAAAATCAATGTCACTAATAAAACAAATAATTTATTTAAGAATAATCATTAAAATGTTACTTAATCCTGCACTGAATTGCTTATCAGATAGATAGTCAAAATATACATTGATGCACAAAAAATACTCCTTAGGCATTGATACAGGAATATTATATAAATACATAAATGTTTAAGATATAAAAAGTCACTGTTGACAAATGAGTTGCATTATGTCCCACTTTCTCTTGCAAGGGTTAGACATCAGCTAGGTATGAGTGGCCTTCAGATCTGCTGTAACAAGATACTCCTGTTATTGGCCGAGAACTTGCACTGTTCAAGCATTTTCCCAAGAGCATAATACTGAACATATGGAAAACATCCTTCCCATTTGAGTGTCTTTGAGCAACAACAAAATAAATATTTTCCAAGAAAAAAAAAGACTGCCCACTAGCAACGATGAATTGGGGACCTAGTACTGTACTACAGCTAAGCGGCGGTCAACTACACTAGACTGGTCCACTTCAGAGTTTGAACAGCTTCATGTTGTACATTCTTGTGCTGGAAATAAAGATGCCCTTAAAGAAACTTTGAGGAGCTGTGCTAATCAGTTCTCATGAAGAGCAAAATGAGCCAGTATACAGAGGCTTCTAACATGAAAATTATTTTGACTGGAAAATGAAGTACTACCAGTATATCAGATGAGAGAAATATCAAGAGTGGAGTACCACAAGGTTCAGTTCTTGCACCAGTAATGTCCATTGTCTATGTAAATGGTCTACCATAAAGACTACAGAATATGAATGTTTGTTGATATGATACTAGGAAATATATGAAACTTAGACGATTGCCATGCCCTTCGAGAAGACCTGGACAAAATAAGTGTATGGAGCTCCACTTGACAAGTGACATTTATTCACATTAAAACCCATCTTATGGAATGTGGAATAGAACATAGGCCTGACATAATCTACAAATTATGTGAAAATTTTTAAAAAATTCTGAGAGATCTAGGGGTGGTTCTAGATGGGAAACAGTCACCTGAGGACCACACAAAGAACAGTGTGTGAGGAGCCTATGATACGCTTTCCAGTTTCAGAATTGCCCTGCAGGTCTGAATTCTAGATAAGTATTGGCCATCCTATCGACTTTGTCCTTTGGGGAGGTAGGGGGGTTATCTTGAGATGATTTTGGGGCTTAGCGTCCCCATGGCACGGTCCTCAACCAGGCCTCCTTTTTGTTACACATCCCCCAGGAAGCAGCCCATAGCAACTGTCTAACTCCCAGGTACCTATTTACTGCTAGGTAACAGGGGCATCAGGGCGAAAGAAACTTTTTACCCATTTGTCTCCGCCTCCACTGAGGATTGAACCCGGATCCTCAGGACTACGAATCCATAGCGCTGTCCACTCATCTGTCAGGCAGGGGGTTCTTTTGCTTGTGTATCATTTTAAGGTTTAATGATAGCTACATTATGTATACAAGCCCCAGTTACATGGACTTCAGTCGGTTTTTGCCTCAAGCTGCACATGTTTAGAGCCACCCTTTCCTAGGTGCTTCTCTGGCATTGCTCCTTCTTTGGCTTCTTTAGTGGGTTTGGGAGTTGTAAAGGCCAGCATACTGTGTTGTAGGATACCTCACCCAGGGTATTGCAAAGTCTTTGACTCATCTGCAAGTCTCTGAGGTTGGAGCATTCAAAAGTTAATGATTAAGGGGTGCACTAGGATTTACGTGCTTATACATAGGGCAATGCCGTTGATGCTCTTTGTAGCCATGCTTATCCTGAAGTCTGTTCAGCATCAGTTCATTTGGTGAGCATGTCTAGTGCCTGAGTGTCCTGCTTGGCCCATATTGTCAATATGGTGTGGTTTGCTATAGACCATCCTTGCACTCAATGTTTGCAAGTTTGAGAGATTTCCATCATCATTACTACATAGTGATGGTCATTTGTGCTGTCTCCCTCTGCTGCCTCTTGGATTGGTATTGGCCGCTACCCAAAGGCTTGCAATATTTGGGTTCGCTGGTCTTTTATTTTATTTTAAGCCTACATCTTTTGGCGTTCTTTTATTTTATTTGCAGTGAAGGGGCTCTACAAGGGGCAGTAGATTCAGGTGTGTTTGCTCATTTTTGCTTTTGTGGCTTTGGGGCAACTACTCTTGCACAGCGTTGGCCCATCTTGAACTTTGCGTCTTTTGAGTGTCTTGTTTGAAGAGGATTCCATCTTCCTCCTTTTCAGCTCAGTTCCTCCTGTGGGTACAGGACTTTGCTTCCCTCCTGGACCCAGTTAACTCTTGGGTTCAGGTCAGCTTTGACCTTGTGACTGCATTGAGGGGTTACTCTTTTTTCTATCCTGGCTTGTGGACCACCCAAAATTTGTCCTGTTAGATACTGCTATGTGCAGGACATAAAATATTAACATGGTAAATGGTTTCTTTTAGTTGCTTCTAAATGATAGAGCCTTTATATTTGCTATTGTCATATTCCTTTGTAGTTCTTCTCCTGAAAACACATTTAAAGGGTAATGTGAAATTTAATGTCTTTTGAGTATAAACATTATTAAGGGTATATTATCCTGTCTATTGTTTCTATTAGCAAGGTTTTTTGCCCATTAGTAAAGCCAAATATTTGCATTCTTGTTTTCAGATTTTTGACATTAAGCCCAACAGAATTTGCCAATAGCCCAGCAGTGTCTGGGATTTTGACACAAGAGGAGAGTTACACCCTCTTGATGAATATTTCTTCACCAGGAGTAACATCTGTCCCATCACCTTTCTGTCAAAATAATAAGAGGAGACAAAAGGAACAAACGCCTCCACCCAGCTCCCTAACACACTCGGATTCCAGAGCCAGCAGAATTAGAGAAGATGTTCAACTTCGATGTGAATGTGTTGGAAATGACATGGCACAGGTGTTGATTAATGAGCAACTTGTGGACTGTTCACTTTCATTTGCAGTTAATAGACATGTCTGTATCTATGGTGTGGAGATGCCTACTCAGTTAGTTCCACCAAATCTGGAATCTCAATTAGCCACTCATCCAATACAGCAGTCATATTCTGAACTGATCTATGCTTTTTTACAAGATTCTGATGGTTGTCGGCTCACGTACACACATTTCACAGCTCGGGTATCGTGGAATAGTTCAATGGAAGTCATCTTCAATAGACCAGTGTACATCACTCCTAATAAGACCTATAAGATTGCTGTGGTGTTAAATAAAGTAGGGAGGTATCCTGTATATGTTACTGCTAACTATGTCACTATTGATTACTTAACATTTACCTTTGAACAAGACCGATCACGAGATGGACTGATAAAAGCTGTAATTTTTGGATGTTCATCGCAGAGATCCTCGTCTAGTCCAGAATCTTATTGGCCATACTAAAATTTTGTATATTTTTCTGACAATGTAGCTAAATAGTTAAAATGTGCTGTATTTTAGAGTAAACTGTTAATGGTACAGTATTTCATATTTTAACAAGGAACTGGATTTGTTTTAATATGATTAAGAGTGTAAAGTTTCAAATTTGTATTTGATAGCTAGATTTTCTTTAAGCTAATTTTGAGTTTAAGAGGTGTATTTTACTAATTTGTAGTTTGAGAGAGTATGACTGCAGAATTGTTGCAATTTGAGTTTAATATTGTGTTGAATGATACTGTACTGCAATATTTAACAATCAAAACACCACTTAATATTATATCAGCACACATTTGATCAAGAAATAAGACTCTCATAAGGAATGTATTATGTTTCAACCCGTTCTCGCAAATTTAATAAGTCAATATTGACTTATTAAATATGTGCATAGGTGACATACTTAACATAATAGTTTCCATTGAAAAGCTTCATAGAAAACACCGACCTTACCTAACCTACTTAGTATGTTAAGATAAGCATCTTATTGCTTCGTAATTATAATTGATTGATTGATGAAGATTAAGCCACCCAAGAGGTGGCACGGGCATGAATAGCCCGTAAGTGGTGGCCCTTTTGAGCCATTACCAGTATCAAGAGCTGATACTGGAGATTTGTGGAGGCGCGACTGCACCCTGCGTGACGGGAGATGTCTCCCGGACCAAATGGTGACCAGATGGTGAATTACAATTATTACCTAACCTATACCTATAATAGGTTAAGAAACAATTGTAATTACGAAGCTATAAGATGCTTATTTTAACATACTAAGTAGGTTAGGTAAGGTCGGTGTTTTCTATGAAGCTTTTCAAGGGAAACTATTATGTTTAGTATGTCACCTATGCACGCAACTAATAAGTCAATATTGACTTATTAAATTTGCGAGAACGGGTTGTATGTTTTTGGTGTACATTCACAATTTCATTCTTATTTCTTGAGCTGCACTTAGCAGTGGTCTTCTTTCCCCTTTCCCATTTTTCTATTACTGTATGGTATGTGATCTCTTGTTTTGTAGAGTTATTTAACTGTAACATTCTTTTCTTGTAATGCAAGCTGAAACAATGCATTGTTTTGCAACTACAAAATTAATATGCAGAATTCATTAGTGTTTTGAGAGTTGCTTTTTAGTTGGGTATTTTAAGGTGGAAAATATATTGATACGAAGGTACTGTATTTAAAATGGATTCTTCATAAATATCTTGTTCTTTAATGCATACTGTATATGATATACAGAACATAAAGAATGAGAACTTTCAACATGCAGTATGCAATTTGGGTAGTTTTAACAAACATTTCTAAGCGTATTTTTGGAACTAAAATTTTATATTTCAAATGATTTGTCATTAAAATTGGCAAGTTTTATTAATGCTTGCATGCAATAACTAATACATGATGAAATCAAATTTAATGACCTCATTGGCAAAAACTGATTGAAACAATAGGCATGCTTTATTGTATGTTTACCATTGTTTTAATTGGTGTAAGGTAATAACTTTTACTATGTTAATTTGTGATTTATTAAAAAAAAAGGTAGCCATGTTACTGTTTGTCATTTCCTTTAAACATTTCATTTTTATGAAAGAGGTACGGCAAATTTTCATTCAAATATTATCAATAGTAATGCATAAAGCTTCTAGTCTTTTGTATTTACCAGTACAGTACATAGATTTACTTGTACAGTATATTATTTGGCTATACCTTATTAAGTTTTATCTTAACATGATGAAAGTCCTTGGTCTGGAGCAGAGGGTTATCTTGAAGTTATCTTGAAATGATTTCGGGGCTTTTAGTGTCCCCGCGGCCCGGTCCTCGACCAGGCCTCCACCCCCAGGAAGCAGCCCGTGACAGCTGACTAACACCCAGGTACCTATTTTACTGCTAGGTAACAGGGGCAAGGGTGAAAGAAACTCTGCCCATTGTTTCTCGCCGGCGCCTGGGATCGAACACAGGACCACAGGATCACAAGTCCAGCGTGCTGTCCGCTCGGCCGACCGGGCTTGAGCGAAGCTGGGGGTAGAGTTTGAATGTGGGAAGAAAGCAGGTAGCTCAAGTGCAGCAGTAATCTGGCTGCCTGCTCTGTGGTGAGGCTGTAGTATCATGTGAGAGGAGGAAATACTCATTAACTGATGCATTGTTGATGGTGTTGAAGATCCGAAGTATGTACAGAGCACTTGCCACTGAACCACTACTGCGTTACTGACAGAGATCCCAACTTTGATAGCTTATATTCCATGCTTTCCCTAACTTGCCACGTTGACCATCTTGCTGGTTACCTTCTGGCTGGCCTGATTGATTTCTGGAATCCTTGGGAAATTTATAATAATAATAATAATAATAATTTTTATTTAGGTAAAGGTACATACATAAAGAGATTTTACAAAGTTTGTTGGGTTAATAGATAGACCTAGTACATACAATGCCTAAAGCCACTATTACGCAAAGTGTTTCGGGCAGGACCCGAAATTGATTTAGGGTCCTGAAAAATTTAATTGTAATTAGTGTACATATTATTAGTGTAGAATGTCTTGGAATGTGGAGTTCTTGGGAATACGTTAACAGGCACATCTAATTGCTTGCAATTAAACTTGCAAACTTTTGGAGAAACTATATTTTCTGGTATACACTTTGGAGAAACTTCAACACTGGGTGGCAAAACTCGTCCCAGAACTAAGTAGACTCTTGTACCAGGAATGGTTGAAAGCCACAGGACTAACAGTACAATACAGTACTGCACTGCAAACCAGATATGACAGGGCTGATCTCATTGAAACTTTAAAAGGCTGAACAATTTGGTGAATATTGATCCAGACCACTTCATTAAAAGGTTCGATATAACAGTAGCAATGGCTTAAAACTTAACAAGCCACAATGAAGGACAGAAAACATGTTTTTTTTCTAACTTGGAGTTATAAACCCATTGAACAGCCTACCTGTCAGCCAAATATGCCAATACAGTTGGGAACTTGCACCTCCTAGACTCATAAGTGAACGTGCACCCGCTAGTGACAGCTGGGAACATGCACCTGCTAGTGACAGCTGGGAACATGCACCTGCTAGTGACAGCTGGGAACGTGCACCTGCTAGTGACAGCTGGGAACATGCACCTGCTAGTGACAGCTGGGAACATGCACCTGCTAGTGACAGCTGGGAACATGCACCTGCTAGTGACAGCTGGGAACATGCACCTGCTAGTGACAGCTGGGAACATGCACCCACTAGTGACAGCTGGGAACATGCACCTGCTAGTGACAGCTGGGAACATGCACCCTCTAGTGACAGCTGGGAACATGCACCTGCTAGTGACAGCTGGGAACATGCACCTGCTAGTGACAGCTGGGAACATGCACCCACTAGTGACAGCTGGGAACGTGCACCCGCTAGTGACAGCTGGGAACATGCACCTGCTAGTGACAGCTGGGAACATGCACCTGCTAGTGACAGCTGGGAACATGCACCCACTAGTGACAGCTGGGAACGTGCACCTGCTAGTGACAGCTGGGAACATGCACCTGCTAGTGACAGCTGGGAACGTGCACCTGCTAGTGACAGCTGGGAACATGCACCCACTAGTGACAGCTGGGAACGTGCACCTGCTAGTGACAGCTGGGAACATGCACCTGCTAGTGACAGCTGGGAACGTGCACCTGCTAGTGACAGCTGGGAACATGCACCTGCTAGTGACAGCTGGGAACATGCACCTGCTAGTGACAGCTGGGAACATGCACCTGCTAGTGACAGCTGGGAACATGCACTTGCTAGTGACAGCTGGGAACATGCACCTGTCACTTTCGCGAGCCGCTTCAATTTTCTACTGTGAAATTTTTTTGCCTTATGTAACGCATGCGAGCGAAAAGCGACGTTCTTTGTAGGAGGACAGGTTGAGTAGTTAGCCAAGGGGGACCTTAATAAGCCTAAGTGCAGGCTTCCTGTCCCAGCAACGGGAATTAAAGTATCATAAGGCTGGTAAGCAAGTAGAATGAACTGGGGGGTGGTGATGGCGAAAGCTTTCACTTTTCGCATCTGTCAGAGCAGGTATGATTGAGCTCTAGTTACTGTCTAATATTCATGAAACCGGCAGTCCTAATAACAGAAGACCTGGGCTAAGCGCACAGTCTCTTCAGCAGGAGCGAGCAGTAGAAATAACGCAATTAGGTCCGGGTCGTTCTGCGGGTCACATTCTGAGCTCCTGGGCGCCTCTGACACTTTACTCTCGTGGGCCTACCAGATCTCCCGTGGCATGGAGTACCTCGCCATCAGGAAGGTAATGTACAACCTTTATGCATTCAAACTATCTGAACTCCCTCATTAGGAAGCAACAGTGTTATTGGAGTTTATATTATCATGTGTATATGGGACTGTTATAAAAAAGTGTGCATTGCGTATGTGGGACTAATATTCTTTGGCGTGATAATACTCTGAGTGCGGCCCATCGCAGGATTTGCATTCGAGTGTAGTGCTGTTGCAACCAGTCCAGCAGTGTTCCTGGGCAGACAATGAGTCACTAACGCGGCTGAAGAAATGATGACTAAACCACAAAGAAGATAGAGAAGCGACGACGTTTCGGTCCGTCCTGGACCATTATCGAGTCCAGGACGCACCGAAACGTCGTCGCTTCTCTATTTTCTAAGTTGTGGTTTAGTCATCAAAAGTGGCCCCTGTTCGGAGCACTTTAAGTAGTACTGGGAATCCTTGCAAGATTTGGTAACATTTGAAACATTAAACTGAGTTAAGAAATTCAACAAGGGTGATGTGGTAAGAGGAGTGCTGATGTTGTGTATTTTGATTCCCTGTTGAAGGAGTTTGTTGACTTCAGTTGTGGAGGAACATCGTACCTTGAGTGTTTTGGTGCCTGCTTCGTGGTACATCTCCGTGACAGATATTGTTTCTGTTGTCTGTATCATGAGTGAGTGTAGGCGTCTCATATAATGAATCGCCGGGTCCCCGGGGCGCGCTTGATGCGCGCGCAATTTTTTCTCTGTTCTGTTCTGAAAATCTGTTCACTACTACTTCAAACGGTCTCTTATCATCTTGTCTGTTCTCCTCACTACCACTTAGGCATATCGCCTCAGCCATTTCTTCGACGCTGTCAACAATCGAGAACAAATTCACAATATCCTGTATCACCACGTGCAAAAACGAAGAGTGTGGAGGCAATACTCCACCTCCCACCAAGCAGCGGACGCCAAGAGCGCCAACCTTGCGACCGCACACGACCGTGGTCCGGACACAACTCTATAGTCCCAATTGCAGTCCCTTTGGCGCAGTGGTAAAACTGTGCCAAGCTAAGCCCCTCGCTTCTTAAGTGCTTTGGCCTGAGTTTGTATCCTGGCCGGGGAGGATTGACTGGGAGCCGATCCTTAATTGTAGCCTCTCTCCACCCAGCAGTATTCACCTAGTTGTACTTGCGGGGGTTGAGCTCTGCGGTTTCGGCACGCCTCTCAACTGTCAATCAATCAACTGTTACTAACTACTAACTCATTTTTTTTCACACACACACACAGGCAGTAGCTCGTAACAGCTGTCTAACTCCCAGGTACCTATTTACTGCTAGGTAACAGGAGCATCAGAGTGAAAGAAACTGCCTGGGCGCCGGGAATCGAACCCGGACCACAGGATTATGTGTCCAGTGTGCTGTCCACTCAGCCATCGGCCGACAGTGAATGGGTACCTAGTTGTTAAACAATTTGCCCGAAATTAGTGGCTTAGTGGCTTTAGGTATTGTATGTACTAGCTCTATCTATAAATCCAACATTATGTTTGCAAATCAACTATGTATGTACTTTTCCTGAATACAAGAATAAAAAAAAAAATAATTTTAATTAATTTGGCGGGTTGTATTCCAGGGACAATTAGAAATAATGGTCTGACCGAAACGCTATGTCTGTTAGTGGCTTTACAAGACTGTAAAAACTCTATATATAGTGAATATATAAATATATAAAGAAAATTATATGCGCCCTAGCTTCAAAAAGGGATTTCCAAGATGTCAGTTTGGTGGCTTCAAGAACTGGTGAGGTTGCTGGGTCTGGCGGTAGAGGGCAGCAGCAGCCTCACACTGGGTTCTCATTGGCTGGTGCCTTTGACGCTCCCTTCAAAACTATTTTGTAAACAATAATTTGCGCGGGAAGAGGAGTGATGAACTTTACTCCTGGCCAGTGGGATTTTTTAACGTATGGTAATCACGAACCTTGTTGTGTTGTAAACACCTGGAGGCTCACCGCTCATCTATGATAGGTTAAGACGCTTACTGCTGAGCTAAGATACGACAGAAGATTCACCGCTGAGCTGAGGTAGGACGGACTAACCGTGCCATTATTATCCCAGAAACTAATAAATGTTGCATATCTCGCGGGTAGCTGTCCCAACTCACTATACTCATTGTCAATCGGTCCCTCAGACATCTCCTTAACCCATTCATTCAAAACCGAAGTAACATTAGTGAAATATTTGCTCCAGTCATCACTCTGCTCTCTAACAAATCTCTTGAATCACAAACCTTCCAATATACAACAGAAGTTGAACACCAGTGCACAAAAGCAGTGATACAGCTTACATAAACAGTTAGACTGATCTCAAATATATGACTAAATTCTTTAAAAGGGTTCTAAATTGTGGAATGACCTCCAAAATGCAATTAAATTCTGTTCTGCTCTCAACCATTTTAAAGAATTTCTAAGACATGCCTAATTAACATCTTGCAACAAAATTCGCCCACCTTTCTTCATTGTAAATAATTCAGTGTTTGCTGTTATTAGGAATGTTAAATACTATATTTGTACTGCTACAAAAGCTAGAAATTCAATAATAAAGTAGACTATGCCTTTCTTTAATAAGTTTCATTTACAGAAATGTATGTTATATGGTAAAATTCTTGAGCAATTCATATATTGTATGTAGCTTCTCATATAGAATTAAATGTTAACCTTATGAAATTTCAAGCTAAATTTGATAAATAATTTTGCTATGCCCAAAACACTGCATAATTAGTAGCTTAATGTAATGTTCAATTACTGTACCTACTAATTATCCACTGTAACATGTTCCTTTATATTTGAAAAATAAAATATTACTGGAATATTATTATTATTATTATTGCTATCATCATTATTATTATTATTTATATTTTTATTGTATACAAACAGCTGTGCTCCAACCATGTAAATTTCAGCATTAAGTTCCAGCTAATTTGGCTTCAGATCTCAAGGAGTACCAATGATATAAAAATTCTTAAACTACTTGCCTCTACTAAAGTTATCACATGGGCCTCTTCAATGACTTAAGAAAACTTATTAATACCTTAAATCACAACTACTACTACTGTTCAATTCAGCAGTGAAATTTGAGACTAATCTCTGAATTATTTTAAATTGTACTTCAACAAGAGACAAATATATAGTCATCAGTAATATTTCATCTTCTACTCCCATTAACCACAAGAGTACTGTACCACAGGGAAGCATACCAAGATCACTTCTATTTTCTGTATACTGTCTATCAATGACTTGTCAAATGCTTCTAATATTCTTGACCCTTGCCAGTAGCTATTTTCTTTTGCAGATGACACTACCTTTATCTTCTCTAGCCCCAGCCCACATACTATTAATGGTATTGCTGTAGTAAATGATGAACTAAAGAAAAAGTTTCTTGTATGCACATCATCCAACAATTTTTTTTAGTTTATTTATTATGCACCCCATGCCCATCTGGTGTAGTGGATGAGGTTACAGAAGCTCATAATGGGCTCAAGATCTGAATCCCACAGCTAATATTAAACATAGAAAAGGCCCACATCATATTGTTTGAAAACAAATGTATCTAAATAAACTTTTAAATAAACAATATATATGTTTAATAAAGTTGAATGGCTTAGTTTGTGTAACTGGTATCATTTACATGAAAAGAAAGATAATCATAAATTACAAAAGTAATATTGATTCATGGTTTTTGGTCCTGCCATTAAATTTACATATTTCCCCCCTTTCAGATGGAGTCATTTGATTTTGTTATTCCCTTAAGTTTGGATGCTCTTCAAGAGTCGACAAGCACACGACAGTATGTTGTCACCAACATCTCCATTAGTCGAGAAATACCAAAGAAGATTCAAGGTAAGACAATAATTCTAGAGGTTCTTTCGACACATTTCCATTATTAGAGTACTGTACTGTATTAATAACTTATTTTCTCTTTGTGCCCCTCACAACATTGTTACTTTGCCATGGTGCCACACTTGACCATGCTACACCCGATCTCTTCCTGATTTCTCATATTTCTTAGATATGAACGAAGAGTAGCCTGTGAGAGACCCAAATATTATAAAAGAAAACTTGTACAGTAATCTAGATTAATTGTTCATTTGCTACAAGTATTTTTAAGAAACAGAAGGGACAGTGAATGTAAGTACTGTATGGGTATTGCTGCCATGAAATATAAAGTTTACAAATACAGTACTGTACTTTGTTACGATGTATCGGCTCATGATTCCCAGCGGCCATCTCTGTTTAGGCACCATCATCGGCCACCTCCCATGTTCAGTGGCTCGTTTCATGGGAACCACTGAGCATTTGCATCTGATGTTATTGTGCAAAGTAGCATGGTGACCGAAACGTCGTCGTCCCTTCACATTCTAGTGTGTGGTCTGGTCATCATACTTTAGCCACGTTATTGTGACTCATCGCCTGCATATATTATGCTTTGGTGGGGTTTGTAGTTTATTGAGATATAGTATTTAGTTTTGGTGACTGGATAATGGCTTATAATACAAATTTGAATGCAAATATGGTGTGGGTGTCATGATTAATAAAGATCTTGAGCTATAACTCATTCTATAACTTTTCTAAAATAAAGACAAGTAAGATTGTAGGGCATGTGTTCCCTAGATAGCCTATAAAAAGGACTAACAAAGTTAATCTCGGACTTATTTAGTTAATATTTAGCCTGGTAGCTGAGTGGACAGTACACTGGATACGTAGTCCTTTGGACCAGGACTCGATCCCTGGCGATGGCGGAAACCAATGGGAAGAGTGTCTTTCACCCTGATGCCCCTCTTGTCTAGCAGTAAATAGGTACCTGAGTTACAGCTGTTACGGGCTCTGTTGATTGATTGACAGTTGAAAGGTGGGCCGAAAGAACGAGAGCTCAACCCCCGCAAGCACAACTAGGTGAACTAGGCGAATACTTAGACCAAAGCTCTATCGGCCCTCACACTCGTAACCTTATTATACTCATAACTCAAATGAGTTATTTATTTACTCCTAACTTTATAACTCATAACACTTTATACAGTACTCATAACCTTATTATAATGTGCAATTAATATACAGTAATTTCTTACATATTTATTTCATTTCAGAGGCACATGTGTTGTTTAGACAAGATGGACCCAAGTTTATTATCAGAGAGCAATGTTTTGATGCATTTTACAGCATTTTGGTCAATTTTGCATCTGTTGATAATGAGTTTAAGCATCGATCATTGGATATTCTGGTAAATGGTTAGTAAACAAAAATTAGTGTACTCTATATTTTTAATAGAATGTGGGTGTTATACATAACGTTTGATGATATATAGTTTAGTTGTTAGCTTAACAAATAAAACCTAGAATACACATTGGACAATTGAAAAGTATATTAATCTCAAAGTGCACCAGAAAATAGTCCAATAAAATGTTAACAGTAATACTGAAATTATATTCCAAAGGGAAATGCCTTATGGTGGTGTAAGTTTTTGTTTTTCATTTTAATCAAGTGTTTGTTCAGAAGTTTGAGAATGCCTCATTATGTTGATGTGAAACTTAAGATGCTTATCTATTACCAAAAGTATAAGTTAAGTTAAAACTGAGTGGCCAAATGTTGCACAGTAGCAGTAAATAAAACTCCAGAAAGCATTGGGTTTTGACTGCTCTGTTCTGTAAACAGTAAGGCATGCCAAATGCAAAGGCAGTTCGTGTGCAATTTGCCCATATAACTCATGTTGGAAAAGTCTGGCAATGGAGGGTGTTTGAAACCTCGAATAATGAGCAAAAGTGCACCCACTGCTAAAGTGCAAGGCACCAAAGCACATAGGAATCAGTCATATGCTATTTACATACAATTGCAGAACTAACTACATCAACTCCTCAATAGGGCTTGCTGTGGAGAGTAAGTCCCATGCAACAACCTGGAGGTGAGATCATTAAAGAGGAGTCAACTCACAGTGGAGAACCCGAACTCCTCAGCAAAATAGCACACATTTAAAAACGCACTATGCATAAACTAAATGTAATCATATAACAAATTGAACCAAAATATAGCATTTGTCTTCGCAAAACTACTATTACAGGGATTGCCAATGCCACTTAGTTGAAAGGAAGAACAGCTGTCAGGATCCCAGTTGAGAGGTGCCCCCCTCAGTTGCATCAGGTCAGTGAGTACAGTGGGATGCTGGCTGAGACTTGGTGAAGGAATTACCTAAGTTATTACTTAAGTGTAATTACAGGATGAGAGCTACACTTGTGGTGTCCCACCTTCCCAGTACTGTTCATACCTGGATGGGGTTCTGGGAGTTCTACTCCCCTAGCCCGGCCCGGGGGCCAGGCTTGACTTGAGAACTTGGGCCACCAGGCTGTTACTTGGAGCAGCTTGCAGGACCACATATCCACCACAGCCTGGTTGGTCCAGATCTCTTGAAGAAAAATATCCAGTTCTCTCTTGAAGACGTCCACGTTTGTTCTGGCAATATTTCTTATGCTTGTTGTGAGGATGTTGAATATCAGTGGACCTCTGATGTTCATACAGTATTCTCTGATTGTGCCTATGGCACCTCTGCTCTTCACTGGTTCTATTCTGCATTTCCTTCCATATCGTTCACTCCAGTATGTTGTTATTTTACTGTATAGATTTGGGACCTTGCCCTCTACTATTTTCCATGTGAATATTATTTGATACTTCTCTCATCTCCTTTCTAGGGAGTACACTTAGAGAGTTTTGAAACAATAAAGCACCCCAATAGTTTAGGTGCTTTATCGCATCTATGTATGCTATATATGTTCTCTGTATTCCCAGTATTTCGGCAATATCTCTTGCTCTGAAGGGGAAAGTGAGTATCGTTTGTCATATGACTGAAACTTATGATGGTTTTGGCATCCACCACAGTCTCGCTTAACATTTTCCAACCATCTAGCACTGTTTGCAAAAGTGAACTTTTTAATGTTTTGTTAGTAGCTTTATTTGCTTACCCTGAATCTATGACCTCTTGTTTTTGATGTTTCAGGTTTCATGAATTCTTTGTCAATTTTGTCGATTCTTGTTACTGTTTTATACATAGTGATCATATCACCTCTTTTTCTTCTATTTTCTAGTTTTGGTATATGCTCCAGCTTATCCTCGTAGCTCTTGTCTTTCAGTTCCAGAAGCAATTTACTTGCATGTATTTGCAGCTTTTCCAGTTAGTTTATGTGCTTGTGAGAAATGAGCATCATATAATTGCTGCATATTCCAGTTTTGGTCTCATAACAGTCGTGAATAATTTCTTCAATATTTTGCCATCCATATATTTAAAAGCAATTCTGAAGTTAGAAAACACAGCATGGGCTCCTTGCACAATGTTCTTTATGTGATTCTCAAGAGACAGTTTTCTATCCAGAATCACCCCTGGATCTCTTTCTTTATCAGAATCCTTTAAAGTTTTGGACTGTGTTATCCCCCTATTTCCCCATACAGGTTGAAAGCACATGGAATATAATTCTCATAAAACATATATGGTAGTGGTAATAGTTGCAGCTGCAATAGTATAATAGCAGTATTAGTGTCGAGATTACATTCCTTGAGAGGCGAGCATGTATTGCATTCATGGTATCGTTTAAACTTGATGTAAGATTTTAATGTGCTGCTTGACCTCAGCTTCCCACTTACGGTGTGATGTACTAAGCAAAAACACTTATTTTTTATTATGCTCTACAGCAATGGGAAAGCTGTCTGCTGAACTAGCTCTTCTACTTGATGGAGAGATGTCAGGCCGTGAAAAGCACAACTGGCTGAATGTTCTGAAGATGACCACTTATTTGGCATGCAACCTTACTGAAGCTTTTGAAAATAACTACAACAAACCAACCACTGACACATTATTGCTTGGCAAGGTAGGAAATAAGTACTTTATCTACTAACATTAACTGAAATAGGGAATTAAAACAAGAGTGATATAAACAAATCCACAAGGGTCGTGATGAGGGTTTGAACCTACGCATGGGATGTTCCCAGCTGCGCCTTAGTCACGTGAGCCGCGTTTGAGAGTCCCTTGTGGATGTGTTCATTTGATATATCATGCTATTGTGATTTCTGTGTGTAAGAGTGATATAAGGCTTTTATATAGATGTCTGTGATTAGTCCTTTAATGTATTTCAAATAGACAACATACCATAATATTAAAGGTATGATATAAATTTTTTACAAATATTTCTGAATGATTTTATCTGCAGATGATGACTCAATAATGTGACTGAATTATTTTATCTAACTTTTATTATAGTTATTTGCTCTCCACCTTTAAAAATAACTGAATTTATGTTCCATGTGTAAGTAGAAATGGAAATTTATTGATAGTTGTGTATCAAAGAGGGTTTTTAAACCCTCTTTGTTGTCTTTGTTGTGTTATTTTTGTTGTCTCTAAACATGGTTGCATACATAGTGTCACATTACATTGTCTTTGAATTTTGGGGTAGTTCTGGGAAGTGTAATTCCCCAACTTGTTTACACTGAATGTGCAGACTATCCTCTAGACAACCATGGCACACTGCCCTGGCACAGTTCTTCACACACACTGTTGGAGCAGCTCTCTTCTGACCAGACTATCCTCTAGACAACCATGGCACACTGCCCTGGCACAGTTCTTCACACACTGTTGGAGCAGCTCTCTTCTGACCAGACTATCCTCTAGACAACCATGGCACACTGCCCTGGCACAGTTCTTCACACACTGTTGGAGCAGCTCTCTTCTGACCAGACTATCCTCTAGACAACCATTGCACACTGCCCTGGCACAGTTCTTCACACACACTGTTGGAGCAGCTCTCTTCTGACCAGACTATCCTCTAAACAACCATGGCACACTGCCCTGGCACAGTTCTTCACACACACTGTTGGAGCAGCTCTCTTCTGACCAGACTATCCTCTAGACAACCATGGCACACTGCCCTGGCACAGTTCTTCACGCACTGTTGGAGCAGCTCTCTTCTGATCAGACTATCCTCTAGACAACCACACTGCCCTGGCACAGTTCTTCACACACTGTTGGAGCAGCTCTCTTCTGACCCACTGATCAGCTCGGTACCCTTTGCTTGGCTCCGTCCAACCCTTCCCTATAGTGTTTACACATACAGTACTTGGATATTCAGTACAGCACAGAATTTCAAATAAATTAAATTCTAATAATGATACAGTTCCCAAAATTTGACTATTGGGATTTATAAGCAAACCCTAATATCCTTAAATTTTTATAGTGTAGAAAGATAATGCAGGTACAACATAAACCTGATTAATCACTGATTGAAAATGTCATGTGAAGTAAGCTGTCATCTATGAGTTAACAATATAGGGGTGGGAAACATTTTGGAATAAAAGATAATGCGAGCCTGTAATATGGAAAAAAGATTAGAAACATTCACTAAGAAAATTATTTAATTATTCTCAGTTAGAAGTGCTTTTAAATGCTAAAGGTATAGATGTAGGCGTTATTAGATGAGCCTACTATTTATGTATACTGTACTCGATTATGATGGAAGTAATTGTCAATAAGGAATAATGCATTCACTGTACTGTACTTTGATTCATTGGAAAGTGTTAGGGGACATAAGGATATGGGCATTAAATATAAATGTTTTGGTATGAATGTAATTTTTTCTTATCATCCATTTACTATATAAATTATTAGATAAATTTCCAAGAGAGCATAATTTTGTTTAAAATATTGCAGGCACGAAAAAAGACTGCTCGAACTTCTGATGATGTCATGGATTGGGAAGAAGAGAGAAATCACATGTTACTACAGATTTTCTCTGTTCTGCAGTACCCATTGCAACGTCTGTGGGAACCTCCTATCATGGAAGAAGATTTTGTCAAGTGAGTGGTGTAGTTAATTAGGCCTCACATGAAGTGCAGCTTTCCATGTCAATGATTAAATTTATTTGGGGCTTGTAAATATATCAGCTCATATGTCAGCCATGGATAATGAATTATGCTTATGAATTTCCATTTTACTGTAACTTTATGAAATGTTACGATTAGGAAGTTCTAAGCATAATGAGGCATTTAGGAAGCTTTCTTGCTTTCTACCATACTGTACTGAAAGACCTAAAGTGTTTGCTTAAGCACCCTAAGTGGAAGAAGCATCTTTAAAATCTGAAGGGTTGACATAGTAGAAACCTTGACGTGAAGAGGTCATATGTTCAGTTATCATAGCAAATATAACTGACACATTTCTGATTTTGTGATTAAATCTAAGTCTTGTAATATGTAAATTATATTGTATCAGGTATTCATATTCATCAGTTATATCCAGTGAGAATTTGTTTTGTTTACCAGTTATATCATAAACACTTGTCTTCTGGGAAGGAATGGAGGTATACAGTGTCTGCTACACAGATTATCTATGGTCACTGGCAGCTTATTACTAAAACATGAAAGATTTTTTTAAGCTGTTTATTGGGTTAGTACATTGATTTTGGTATCAAAATGTTTGGAAATGAATGTGTGTAAGTATACAGAAGTAAAAACAAATAAAAATAAAGTAGGAATGAACAATATTAGGAATTTGAGGGTGAAAGTAGCTGATGATACAGTACAGTATCATCCCTAGATGATATGCTGATGATACAGCACAGTATCATCAGCATGCGAAAGTGTTCAGAGAAGCACAGTACCCTTTTTTGTTTTGGTTGTCCGGAAACTTGTTTTAGGCTTTTGCCTTTTTTTTTAAGCTGGCTTCTTGCTAGTGTATTTATCATGTCACTAATATTGAGGCTCTATCCTCAGTAGAATTTAAAAAACAATCTAGGTACATAACAAATTTATGAATCTCATGTGATTTTATATAAAAGCTTAATTTTTCAGTTTGATTGCCAACTGTTGTTACAAGATCCTTGAATCACCGAGTATGAACTTAGCACGCACAAAACCCACTCGTGACTCCATATTCCAGATAATTGGTACATTGATAAAAAAGTTCAATCATGGTCTGGGGTGTGCCCTGAAACTTATGCAGGTATGTAAGAATTTTTTAATGCTTATAATATACAGATCCATAAGAAAAGATAAGAGATTCTAGGACATATTTATGGCATCGAACATGATCATAAAATATTAGTTTAACATAAATGCAGTCCTCATAAATCACAGCTATTTCTTGGCTTAGAAACCTTGGCTGATCAATTGTCAAAGAATCTTATGATTTTCAGTATACAGTACTGAATTTTAAGTTTATGGGCTATCTAGGGATGTCTAGAAATAAATTTAGTTCAGCTTTAGGGTGTTGTAGTAATCCCTAGACAGCAATTATTAAATTTTATACCAAACTTTGAACATACTTTTTAAAATCAGAAAGGGTACTTTATAATTGTATATCCCTAGTAATGATACTTTTATGATGTTTAAATGTTTTTATTAGCTGTCCTACTTGATTGCATCATAATGTAAGGTATGTCATGACCAGCAAGACAAAATCATGAGAACAGTCTAACACCAGTGCAAATAGGAATTTTTCAAACACTCCCTGCAGGATCATATTAATATTAAGTAGAACTGGAGAACTCTCTAATGACCAGAAGGTACATATATAAAATCAACGCCCTCTCAAGCCTTCCGTGGCATCAGAAGTGATGCCAAGGAAGGCTTGAACTCCATCCACTTTGGTACCCTCACCAACCACCTCCAAGGGGCAGCATTATGTCCAGGAGGGTTCTTTACCTCAAGCACTTCACAGTCTTTCTCACTATCTCATAGCAGTGCTGCTGGCAGGGATTTAGATTTCAGGCAAGTGATTTATTTTACCTTTCAAAATGTTCATGACACTATGAGCCCATGTTAGTATTGGGTAAATTGTCCATATCCAGCCAATTAAGAAATTTATGCTAAATAATCTTCCAGGGATGGTGCCTTCGTTTAATAAGTTTTTGCATATTTAAGAAAGTTATAGCTGTTCTTGTGGAATTAAAAATAAAAAATATTATGTTACTGAAAATCCCATTGTATGACTTGAAAAATGAGATTTTGATCTTTACAATGCCACCAGAATCTATAGAGGTACTGTATTAATAAAATGTATCACTGCTGCTGCCTATGAGCTAGCTTCTCCCTCACACTTTCCAATATGTTCATTATAATAAAGGAGTTAAGCAAAAAACTCCTTCCTGAGCTGATACCACAGATGCTTCCATTATGATATGTAACTTTACAAAAGCTCCTATTACATAGTTGGAATAGGAAGACAGTGAAGAGAATATCTTAATCAACACTGAGCGATCAGACATAAGAATAGGAAAATCAGCTCAACACTCCCTATAGATGGTCACTGAATTCATGAGGAAAGCCAATTTACACTGCTAACTTCATATCATTTTATATCTAGAAGCTGAACTTTAAAGTAATTATTCATAGTATTGTCATCACTCTGCACCAGGCCTAGATTCCTGGAATTCTATATTCATCAAGAATTGCAAAAAATCACTATCATAGGCCCTAAACATTATTTGGATGTAGATCCTAGATACTGGTAGTAACCCGACATACTTAATTCAGCAGAAATAGCTCTACTCCATGAAAGAGCAAATAAAGCAGTCAATTAATTATAGATGAACAGCAATATCATCACAAATCATAAGTGTTTGAAATAGTGCTAAAAAGTAACATCACAAAACACATGGAATCACAGCATGTGCATAACTCTGGACAACATGGGTTCAAAACAGGGCACTCCTACTTACAATTACTGTACTAGACACTAGCAATTGTACTGAAATATGGCTAAGCAATCTTTTACCCTACATTCCCTGGCTATTGTGACCCAACATTCCCAGGACAGGCCAAGGTAGCCGAGTTCCAGAGGAAGTCAAAATGTGAGCAATGTAGGAAAGCAAAATGGCCGAACAGAACAATGACCCACAGGTGATAGCCCTCAGGAAAAGTCAGTGAAATGTCATAACCTATCTTGAGGTTATCTTTAGATGATTTCGGGGCTTTTTTTTTTTTTTTTAGTGTCCCCGCGGCCCGGTCCTCGACCAGGCCTCCACCCCCAGGAAGCAGCCCGTGACAGCTGACTAACACCCAGGTACCTAATTTACTGCTAGGTAACAGGGGCATAGGGTGAAAGAAACTCTGCCCATTGTTTCTCGCCGGCGCCTGGGATCGAACCCAGGACCACAGGATCACAAGTCCCGCGTGCTGTCCGCTCGGCCGACTTGGCTCCGACCTAACCCCAAACTCCTCACTAGAGGAGAGTGAAAGGGGCAAGGCCACAAGGACGCGTTGATGGAAGGGTGGGCTAAAAGGCCAGGGGGAGAAATTGTCTCTTTCCAGGATTGAAACAAAATGAATACAGAACAGAATCCAGTATTAAATATAGAGCTCTCCACCCGATACAAAAAGCCTCCAACTGTCACAAGATTGGAAAAGGAATAGTGAGGCAAAGACCAGAAAGCAGGTGAGTTCAAAGTAGTAAAAAAAAACACCCAAAAAACACAAATCAGGATTCCAAAACAGCATCAAGTACCGAATAGTCTGAGAAAGCAAATCTCGGCCAACAATTGTAAATTAAACATTCTTCATCTCTGTGTTAGGGAGTCTTCTAATGCCAGGAGTTAACTTTGTCATTCTCCTCTCCAGACTTCTAATGTTCAGAAGCATCTAAGGGACCAATTCAAAGTAGTTTTACTATTTTTTACTTCTGCCATGCTGATTAATTTTTATTTTTGTACTGAAAGTTTTATTATCTTTCCACAGCTGTTGCAACACTTTGAGCATATGGTGACTCCTGCTGCCCAGGGAGTAATTCTCCTGGTTGAATCCTTTGGGATAAAATCAGTGGTGGCTGAACTGGTACGAGAAATATCTAAAGTGGATGCCAGGGACTTGTTGAAAGACACCTCAGGTCTTCGCAATTTCTCTCAATTTCTCATGGAGGTTTCAGATAAATGTCCACAAGTGGTGATGCCATCACTTAGCTTATTAATTAATTTTTTACATGAAGAGGTGAGTTTGATTATAAAAACAAGAAGCTTTCAAAAAGCTCAAGTATGAAAAGCAGTAGATATTTATGATGGTAAATTACATTAAAAATTGCTTGTAGTAATTTCCTTATTTAAAGATGGTTTTATGTTAATTCAGTGGATTTCATTAAAACAATTGTAGTACAGTATATAAACTTTTAATTTTGCATGACTTTTGGAAAATAAATAAATTATATATATTTATATATATATTTTATTTTATAGGCACAGAGTATGCGGAATTGTGTGTTGTCTATCCTTGGGTCTTTAGTACTTAAAGTGCTCAGTGGAGAAGATCTTGATTTCAAGAGCAAAGAGTTACGTGATCAGTGTCTTGACCACTTAGAGGATCACATTCATGATGTTCATGCTTTTGTTCGCAGTAAGGTAAGTAAGAGACAAGCCTGCCTACCCTGAGTGCAGTGTTAATGAACTTTTATTTGTTATGTTCTTGTGTTCTTATAGTTTCAAACATAGGTTAGAATTATATAGGAGTGAGTGGGTTGATGTAAATAGGAGTGGTTTTGTACGGATCATTAGACCTTCTGCAGTTCCCTTTATTCTTCTGTTCTTAATACTGTAATTACATAATAAGCAATAAATAATAAAAGTTAATACAGATACTGTGTGCTGCAATGGTGCTGTTAAAAGATGTACATAAAAATATGATAAATTATTTAGCATTTTCCCAGACTTATTCCACTAGTTATCCCACTATTCTATATCCCACTAGTTATCATTATCATTAAACATTTTTCTTTTACAGGTTCTACAGATATGGAATGAATTAATAACAGAGAAAGCCGTTCCTTTACGGAGACAGCACAGAATACTAAAGCTTGTATTAGGGCGCTTGCAGGACAAGTCCTCAATTGTACGAAAGAATGCAGTTCAATTATTAACTGCATTTGTAAAAGGCAATCCATTTGCTGCCAAGGTTAGTACTGTATTTTTAATTCAAAGTTTTCTTCCCTTTAAAGCCAATGGGGCTATAATTTCCTTGAAATGTGTTCTGTTATTTAATATTGCAAAATACAATAAGGGCTCTGAAGTTCTTACTGTTCTTATAAAATGAACTTTGATGCATCTTAATATTATTCTTGCATTAAAAGATAATATAATTTTGTTATTGTTTAACCCCCCAGACTTCAATGCTTTCCCTAGCTTGTTTGGGAATTGGTAGGTACTAATTTACTGTTATAGATTATAGTTTATATGACGAGTCAAGTGTGTATGAACCTTTAATTTTCTTTCTCTGCATGCACTTGGGCCCTTGTTATACATGCTTTATGTCTGCATGATCCAAATATATAGGGAAGTGTGAAATGGAATAATGATGTTTTAGATTCTATATACTGTAATAATTTTTTAGAGAAATGAAGGAAAGGGAGTCAGGTTCAGACAATGAAAATATGTATCTTATGTATAATAAGTACATTTTTTTCAGTTGCCATTGGAAGAACTACAATCACAGTATGAAATAGAATTGAAGAAGCTCCAAGAAATGTCACCTGGCATTATATTAGAATCTTCAGACAAAAAGAATACACCAGTGGAGAAGATGGTTACAACAAATGAACTGTGGAATGCAATGCTTCCAGAAGTAGTTGACAGTATTCGTGAAATTATTAATGAAGGTTTGTCCCTACTCTTTGAAATTTGCATCATCAGGTTACTTATTCATGGTTGTAACTTCATGTACACACAGAGAGGAATCTTACTCAGATGGATTGAGTTGCATCAAATCCCTACCACTGCATAGGAACTTGTTACATCCAAACATTATCATCTCACTACAGTATTTTATAGTAGAACTATATAACCTGTTTTTGGGAGTAGATAAAACACCATTTACTATATAGTCAAACCATCAAAATTCCAACCTCTCTTTAACAAATTCACCCTTATATCTGCAGTATATGTGACACTGCCACCACCACCTGGTGACAATGACTGCCACCACCACCTGGTGACAATGACTGCCACCACCACCTGGTGACAATGACTGCCACCACCACCTGGTGGTGATGAACCATCATCACCATGAAATGAAGCACCATGAAAATATTAATGAAAATGAAACACTGAGGCAATTAGCAGACATCACAAAACAAAGGCATGGTTTTTGTTGGTAATTGGTTGCCAGTTACCAACCTCAGAGACTCTCAAGGTTGCCTCTGGTTGTCAGGTGAGGGAGCTTTATATGCTCCTCCGTAGGTTTGGGCTCTGTTCTTTCGACCATTATGAATGGTTCTTCACCTGTGGCCTCATTCTTTCTCATTCCTTCTCATTTCTTCTCATTCTCAGACAGAAATGGTTGGCTTCTGGAGGGGTTCCTTGATGTTTGCAGCTTGGTTTGTCCAGCTGGATGGTTGTGCATTCTGGTGATGTCCAAATATGGCAGCCTGTTGCTACTGGCAAGCCACTGATGAGGATTTAGCGGACACCATCGATCAGGTTTCCTTGGTCCCTCATTGCATGTTCCTGGGTCATCCGTTGTATCCTTATGCAAGCCAATCTGCGGTTTTCCCTCAGACCCTTGTTGTTCATCACTAGTGTTGGCAATCATCTTCACTATTATTTCATGGGCTGCCATTCAGGTTCATGGATTTTGGAGAGCTTCTGTTAAACACCTGGACCAGGTTTCCTAGCCTGAAATTTCTTCTTAGACTTTGTGGCTTCCACCTCTCCTCCTTCTTGGTAAGTTCCATGTTTTTCTTCTTCTCTCTTATTTGCTAGCTTCAGGGAGCCATCAAGGAGTTTCCCCAGAAAACCCATATTGAATGTGATGAAACTCCCGTTTCTGAATGAGACCTAATGGCTGCCTGATTCCCTCCCCCTCTACTAGGTAGAGGGTTTGTAGTTCATCAACTCAAGACTGAGCCTGCTTGCAGTCAGAATGCCACTGGCTGGTGGCTCTGTACATATGCACTAGGGGGGTGCTTCATACCCAAGTTCGAATGACTTAATTCATTTTGAGTAACTTTTTAGTAGTGTGTTGCCCGTTTCGGTGCGTTGTTTCATGAATCTTGCAGTTCTATATATTGTCTGACCTGCTTTTCTGGCTGCTTTCCCAGTGAAAGTAATCGTAACAATCCCAGGCTCTCTCTACCTATGTGAGGGGCCCAAGATCTGGCTTTAGGTCCCTGGTAGGCCAACAGGATTCCTAAGATTGATGTGACTGTGTATAGAAAGCTATCACAGTGAGTTGGCTTCAGGAAGCCACCAAGGTTCAGGCAGAAAGGGGCATTTCATTACACTCGATGATGGTTATTTGTATACTGATATGATGGCCTGGGAATACCTCCTTTGATGAGCTATGATCAAAACATATCTAGTAAAGAAGTTTAAGAATTTATTTGTATTGCAGATGGGTCAGATGATGATGGTGAAGATACTTTGGAAGATGGTGTATCTCTCAATGATGCAGTGTCTGATGTAGCAGAGGCACTCAAGTCTAGTAAGATTCGTCGTGCAGTGAAGTTATTAGAAGCTGCCTTTGAATTATTCAGTGGAGCTGAAATTCTTGTGTAAGACAGTAGAGCCTTGATGTTCTTGATTACCTCTGGTAAAGATACTTCATGGTTTTGAGATTTATTTATATTATTTGCAGGACACCTAAGCACATCAACATGAAACTTTCAAGATACAGTATGTCCAAAGACATGCTTGACTGTATTTGCAAGTAGCAGGCACATGGGAATAGGTATTTCCAGACCACTAGTTTTAGCTCAACCCTAAGAATTTGGGAAGTGAACGACACAAAATAGGTCTTCAGTGTGAATGGTTGTATTACTGGTGTTTATAATTCTTGGCTTATCAAGATATTACATTGCTTTAATTGTAAGGATGTGGAGGTGAGATTTTCACACAAGGAAATGGTTGTAACAGGCAGATAGATGAACAAGACTTCTATATTTTCATACTAACTTTGGGATTAAATATGCTACAGTAAAACAGACATAAATCAGAAGAAATAACAAATATGATAATGGGACATTTGAAAACACTTAGTTTGCTCTTCTAGTTGAGTGCTTATTTCAACTGCACCGGTGAAATTGCTAGAACGGGACACAAGACACATGGTATGTTTATCAGTTACCTACAGAATGGGATACAAAATATATGCAGTGTTTCCAGGCACTTGCTGGCTGTTTACTCTGGCACTTCATTCCGGAGCACCCCAAGGCTGTTTTTGGACTGTTGGATTGTTACACTACAATGGGCTTTTGCTCGTATTAAATTTCTGCTTGAGTTAAACAGTTTGTATTTAGTTGATGAAACAAATATTCATTACTGTGAAGATTGCTTCTCTAAGCTGCCACCAAGCAGCTGCCATAAAATGTTAAAAAACTCAGATATGACCTAATTTGTTTAATAATAATAATAATTGCCCAAAATGCTGTGCATATTAATGGCTTTAGGCATAGAATATACTAAGCAATTATATAATAAATTAGTATAGTGTATTTATTTGTATATAATAAATTATCAAATTATAATATTTACCCAAAAATATTCTCAAATTAGCCAAAAGTGAATCTATTATTGTGGTATGTGTAATTACCGCTCATCCATGCCTAAAGGAATTTTTGTGCTAAATCCCAATATTAATAAATGCGTAAAAATGTTCAATTATAACTAATATTTTCAAACTATCAAACAAATATTATCACTCAATAATTACTGAAAACCTATAAACAAAATTGCCAAATATATGTGGAAATGTGTCCAACTCACAAACTATATCCATATGGTATCCATATGCAGGCGATGAGTCACAATAACGTGGCTGAAGTATGTTGACCAGACCACACACTAGAAGTTGAAGGGACGACGACGTAAGGCATGAAATTGCCTTTATCTACAAATCATTCTCTCGCCTTGGTTATCCTTTGCATTTCATCAACTGTGCCAACTCTCAAGCTAAACGAAATTTCTTTCATCCTAAACCTGCTTCCAACACTAGTAGCACTGTACTATGCCTTCCCTTCATATCTGAACTCAAAACTTTTACCAATACCTTTCGTCCTCTTGACATTAAACTCGCCTTTCGACAGACTAACACACTTTGTAGCAATCTAGTTCACACTGCTCCTCCTGCTTCTAATGCTGCTGGTGTCTACTCTATTTCCTGTTCATCTTGTCCTCTCCAATACTTTGGCGAAACTGGCCGTACACTGAATGACAGACTTAAAGAACACAAGAGAAGTGTTAAGTCTGCAGACACTAACAATGCTCTCTTCTGCCATGTGAGGGATTCTAATCATCCCATTGATTGGTCTTCCTCCAAAATAATCTTTCCTGCCTCTACTCTACACAGACGCCGTCTTGTAGAATCGGCTCTTATACACAATGTACCCAACATGAACTTGAGTCCTGGCTTTGTTGCTGTGGACTCTTCCCTTTCACAGTATATAGTCAAATGCTCTAATCTTTCTAACAAACGTGACTTAACATAAGCTTACCCCTTCCATTTATCTTTCTTTCTCTTTCATTTTCTTTCTCTCTCCTCCCCTTTTTCTGTTCATTGTCTTCTCCTACGCTCCCTTGCTATCCTCTTCTTATTCCTATCTCCTTCGGTGGTTATAATAGGAGCTGCCTCGTATGGGCCAATAGGCCTTCTGCAGTTCTCATTATTACTACTATCCCCTACACCTTACTTTCCTCCTCAGCTCTCTCTTGCCTATTTATTGCCTGTCTCTACCTCCTCATCACAATCGACTTGAGAATGGTCCAGGACGGACTGAAACGTCGTCGTCCCTTCAACTTCTAGTGTGGTCTGGTCAACAACGTTGCTCATGTTTCTCACCTCTCTATTTGCGACAAGAAATGCATGCAAGTCACCTTGTGCTTTGGTTCTTTTGTATGTATCTCCAAGCTGCTTTACTCATTCATGTTCTTTAACAAATACAGGGTCAAGGACCCACTTGGCTGGTGGTAGGTGTTGTCCACTTCTGCTAGGCTTGCGGCTTGTTCCCCAACACACCCATGTGTCGTAGTAGGTAGTAATTGATCAACGAAATCTCTGGAGAAGGCTTGTACATTCGTTACTGTGTAATCTTAATACCATTTTGAAATTAAACTCCTCAAGTGCTTCTCAAGTGCTTCTCTTTGAACTATTCTCTCCCTTCATACCCAACATTGCTTGGGTGACTTAAGCTGAAAATAAGATCCAACTGCTCACTACTTTAGTTACATGTATATTACTGATATCTAGCTTTTGCAGCAAGTAGTTTGGTCACTAGCAATCATTATAAAATGTTAATTATGTTTTCTTGTTGCTAATTACCATTTGCAGATGGTGTTGAGGGTATTGCTCACTGCTGTGGGTCATTGTTGACTGGTCTCTCTGTGATTACTTAAGATAAGATTTGTCATTGGCTCCCTTCCCTTGTATTTATACCTGATAACACAACTAGTAAAGATATTTAATAGGCCTTGTAGGGGAGCTTACAAAAGCTTAGTGTAATGGCATTTTTATGGCAATCCTAATTGGTTCCTGGTTCAAGGAAGCACTTGAAGGACCACCTCAGAAGGATGTGTTTCGCTATGCTTAATACTCTATTTTTCTGTAAGGGTTGTAAACTAATTGAATTTACTTGAAGCAGAGGTGATAGAAGCCACCTCGGTTCAGGTGGTATAAAATGCACCAGTTACAAAGATCTTTCACCCTGTAGACACCGGTAATCTCATTCTCTTGTTACACAAGCCTCGATCCTTTGTTCTAGTTGATACTCGTTCTCTTCGTGAATTCCATTGAACTTGGTGTATTCATTACAGCTCCCAGTAGTCACTGCACCTCCTATACTGATTTTGATTTCATATGGAAATTTTAAACAGTTACATTAAAAAGTACTGTATTCTTATATTATATATTTTATTACAATTGCTAGTACTTTTATATCAAATGCATTCTTCTTTCTTTGCATGTGACACTGAAGGTATAATCCAGAAGATTGCAGCGATAGATCATATAAAGAGATTTCAAAGAAGTTGACTGAGAACCAGATGCGCTACCATGTGGTCCTGGAGCGCATCTTTAAAGCTGCTGGAGAAATGGAACGAATGAAGGAGTCTGAGAAAAATGGAGAAAAAATGGATGAAGATGAAGTTAACAAAAATGATAGACAAGAAACTGAAAAGAGCAGTGAGGAAAGTGAAGAAAATGAGAAAGAAAAAGAAATAAATGCTGAAGTAGCTAAGCAGAAGCAGTTGGTGATTTATCTTAAGGTTAGTCATAGACTAACAAATTAAACTAACCCCTGTTTGGAACATAGGGGTTAGTTTATTATATCTGTGGTGTTAAAGTGCCACTTAATTTATTATTAATATAATAAATCGTAATACTGTACAGTATTTTAAATATAAATCATTGGCACTGTATTACTATTTTCCAATACTTGCACCACATATATATTTGCATGCAACCTTTGTGCCACAATGCCTTTCTAGATCTTCTACACTGCTAATATAACTACAGTACTCTTAACAACCAGTTCAAATATATACTGTATGTTGTACCCCTCTTTCACACTTTTTTCAGTCACACACACACACACACACACACACGCACACGCACACACACACACACACACACACTCACTCACTCACTCACTCACTCACTCACTCACTCACTCACTCACTCACTCACTCATGTATTCTCTTTCTTCCTTCTTCTCTATATAAAATTGTAACAAAGTTTTTTTTTCAGGATTCTGTTGCCTTTGCAAAATTAATTCATAAAGGCTTGCCTGTGGTGTGCCAGTTGATGGGAAGCAAAATTGTCTCTGATGTGTTGGAAGCAGTTTCATTCTTTGTTACAGGTTAGTCAGCAGGTGTTACCCGTCCTCCTTCTTGTGTAGTTTCTTTATGTGCTCTGGTAAATACTCTTTATTGAGTCAATGTGTTGAAAGCCTTTGAAATACTGACTTAATTTCTTATGAGTCATTGTTCAACCATGGAGGCCTATACTGTACTTAGCTCAGCTTTGAGGGCTAAATATCATCAAAATGGCTATCCTGACCATGACCCCACCCCTTGCACAAAATTTTGTATGTACATATTTGTTTTTCTTTATAATATGTATTGCAAAGTATGACAAAATGTTGCATATCTACCCTTATTTTGGCCTGAACAGTAGTCAACATTGTCATTAATCAGCATTACGTTGTGGTGGATGCATGACCCAAAAATATTATTTTATGTATGTTTCATATGAAATATTGTTAAAATGTAAGGAATCTGTCCACAAAAGTAAAAAGAATACCAAAATAATAATATTGACCTGGCCACCAACCAGGAGGCCTGGTCAGAGCCTGGGCTGCAGTGATGCATCAATAGGAATTGTATGGGAATCAAACCTAGGAATCATCAATAGGTGTATGACATGTATACAGTTAAGGTCATTATGTTGGCCCAAGTAGGTGCTGTGGTTATCATATGATGGTTTGAGACAAGGGACTGAACTTCCTCTTGACTCAAAGTTATTTTATGATCTTTCATAACTGCTGGGAGGACACCATTGAACTGTTGGATTATTGACACAGTAAATGATGACCCCATTTCTTTAAATTATCAATACATCACAATGACTGCACTTTAGGAGTTAAAAAATTTATTTGTTACTATCTCATTATTTAAAAGCTAAACTAATGTACATTACAGCATTTGAGTTTGGTTTGCTGAATGCTATGACTGGGGTACGCCGAATGCTGGCATTGGTATGGAGTAAGGAACAAGGCATCAAGACGGCTGTCGTCGAGGCATATCAGCGTCTTTACATAAATATTGATTCCCCCAATGACAGGTTAGTTGATTTATATATCTAAAAATCTTATACATATTTTGTTATATCTTGTATTTAGCTTCTTTGTGTACCACCTGGAACTTTGGTGAGCTGTAGGGAGGAAGACAGAAGAATGGGAAGTGGAAATACAGGGCAGGTGGATGAAGAGGACGGTAAAGTCAAGATTTCACATGCTTCGCAAAAGAGTGCGTCTTTGCAAATTTAATATTAGCAAGGAGAGGCCTTTGTCATCAGGTCCACAAATGGGAGGCAGTAACCCAGGTCACAGGAACAACTCAAGTTCACTTCAAGTCAGCTGTGCAGCAGAGACACTACAGACTCTTAGAGACAATACCTAATAATTTAATGCCTCTTGCTTTTCCAATTTAATTAGGGTTGGTATCACAGTTTTCAATTACCATATCTGGAAGCTTTCCTGGGCAAGGGTGAGTGAATGTGCATAATGAGTTACCACTCCAGTCAACTTTGATTTAACTTTATTAGTGGAAGCTCATCAATATTCACTAAGTTGTTAGTATGAGCCACTGCTGGCAGGTCTACTGTATTATCATATTTAACATGTTTTATGGCTCCCAAGCAATGCATGACATCCATTTAGAGCTATTAGTTATAAATGCCTGATTGGTTCTTCTAATAAAAAATGAGGTACATTCAGATTATTGTTAACTTCTGTTGTTAACTCTGTGGCCAACACATAATAATATATATGCAGTTTAAGGGTTAAAACTGTGTGTGGAAGAGTTAATATTGTTTTGCACTTTCATGTATTTTATAATTCATAGATGATTTTCCTTGATTTAGGGAAAATATGTAGCCAGGTTCTGTCACAAAATTTTGAAGATAATTTGAAAAATAATTTTTCTTCTACAGAACACGTGCTCTGCATATAATTAGCAACTTATCTGCACTCATCACTGGAGCCACACTGGGAGAACGCACATCAATGGAAGAGATTATCACTCAATTTGTCACTTCAGGTGAAATATGAATAGAGCTGGTCTTAAAGTCAAATAGACTTCAAATGTCACTGTGCCTATTTTGTTAACACTTTCGTTGCCCGATCACCCATGTTCCATCACAGAAACAAAATTTGAAGAGTTCGTAATGATGCAAACAGTGTCATTAATTTAAAAAAAATTTAAAAATTATATTTATTATCCAAATACTATGCAACTTGTTTTAAAATGCACGTCAACTTCTTTCCATTCTCTGTATACCCCACGTGGCATCCTGACCCTGCCGTGTAGGCGCTCACCCATGTTGGAGGCTCTGTTCTCGTGACAGCCTCAACCTCCCCTCGAGTTAAAAAGTTTCCTCGTTCTGGTTATTTTATCTCAGGTATTTGTTGTTACTGACTTTATAAACACTGAGAATTGACTTACAGATGGATACTGTTCAAGAACAGAGACAATCCATAACAAAAGCATTGAAAGAAACACATACGAGGGAAAAGTTATTGATTGTTTGTCGAAAGTATAGAAAAGTTAAGACTTATGTGTTCTTATATGCAAATATGCCTTTACAGCATTCTATTGCGAACAGTTTGATACCAAATTGAATGACGCAGCACAAAAATTGAGGTAAGAAAGCTGAAAAGAGAATAAACATTGGAGTGAGGTTGTGTGTTCACGGGCAACGCACGGCCAACCTTGCGGTACGTGGCAGGTCGCCCTCAGGCCCAGCGAAAGTGTTAAGTACTGTTTTCATTTATAATTGTTTCCCTAGTAGGAATAAATACATTTGCTCTCACATTAGGCAACTGAATTCAGTAGCTCAAGAAAAGGGGCGATTTTCCTCCTCGCTTTTTTTCTGTAAAATACAGGAAGCTGGTGAGTTTTGAGTTTGCATATCACATTTTCTATTATCTTATTTCTTGCGTGTTTAAAAGTACACTTTTATAAAGGCTCCTTTTATAGTTTATTTAATTATGATGCTTAATTTTGCAGGGGACATTACCAAACAATGTGTGACACTACTGTGGGAACGTTGCACAAAGACCTTGCCTGACACAACTGATGATGAAGCTCGATCAGCACTTATTCTCCTGGCAATGTGTGCAAAGTAGGTTTCAGTACTATTATTGAGAAAGTGGTTACTCTACTAAGCTTATAATAGGTAATGATAATTCTTAATATGTAAAAACCTACATGTATCTTGAAGTGGAAGTGAATGAGTAGACTTATAAATACTGTACTGCATAAAAAATGTTATAGATTCACAAATGCGACTCATTCAATCAATATCATCCACATTAACTGCATTATGTAAAATAACTGCATTATGTAAAATCATTGCTGTCTACACTCATCAAAACATCCACGGCAGCTTCCCACCACTGAAATTAATAGTAATGTAAATCTAAAAAATAACCTGGTTGGATATTAACATTTGTGCTGGAGAAAACCAAAATATGTGGTCATAATGCCCCTTTAGGTGATGAAAATGCATGTTGTAAATGAAATTGAGAAAATTAACTCTTGTACAGCAGCTGTTAAAAAATGGTCATAACAGAATTACTAATTTGTATGCCAAATGTAAGAAAAACATAAATATATGAATATTTACATTTTTACTGGGTGAAAGTGGTGTGAAAGGTTGCACAGTGGCACGGAGTCTGGAGTCTCTCAACACACAGCTTTGCTGACACTGAGAAATGAAAGACATGATTCCTGTGTTCTCCTCGGAAGTTTCATTGATTTTTTCTCTTTATTTTACAACAGTATGTGTTTTGAATAATTTGATAATTCACACAATTTACATATTTCAATTGGTGATTGGTTTGCCTGTTATATTTCATTACTACCATATAGAGTAGTGAAACCCAAAACCATATAAGCATAATATATATAGGCGTTGGACTCTGGGTGATGACATAGGGCCTGATTGTGCCTAATTGATGACATATGGGCAACAGTTTAGATTGAAACAAAGGCGTAAGCCACCGATGCACCACCCACAGATGACAGCAGGCTTCTGGTTCAATTGATGATTGGCTTACCTAGTATACCTCATTACAATCCTATGAAGCTATTATATCCTTATTTGAATCGTATAAGTAAAATCCAGATAATAATACTCTAAATCAACACCTGATGATAACTGCATTACCCCCAAACATCAATGCATGACAATAACTTCTGTCTAAGAGTTAATTATGACATGTGACATGATGGTTGGACAATGTATGGTGTCTTTTACGCCATACTTTGTTCCAGGATGAGTAATGATAGATCTTTGGAACATTTCAGTGGTTGTATCATCTTTAACCAATGCGAAATACCTTCTACCATATTTTCAATAAAGTCCTGCTGCAGGTGGTGGTTGAACATCGTTGAACATCTCCACTTATGGAGGAAGTGCAGTATGTAATATAAATCTGAAAAGCAAACAGAAAGATCGACCAGGGCTGACCTGTGGGAAACGCAAGAAACTGAGAGGGCAAATGGCAGAATAATATAGTTTGAATACCCATATATTCGAAATTCTGCCTCAGCCAGAAGACCCAAAAATCATTGTCACAGCTGGGGCGACAGAGCCCTGCACAACTGCTCAGAAAATGCTCACCCACTAGTAGGCTTAACAAATTGACAGCCTAATCAGACTGGGACTATCCAGACCAACCCGATTCTATGGTCACCAGATCAAAAGGGTGGCCATAGATTGGCCACCCTTTAATTGGCACCATTAATGGGTGGCACCATTAATTGTAGGCCAATTTTCTTGTGTATTTTATCATAAAGTTTTGTATTTAACTTTTTGTGTAGATGCTTTTTATGATTTATTACAAAAGTTAAAGTGGTTGTTCTTATCATTACAGTTCGGAAGTTAGTATCATCTCTAGCAACATAAGTGTGCTAGTCAATGCTGGCTTAGGGGAGCGAGGAGAGCAAGACTTTGCACTTGTAAAAGAGACTTGTACGGCTTTGCTGAAATTGGCAGTAACAAAACCCAAAACAGATGCAGTCACTCCACCATTCCGGTAAAACTGCTTTTTCGTTTTGTTTTTTATTCAGACTATTATAATTTGGTAATTATATAATTAACAATAAAACAATGTTTTTGCTATTATTACACTATATACACATGTCATATAAAGTACTGTATAGCTATATTTTTATTAGGACCAGCTATTACATCTGGATGTGGGAAAATTGAAAATCCAGGGATCTGAAGAAAAGACTGAGTAACATAATTTGGGGTTTAGTAAGACTGGCTGTGAGGAAGCATTAGGCATCTTTCCACGCTAACCCCACTTAACACTTTCGCTCGGTAACTACTCGGCATTGCGTCGTTTTTTTAGTATACGCATTTCCGATAACGATGCAGCATTGCATTAGCGGCGGCTTCGGGTGGGGCATGCTGTGGTTTTTTACTATATTTATATATACTCTTGTTGGGAATTCTATTGCGAACACAATGATACCAAAATGAAAGCCCTAGGACAGGAATTGAGGTGACAAAAGTGAAAAGAGTGTTCACATTCTATCGCTCTTGCATGCTCCCGGGTAACACGCACTCACTTTCTCTGTTTGTTGTGGATGATATGCCGGGCTTTTGGACTTTATATGCCTTTAGTCCTGTAGAGAATTCTATTGCGAACACAATGATACTAAATTGAAAAACCTTGGACGAGAATTGAGGTGACAAAGTTGAAAAGAGTATACACTTTTCAGAATTACCGCGCACTCCTGTAAAACGCTGAGGCCCACCCAGGGTAGTGCGGGTCTCGCACGCGCGGTGCAATAAAGTGTTAACTTGCAATTTTTCCTAACTTTATCAATTCTTGCATATTAGTCATTCTATTTCTCACTTATTTTACTTTATTAACCACTACACTGTGCAAATCATGATATCTTGGTTAAAGGGTATGTGCTGTCCAACATGTCACGTTTGTTAGTATACAGTAAGTAGTATACTGTACAGTAAGATTGAAAACTCCCATGGGTTTATGGGGCTTACATCTTATTCCTCAAGACTTCAGTAAAAAGATGACAATTTTTTATTTATTTATTTTTTGGCATTCCTCCTTGCTATATAACGCCAGAGTGACCAAGGCTCGTACATGCAGCAGGAGCTAACCGCTGTGCAGGTCGGGGCCACACCACCCCTTAATAATGTTGAATAAAATAAGTAACTGCAATTATTTTGCGATGAAAGTGTCATAGATGATCCTGACTATAATAAAAACTATGTCCAAGGTTCAGGTATCAGTGAACACAATGCTAGTTATGATGGTCACAGCAGAAGACAGACATTCATAGCACAGCCAAGATTTTGTGCATCCATGCATCATACAAAGTGATCTCATGTTCCTTTAGACAATATTCTTGTAGAAAATTATTCATATTCATAATTTAGTGAGAGGAATCTGATGATACCAATGTTGTGGCAAGACTTAGTGTCTTATATGTATATGTGACTCAGCATATGTATATTCAGCGTAGTATACTGAAAGAATCTTGCTGCATTAGGTGACGTCATCTACTTGTGAAGTGTGGTTGTCATGTGTGGCTCTATACTGTACTAATGTTTCCTTACTCATCCACCAGAATTACTTCGTCTTTCAGTATGGTTTATAAAGGGGGGGGGTTACACACTATTGGCCTTGTACAAGCTATCACATTTGAGTGATCCCAAAGATAAATATCCTAACATATTGTGTTGGATATCCATGGATATTGTGTTGCCAGGCAGGACAAAATTCTAACACTGGCACCACAGGGATCTTCAAATGATAATGCTGGGTCATTATAGGTGTTAAGGAGACATTAAAGTAAAACTCAATCCAGCTCTACAATGACATCCAAGGTACATTTCTCTATAAGGATTAAACACTAAACCAAAGCCTCATTTGGGGTCAAATGACAACCAAAATATATTGTCATTGTTTGCTTGCCAAACTAATCTTGCTAATCCACTGATTTTGGGAAAAAACACTTGAATATAGCTGTCAGAGGGATGCTGGAGCATTAAGTTTAAAAGAGAGAGAGTAATCACAGTAACTTGATGTATCAATGAGAAAATCCATAGATGCCGTGATGATCAGTGGAAGCCTTGGGGAAACCCTCGTGTGATCAGTAGAACTCTAGGTTGCAATCCTTTTACCATGTCGTGGCCTGATTGTCTGGGGCGTGTGCATGAGACCACCCACCGCATAAGTTTGAATCCTCATCGTAGCTCCTACGGATTTTCTCATCAAGTTCAAAGGTAAAGGACATGAGGACAGTTAAGACTGGTGGATGTCAAAGCTTAATCCCAATAGTTTAGCGTTATCATTTACACAAATTTACTCGAGTGGCAAGGATGGTTTGGGAATGACATCTTTTCATGGGCATGTGTGAGTATGCTAGCAGTAAAAAGTAGAGATACCTTTCTTGATTGCTTTTGCCATTGATTCACATCTAGTTCAAAAATATTCATTATAATTTTATATAGATAGACTACATTATTTAAAGTTCTACTAAAGCACTAAATTTATTTCCAGACTGGATCGTGACCATGAAATATTTGAGAGGCTCAGCAAGATCCTTGTCAAAGGTTTGACAGTTCTTCATGATCGTCAGTATTCTCCTATGGCTATAGAGGCTGTGTCGGCTATATATGCAGTAGGTTCCAATATGCTCGTCCACAAAGTATCTCACTTGATTTGATTTTTGTATAACTTTTGTATAACTTTGTATAACAAAATTGTCAGAATTATTTAATTTATTTCTTGTAATATTTGTCTTGTCACCATAATTTATTCAAGAAAATTTCATTGTTAAGAATGTGCACTGTCATATTTTGCTTGTGCTCTCAATCGAAAGGTTTATACTGAAAGTCCTACAAATTTTTATTTTTTTTTAATAATAACAGGTCAACATTCTTTCATTATATTATGTAAAATTATCGTTTGATACAGTAATAATATAATTTTTATAATACTGTACCAAAAAGAGTGCTTTAATAGTGAGATTAAATGTTAACATTCATAAGTAATATTTGTATCATATGCATTGAATTTCAGATGTGTAATTTAATATTTTTTTTTAAAGCAGCATTCATAGAATTGACTAATACTGTCCACAGCTAGCTGAACATCCCGACCTTATTTGTGGAGAGATTATTAAACAGATGAGCAGAGAGATGCTGGAGTTCCCTAATGAAGAACCTAATGAGCCTGAGAGCGAATGTTCAACACCCCAGGTCAGGAAAATATAAAAAATAGCTTTCGTGACATTGTTCCCTGGTCCTTAACATTTCTTCATTAACGTGGGTCCATGTGCCAAATACAGTACCTGATTCTTTTAACTCTACTCTTCCTGTTTTGGATATTTTTTAAATGTTGGTCCTCATTAGCTGTAGGGATACATGGGTCAACATCTTTTCTATTTCCCTACACATGCTAAGGTGGTGGTGGAGAAACAATAGGTTATGAGGATGCAAATTAGGCAACCAAGTCTTCAGTATCTCAAATAATTCTTATTTGAGTCTCTGTGTACTCTGTGTATATTTGAATACTCTGTGTACATGCGGCTCAGGCTTGGGTAAAAATATTACTGGGAATATGGGATAGGTGTTCATGATAATGACACGAGGTGTAAACTATGTGGTATGTTAAGGTCTCACACCCTGGCCCATTATGTTCTTGATTGTCCGTTGATTAATGTATATAGAAACACTGAGATAAGGACTGTTCCTGAACAAATAGCCTGGATGTGTCACAACGGAAAGGTTGATGATATTCTTGAGAGATATAAGAATTTTGCACCAAGACTGTAATATTTTGTTGAATTATCTGCATGTCTCTTGCAAATTGTCTATACAGTATACCTAGGTCATAAAAGTATTTGTGTGTACGTCTGATAACATACTACTTGTGAAGGAGGAAATGTATATGTTTATCTCTCAATGTTTGGTAATATGTTTATTGTTTGTGATGTGTGTATATGTATGTATTAATACGTTGTACTGAACGGGGTGAGAATAGCTTGAGCTACCTCATCCCTTTGTGTGTATTTTACCTCAATAAACTTATTTCAATTTCAACTACCACTGCATATTACAGTAATGTACCTATTTTGTGTCATGACACATGACAGCTTGAGAATACCTGTTTCCTATAGTGACAATAATATTGTCTTAATATTTCAGGCTCCCACTCTGCAGGTTCCTGTAGGAGTTCTGTCCCGCTTTTATGTTGTCTTGGGTCATGTGGCTCTGCGGCAGTTGATTCATCTTGATACTTTCATCTTTTCCGAATTAAAGCGAAGGAATTTCCTCCGGGAAGAAATGGAGACGGAAAAAAAGATTAAAAAGAAGAGAAAGAACAGAAGAAAGTCTCGTGCCACTTCTGCGAGTGAAGTGTCTAGGGTGGTATGTAACAGTTTTATGTTGTTTAAATGTAGTGGTGACCTAGTTTACTAAGATTATCAGAATGGTAACAATTTTGCTAATTAAAGCATTTAATAAACAGTACAATATATTATCAGAACTTCATCCTGGCAGCTGTGTCTATATCTGGTTAGATCCCAAGAAAGAGGAGAATGATTGGTTATTATTCCTTCGCTACATTTTCCTCTATTTAACCAGAAAGAAATTGGAGCTTGGAAGTAAAATGGTTGATGGATTGCTTGGTTAATTTTTCATGCTCAGGGCTTGAATTGTGTGGTCCACCTTGAGTGTCCCTCAGCCTTGCCAATGCTTATATTTACCTAAGTGTAGTTACAGGATGAGAGCTACGCTTGTGGTGTCACTTCTTCCCAGCACACTGTCATATAACATTCTGAAACTACTGACGGTTTTAGCCTCCACCACTTTCTCACTTAGCTGGTTCCAACCATCTACACTGTTTGCAAAAGAAAATTTTCTTATGTTTTTTTGGCACCTCTGTTTCCTTGGCTTGAATCTTTGTCCTCTTGTTTGTGATGTTCCTAGTTTCAGGAATTCCTCTGTCAATTTGTTTGATTCCTGTTAGTATTTTGTAAGTGGTGATCATATCACCTTTTTCTATCTTCTAGATTTGGCATTTTAACGCCACTAGTCTCTTCTCGTAACTCTTGTTCTTCAGTTCCAGGAGCCATTTTGTAACATGTCTTTGCACCTTTTCCTTTATTTATGTGCTTCTTGAGATTTTGGCACCATACAACTGCATATTCCAATTTTAGTCTCACAAAAGTCATGAACAGTTTCTTTAGTATTTCATCATCCATATACTGTAATTAAAAGAAAATCTGAAGATGGAAAACAATGCATGCGCTCCTTCACAATTTTCTTTGTGATCCTCTGGCAACAGCTTACCATCCAAAACCACCCCTAGGTCTTGTTCTTAGAGTTCTGTAATGCCTTTCCGCATAATTTGTAAGTTGTGTGTTGTCTATTTTTTCTGATTCAACATTCCATAACATGGCATTTATTCACATTGAATTCCATTTGTCACTTTATGTTCGAAGTACTTATTTTTTCTAGATTGATTTGAAGGGCATTACAGTCATTTGTGTTTCCTATCTTCCTATATGTAAATTCAGGTAAATTCCCCAGTATCTTAGCATCATCTGCAAACATGTTCATATAATTCTGTATTCCTGCTGGTAGATCGTTTATGTAGACGATGAACATTACTGATGCAAGAACTGAACCCTATGGCACTCCACTAGTAACACTCCTCCAGTCAGATACTGCCCTCCTCTGTCTGTCAGTTAGAACATTTTTCATCCATGTCAAAAGTCTCCATGTCACTCCTCCAACATGTTCCAGTTTCCAGAAAGCCTCTTGTGTGGGACTTTGTCAAAATCCTTTTTTTAGGTCCAGATAGACAGCCAACCCAACCACCACTTTCCTGTAGTATCTCTGTGGCTCTATCATATAAACTAAGTAGATTTGTTAACACAAGATCTTCCTGTTTGAAAACCATACTGTCTGTCCGTTATTATGTTATTACTCTCTAGGTGTTCAATTCATTTGGCTTTCACTATTGTTTCTAGTGTTTTGACTACCATGCTTGTTAGTGATGCATGTCTATAATTTAGAGGTTCCTCTTGACTACCATTTTTATAGATTGGTACTATGTTTGCCTTTTTCCATATATCTGCCAAGATCTGCTGTGCACAAGGATGTTTGGAATATTAATTGGAGTCATTTCACACATTTCTTTTTTGTTCTCAGTAGTCCTGTTCCCCATTCTCAATCTCTGGATTTTATCCTTTGAAGTTGTGTTGCACTTTCTGTGTTTGCTGCATAGTCCAGTCCAGTCTGCCCCAAGTTTAGCTTGCTGCAATCTGAGCCTCAAGTGTTCACTACTGTGACTCCCAGGTTAATGGTGATGGACCGCCATTTATCAAGGGATGGCCCTTCATCACCGGTAACTGGAGACAGACCTAGGTACATGTATTACTTTTTTCAGTTAGCCCAAGACTCCTAGGATACTGTTGAGGATTTGCAACTACAGTTTTGGGGAGAAATTCAAATCTCAGAACAAAATTCACCATTTAGTCCCAGATAATGGGTTTCCCATTGTACTTGGTACCTGGTCGAGGACCGGGCTCCGGGGACGTTGAGCCCCGAAATCATTGCAACGTAGTGCAGTTAGTGGATGATAGGTGACAGATTGATGGTAGAGCTGCAGTATAGCCTCAGTCAGTTGATGTTACAAGGTAGTGGGGATGGCTGAGGTGGTAGATCCAGCATGTACAAATATTATACCTAAGGTATAATAATGGGGGGGGGCCTGACAGCTGAGTGGACAGTGTTCGGGATTCATAGTCGTAAGGTTCCAGGTTCGATTCCCGGTGGAGACAGAAACAAATGGGCAGAGTTTCTTTCACCCTGATGCTCCTATTCACCTAGCAGTAAATAGGTACCTGGGAGTTAGCTGCTACGGGCTGCTTCCTGGGGGGGGGGGTGTGTAACAATAAGGAGGCCTGGTTGAGGACCGGGCCGCAGGAACGCTAAGCCCCGAAATCATCTCAAGGTAACCTCAAGATAGAAGGTCAAACCTAGTTTCTGAAAGAGTGCTTCTAGACACTTTCCTGTAACAAGAAGTACAGAGGTGAGAGACAACCTGTGCAATACAAGATGTGCAAATTAACCAATATCTAAATTGCAGAGGAACTGGACTTAACAGCTAAAGATGTTAGATGAGTACTAGGTATAGCAATGAGCTGGTATGTGCAAGTTTAAATGATCATAGACCCAAGGTCCTGAATAACTATTTGTATATCTTTTGGCAAATGCTGTTCCCATGTTGAAAGGTAGGTTATAACCTGATTCCACGATGTAACTAAAGCTGAAGTCATCTCCAAATCCTCCTTGAAATTCTAACCCGCAAAATTTAAGTAAAAAAAAAAAAAAATCGTAATGTTCATTTTATTTTGTTTTCAGGGTTCTCAGGAGGGAGACATAGATGAAGAAATGGGTCTTACAGGTGCTGTGGCTGATGACATGGAGGCAGAATATATCCGTTCAATATGTGAAACTGAGATCATCACTGGAGACAATCTTTTAGCTACACTCAGGTAATCATTTTATTTTTTATTTTATACATCATTATTGTCATAAGCCCAGTAGTAGAAATTATAAGTATGGAAGTGAGTTTCAAGTGTCAACAATGGACAATACAGTAAATGGTTGGGGATAAGGCTACATGGAATCAAGTGTGTTTAGGAGCAAATGTTTGACAGGTTTTAATTGATAATACAAGAGGAGCACTTCCATAAATACTGTAGTTGTGAGAATTTGTGGAGTGCTGCTGTGATTTGCTAGTGTGTGACAGTGTTGGGTGTGTGATGCAGCAGCATGTTGTCTCAAATATATGACAAGTGGATGAATTGTCTTTCTGGGTATGATTGATCTTTTCCTCTATTGCACCTTTAATTTTTTCCAGACGGGGAAGAAAGTGGGAAACAAATACTAATAGTGATGATAATGTATTTGGGAAAACACATTCTCCTTCACTAACTGGAATGTGCCAGATCTGAATGTGCTCTTTTTTTTTATCCTATAAATTTTGTTTCCATAATTCCTTTACTCCACCCAATAAATAAATTAATTAATATTTATCTACAGAAGCACCTTCAGACATAATGCATTAGTTGACTTTGTAGGGGTATTTGTATATGAGAGTAATACTGTAGTTAAATATCAAGATCAATAATTTTTAAAAAGGTTATATATTTTGAAAAACACTATGCTGGACAAAGCATTCATCTGTACATGTGATATATGAAACTACTCTTATGTACTATCATGTGCCAATTCTGGTTGTTTAACAATTTTGCAGGGACTTGTGATGAGTGTTTATTATTAACTTTTTAATTTAGTATGACTTTTTTCCCTTACAGACCAATGATATGGGCAGTGTGTTCAAATCCTGGTAAATATCCAGATCCTGAGTTACGAACAGCAGCAACTCTAGCTCTGGCTAAATTTATGATGGTTTCATCTGATATATGTGAAGAAAATTTGCAGGTAGATCACTACGTCGTTGGTGTTCTGTTATTTGCTTCCTAAACCATCACACCAATATGATCCACCCAGAAAACAAAGCACACCAGGCATTTACTATCACCATGATAGGTATCTTTGTTAATGGTTCAGTCATAGGGATCCACTATTGCCTGTGGGATTGGTATGAAGTCCAATACTGCCCACTATGAAAGTTAGGAATATGATGATGATATCTTTTGGTGACACGTTAAGTATTTAAAATTGCATCAGATATAGTGCATTTTACACATAGGAGTATATAATTTGTTTGAAGTTTTGGGAACTAATTATACTTTAAAATTTAAGTTGTTTAGTTTTTATTTTAGTTAATATCATAACTCTTCAACTAAATAACTTAAAATTGTGTGAGCATTTCATAGTGCCCTGTAAGGATAATTTTGTCCAATATCCGTATACAGTTGCTCTTCACTATCTTGGAGAAATCTGAAGAAGCTGTGATCCGTGCCAACATCGTGATTGCTTTAGGGGATCTATCATTCAGGTTCCCCAATCAGTTAGAACCATGGACCCCGCGCCTCTATGCCAGGTACCTTATATTTCATACAGTAGTATCCTTTAATTTCAGTTTTGATGATTGACTGTTTTAGTTGTAAATGTATAAACATATTGCATTTCTGGAGGATCCCCATGGTGGCTCCTAGCTATCCTAGAAATTGGCGTTTCATTACATTCAACACTGGGTGTTTTTCTTTTGACAGATTACGAGATGATTCTCCAAAGGTACGTCAGAATACTCTAACCATCCTTACCCACCTTGTGCTAAATGACATGGTTAAGGTGAAGGGCCTAATTTCTGACATTGCTCTCTGCATTAATGACAAGGATCCTCGCATATCAGGTAAGAAGAATTTTAGGAGGCAGTATGGATTTTGTGATCATATGTATTATATTATTAATATGTTATGAATTTTGTATTGTCATTGTAATGTACAGTGGAACCTCGGCTTACGAATTTGTAAAAATTAAAAAAAAATTCGGGTTATGAGCTCAATTTCTTCATAAAATTCTATTCGGTTTATGAGCTTTGCCTCGAGTTGTGAGTTTATTGATGCACGTATGAGTTGACCGAGCAAGTGGTTCCTGGTGGAACGGGTGGCTGAGTCTCAGTTTAACCACTGCACTGCGCCAAACGACAAATGCTGTTTTGAGAGTTATCCCTTTTTTTTTTTAATTACAGTAAGCTATATTTTAATGTTTTCATCACTCTTTGTGTTTTAAAATGAAAATAGTTGAGTTTAGAAACATTTTGACATTAACTTTACCTGAACTTTTATTAAAACAACAAAAATATGTCCTTAACAATTACACTTGTAACGTACGGTTATGTTACATTGTTGGGTTGATTAGATACACAGTGTTTAGTGAGTTTCATATTTATTTAGTAGTCCTGGATACAGCAGTGTCGTAGACGTTGAGACGAAGCCTGGAGCAGAGCAGAGAGCTGAGTGTGGCCGGAGTCATGGAACTCTATGTGGGAGAGCGTTGTAGCTGGATGAGGTCGTAGTCTGCTGCCTGCTCTGTGTCGAAGCTGTAGCATCTTGGGTCGATTAGAACTGCCTACACCGAGTACTACATTCTTGACTGGAGATTGTACTGGTTTGCTATTCTCAAATCGCTGGCTTATATACGGTTACTACACCTCACAGTAAGATAGGAGGGTGGAAAAACCGTTACCTGTAAATAGGGATAGGATTATAGCTTGTGTAATTAGTTATGCCATTAAGATGAGATAATGGAGCGAGTATAGGTTTACTCGTTACACACTATGAAGTTTTTGCCAAAAATAGGTGCGCAGCGCAGGGATTAACAGTGCCTCTCGCGTAGTGATGATTGCGCATGAATTCTTTGTAAAGAATTTAATTGTTTTTAGGTTTTTTCTGGGGGGAAGCCCCGTCGGCTCCTTGGAGCTATCCAGGCTGATATGGATATATTAGATTTCTGGCATCAGTCAATGTGCATGTAGTTCTAGGCCTACTTGGGACCATGAGCCAGAACCTGGCTCCCTCAGAGAGGCATGAGGAGCAATGGCCTATAGAAACCCCCCGTGTGGTTTCTATGTCTACCATCGACCGGGTCAGGCACCCAGAAAGGTAAGCATCCCAAAATAAACCCCTATTTTGGTGAAAACATTGCTACAAAGAGCCGATCGAGTGAACAGAACTCTCCAAATGAAAACCAGCAAACTAGCATGACATCACCAAGTTGTCACGCCGCTGTCTGCGCAGCACCGTCTTCCCCCCTACCAGAGAAGGGGAAGGGGGGGGAGCCTCAGACCTTCCCACCAGCTACCCACCCTTCAGTGCCTGGCTGATGTGACACTGGCAAGGTCGTGTGCCTCTGGCTTCAGCAATTGTTTCAGTTCTGTGCCTTGTAGTGTGGTGCTGTCTCTACGGTTGGTGTGCGAGCCAGGAGTAATTTGTTGACCAGACCACACACTTGAAGGTGAAGGGACGACAATGCTTCAGTCCGTCCTGGACCATTCTCAAGTCGATAGTGATGAGGGAAGGAGATGAGTGCAATAAATAGGCAAGAGAGAGGTGAGGAGCAAGGTGAAAGGTACGAAAGGTAAGGTGTAGAAGAGGGAATAGTAGTAGGAATAAGAATTGCAGAAGGCCCCTTTGGCCCATACGAGACAGCTCATATTTATAACCCCCCAATGAGAAGGGGATAGTAATAGGAATAAGAAGAGGATAGCAAGGGAACATAAGTTCCCTTGCTATCCTCTTCTTATTCCTATTACTATCCCCTTCTCAAATTTTTAAATCCCCTTCGTAAATTTTTGGGGGAGTGTATTTTCTTTGCCATTGTTTTGGCAAAGACTTTGTCTTTGCCAAGACTTTGTCTTGTTGTCTTGTTTTATTTTATTAATAACATTTAATGAATCTACAGGTCTTGCAAATCTCTTCTTTAATGAACTTGCAAGAAAGGGCAATGCTCTGTATAATGTGTTGCCCGATATTATGTCTCGTCTCTCTGATGCGGAACTTGGAATTGAAGAGCAGCACTTCAGGACAATAGTTGGGTAAGATCTAAATCCTTTTCTGACATTCTTATTCTTAAAATTATCTTACTACAGATCAAAAAATGCTTTCCCTCTTAAAATTCAACAATGAATATTGCATTAAGAGGATTCTAATATGTTTATCTGATCAGAAACCAGTTATATACATTTGTGAGGAAATGGAATAGCTTAATACAATGCCGTAGTGCTTGAATGAAGGTGAAGGAAAACCCAATTTATGTTTAACAGTATTAAAAACCAAATTTTTGGATGTAACCTTCGTCCTTTCTCAAGGTACTGTACTCGCCTAATTGTGCTTGCGGGGGTTGAGCTTTGGCTCTTTGGTCCCACCTCTCGACCATCAATCAACAGGTGTACAGGTTCCTGAACCTACTGTGCTCTATCATATCTCCACTTGAAACTGTGTATGGAGTCAGCCTTCACCACATCACTTCCTAATACATTCCATTTGTCAACCACTCTGACACTAAAAAAGTTCTTTCTAATATGTCTGTGCCTCATTTGGGCACTCAGTTTCTACCTGTGTCCCCTAGTGCGTGTGCCCCTTGTGTTAAATAGCCTGTCTATCTACCCTATCAATTCCCTTGAGAATCTTGTATGTGGTGATCATGTCCCCCCTAACTCTTCTGTCTTCCAGCGAAGTGAGGTTTAATGCCCGTAGTCTATCCTCATAGCTCATACCTCTCAGCTTGGGTACTAGTCTGGTGGCAAACCTTTGAACCTTTTCCTTTAGTCTTATCCTTGACTAGATCAGGGGCCAGATTCACGAAAGCACTTACGCAAGCACTTACGAACGTGTACATCTTTCCACAATCTTTGACGACTTTGGTTACATTTACTAAATTGTTTATGAGCATGAAAACTTCCCATTCAACTGTTGTTATTGTTATAAACAGCCTCCTGATGCTTCGGAGCTCATTAACTGTTTAATAATTGGAAACAGAGCCACCAAAGATTGAGAAAAGATGTACAGGTTCGTAAGTGTTTGCATAAGTGCTTTCGTGAATCTGGCCCATGGACTCCATGCTGGGGCTGCATACTCCACGATTGTATACAATGTTGTGAATTTCAGTTAATATATGATGCTTTGCAAATTACATTTACTGTATTTATTTAATGCATTAGAGTCTACATGGCTTCTCATAATGGTGACTCATTTACACAAAATCTTTCTGTGGGGAGCCTAATGTGGTCCGCCCTGGACCACATTAGCAAACGAACTGGAGTGCTGGGTAGCCGGCGTGGGGAGGTCTGAGGCTTCCCCTTCCTCATCCTCTCAGGAAGGGGAAGGCTGCGCAGACGAGCGGAGCGGCAGTGGCGTGTGACGTTTACTAGTTTCCTTGGGATTGTAGACCGTTCTGCCTCTCTGTTTAGTTTTTCTTTGTACTTTTCTTACCAAGTGGGGTTTGTTTGTTATGTCTATCTTTCTGGGTGCCTAATCCTGGTCGATGGTAGATAAGGAAACCCCCAGGTACACTGGGGGTTTTTCCAGGGCCCATTGCTCCCTGCAAACTCTCTGAGGGGGGACCAGGTTCTGGCTCGTGGTCCCCGGTAGGTCGAACTCTATAAACTAATGCCTGGTCTAATACATCACACATTTGCCCAAGAGCTCCAGGAAGCCTCAGGGGCTCACCCAGAAAAGGGCATTTACATTCAGTGCTGGTTTTATACTAGCTTCCATACTTCCACAAAAAATTACTTCTACTGAGAAAATGAGTCATGGCAGTTGCTGTAGAAGAGAGAATCAACTGAACAGTGCAAGTCAGGTGAAATCCTCAGACTTAACTGCTTTCCTCTGAGTTATATGAACTTAAATGTTTTGGTAGAGTGAGAGCTACTGCAGATATTCTTTCTAACCCCATACATACATTGATTGTCCATACTGGTACCGTACTTTTACTCCTGTAAAAGTACGTTAACTTCTGTTCTTCCTGTAGTTATCCAACATTTCCAAGTGATTGCCTCCTCACCCTATAACAGTAAGAGATGGGATAATGGGAAAGAGTTAATACAGCATCAGTTATTTTTGTTTCAGACACATATTTTCTTTGATTCAAAAAGACAAGCAACAGGAAAATTTGGTTGAGAAATTGTGTCACCGATTCCAAGCTACCATCAATACACGACAGTGGAGGGATATTGCCTATTGTCTTTCACTCCTTCAGTTCAAGTAAGTTACTAAATTGTCAGTATTATTTAATATAATATTTTAAGGGGTGTTCATTTAGATACCCCAGGTAGGGATTTATACCTTATACTGTACTATTATTATTGTTTCCATGTGGTATCTGAATTCTTTTGTGTATACATTTGAACAAATGCCAGGGAATCTCATACTGCCACCGCAAGTAAACTAGCCATGCACTCCTTATATAAATTGTGATAAATATGCGTCAAAATCTCCAGACATGTAAAGCAGAGGAGGTAAAACCAGCAAACTACATCATTGTGCCAATCTGCTGAAAGTGTTGGAGCCGAGGATAAATGCCTGTATTAAAAGCCTTGAGATCAGGGAATATGTAAGAGGGAAGGCACCGGTTCTATACCGATGTGAAGAGATCCACCTAGGGCTGCCAAGTGTCTCACAAATCCAACGGAAGGATGGGTTGTTGACGATCCACTCCGTAGAAATGGGACAGAAACGAGATAACCCATCCACAAGAATTTTACCCCCCCCCCTCCCCTCCCCCCCCCCCATTTATGAACCATGTGGAGAACCAAACCCCGAGAAACTAGAAGCCGAACTACTTGATGCATCCAGCTCCATAGGACAGTGGTCCAAAACAAACCCCCCCTTGGTTCAGACAGTGAACAACCAAGGAGCAGCTGTTGTGGAGACCCAGCCCAGAGGGAGTTGAATCTTCCTCAGGGTATGCCACACAGCTGCAAACTTGCACAACATACTGTACACCCAAAGGAACAGGCCTAAACTTTAATCTAACAAACCAGTAGATATGTAGGAAGGTTTAACTTGGTGTAATTTGATGTGTCTGGAGGCTGGTGTAAAAATTACATATTGTCAGTCTCCAAACAGTAAAAAATAACTCGCCAACTCACTTGTGACACACACCAAATAAGACAAAAAATACAATGCTGCATTGTATATAAAAAAGAGCTTAATGCTCACTTTTCCCATGATATTATATATGACACTGAGCATTGTGATGTCAGATGTCAGTATCCAGACATGGTCAATCTGCCATGGCTGTTTGTTCGTGTCCTTGGGAAGAGTGGGATGTTGTTTAAGGGATCATCTGAATAGCTTGCTTAGAAAGAAATTTTTCTTAACACTGAAGTGTTTATATCTTTCTTTCGTTTTTTGCTTTCTAACTACAGAATCTATTCCTTTATCACCACTTTCACTTGCATGTTTCTATTAAACCAAGCACATCTTTCTGGAGGGGCCAAACGGTGGCACTCGCTGAGATAGCTCCGCACAGATAAGTCTCATCCGCCTTAGGAGTCCTGAACACTGGATCCTAGAGCCAGAGCCTGGCACCCTCACAAGGAGCAGGGGATTGGTATGATCACTAAAAAAAAAAATCCAGAAAGTAAGTGAACTAATACAGGCAGCTGTAAGAGTCGCAGAGAAAATAACTGGAGCAGCAAATGGGTCTACAACAATTCACCCAGCTTCTAGATTGAACCACCCCTAATTATGGCTGGCCACCAATGGGTGGCAGCACCACTGGGAGCTCTTGGCTGCCAAAACAAAAAATGAATATATATATATATATATATTATTGTGATAGGTATAATGAGACAAGGTTTATATAATATTTGATGGTAGAACACTCAGTTTATTAAATGTTTGTGAATTTCTTTACAGTGAAAAAAGTACAAGGAAGCTCAGTGAAAACTTCAGCTGCTATTCTGACAAAATGCACGAGCCTGAGGTGTATGATTTCTTCTTGGGGATTTTGGCAAATGCTCAGAAGACAGCAAAACCCGAGTCCAAGGCATTAATTGAAGAATTGGAGGGGCGTATACAGGAGAGCCATGACAAAGGGGTGGAAGATGAAAATGTAATCAATAAAGCTGCTAGTGCCAAATCAAAATTCAAAAAACCACGTTACCCTGGTAAATATTTCTTTACTTGTGAAATGTGTTTATGTATATATAAGATATACAATATGTATTTTAGGTTCTGAAAAGTTGATTCTCTCCAGCACTTTCCTAATTTTATTTCTTAAATATGGATGGTCAGCAATTTATATGGTATTTGAATAGATGCACTTGGAGTTAAGCAAGTTAATACTTTGTATAAAAGTTTTACAGTTAAAGGGGGGGGGGGCATCACTTTTGGAACTACGAAGGTTGAGAGCTAATTAGTGTAGATACATAATCCACACTAATCCTCAAGGCTACTTTGTTTGTTGTGCTTTTATATGCCATACACTTTGGCCTTTTATGATATTTTTGTAATTATATTTGTGCATTATTGCACATCTCAAACATTATAAACCACAAATATGCTGAAAATAAATAAATAAATATATATATATATATATATATATATATATATATATATGTCGTACCTAATAGCCAGAACGCACTTCTATGCCTACTATTCAAGGCCCGATTTGCCTAATAAGCCAAGTTTTCATGAATTAATTATTTTTCGACTACCTAACCTACCTAACCTAACCAAACCTAACTTTTTCGGCTACCTAACCTAACCTAACCTATAAAGATAGGTTAGGTTAGGTTAGGTAGGGTTGGTTAGGTTCGGTCATATATCTACGTTAATTTTAACTCCAATAAAAAAAATTACCTCTTACATAATGAAATGTTTTGCTTTATCATTTCATAAGAAAAAAATAGAGAAAATATATTAATTCATGATATTGGCTTATTATAAATCGGGCCTTGCATTATAGGCGGAAAAGTGAGTTCTGGCTACTAGGTACGACATATATATATATATATATATATATATATATATACACTATATATATATATAATGTTGTACCTAGTAGCCAGAACGCACTTCTCAGCCTACTATGCAAGGCCCGATTTGCCTAATAAGCCAAGTTTTCCTGAATTAATATATTTTCTCTAATTTTTTTTATGAAATGATAAAGCTACCCATTTCATTATGTACGAGGTCAATTTTTTTTTATTGGAGTTAAAATTAACGTAGATATATGACCAAACCTAACCAACCCTACCTAACCTAACCTAACCGATCTTTATAGGTTAGGTTAGGTTAGGTAGCCGAAAAAGTTAGGTTTGGTTAGGTTAGGTAGGTTAGGTAGTCGAAAAACAATTAATTCATGAAAACTTGGCTATAATAATAGCTGAATAAACAGTAATTATGTCATAAATACTGTACCATCCTTGTACCAAAAATGGTCCTCATAGCTTTCTATCTTAATTCAAGAACTAGAATTGTTACCAACCTCCATACTTTTCTAAGCTCCTGTTTAAGAGCAAGGCATCCTTAGGCATTTCCCTGAGTTAGGGCCAGAGTCCATTAAGTATGGCATATCCACCAGTGTATTGTCGACCAGATCCCTATGGTAACAGATAACTTTCCAAAAGGTTTGGTCATATTATTGGGAATAAGGGGAGATAAATTCAGTCCACGACCAATGAGATTATCCACTATGATGATAAAAGGGCAAAATCATAACTATTACCCCTTTCAAGAGAGAAATGTAATCATAGGGGCATCAAGGTATCCCAGTGCAAGCAACCAGTTAATTAACTATTTACTATTTCGAGACCTCCCTCTTAGGGTCTTGTGAGATGTTCGACTGCCTGCTGGTGAACCTATTTACGTCTGGGTTGAATCTAACTTTGTCTACAAGATGCCAATTTTTAGATCATGAGGGTTTTTGCCTTGTACACACATCACCTACACTGTGGTTGGTGGTCTTACTATTACTTTTTCCTTCTGCACTCTCCTCTTTGGGTTTCAGGCATTGTCAATTTTGTAGTCTCCTCACTTTTGGGTTTCTCGCTCAATTGAGGATTTTATTTTCTGATGGATTGTTTGATCCTGCCATTGTTTCCAGCCATGGAGAGTTTCATGCTCTTCTCTTTTAGTATGGTTGCTATTCCTTTGGGCCTGATCTTCATTTTCTACACCTCAAACCACCTTTTTTTGTTTTTTAGCTAAGAATGAGAAGTCTGCCTTCCACATGGGTGTTTTAGTCATTTACACCTGGTTTTGTCTGCCCAAGGTGCACCATGCACTTTGTCCTGTGGCCACATTATTTGCATGCAACTCAATGCTATGCAAGTCAGTGCATTGTGAACCCAGTCTCTTACATTGCTCCAAGTCATCAGGAAGGTGGTTTAGCTTTGCCAGTTGGCAGATTATCCTCGCCTTCACAATATGTGGGATAATGAAATGTGCTATTCTGGTGGACTGTTTAGTAGTTTACCAACCTCGCTTTGTTTCCTTTTTTCCATGGGTAGGTCGAACTGCTCAGGCAGCTCATGAATGAGGTCTCGCCTGATGAGGACTCTCGTATGACCTGGCCTGCCAACTAGTAACAGTTGGATACATCATGGCTGGATGTGTACTCTGTGGCAACAATCGTTTTGCCCTGTTTTCCCTGGTTCCTAATTTCATGCATGCTGTTGCCTGTTTTGATGCACTTATACTTTCTGATGGTTTTTTGTTGGGTTTTGGGTTTATCACTGATCCCCAAGATACCCATACTTCATAGAGAGTTAAATTCCGGTCCTGGCTCCTGGTAGACGCGAGAGGTCTTATGCAATTACTGAGCGGCACACTCAAAAAAAGGCATTTCAAATCATTTAATTACATTAACCCTTAAACTGCGCATGGCATACATATATGACGTAGGGTGCCGGCCACAATTCAAATGGCCCGCGGCTACACAGGGTTCACATCAGCTTCCTCAGGGCTTTTGTCAACAGACGCCACGTTTAAAAAAAATCGTGGCCAATGTTCTCGGGTGTGACAGCCACAGTACTGTGTGGGCAACCAAGGCTAGCGCATGCAGGAGCTAACAGCACTGTTGTTTAGCTTGTGACCACAGCATTGCCTGAAAATGTCAAAATAAATATGTAACTGCTATTATTTAGCAATGATTATTACAGGAAACCCCTGACTGTGATAAAAATTACCAGGATTGTGATACAGTAATAGCAGAATTCTTGTGATAATTAGCGCTGTGTGGGAGGAGTAATGCTGAGGTAGGTAGCGTTGTCTGCTGAATCTGTGTGGCCACGTGTTGTCTGTACTCACCATAGCAGCTAGGTGGTTCGCTATGGTGAACACAAATGTAGATTCTTATATATAATGTGTGTATTAGTGTAATTAAAACAAAAGGAGTAAGTTGGGAGGAGCCACTTGGGTGACAGGTGGCATCTTCTGCATGACTTGCCATGCTGCATAGAGGGTGGCCACTATGCTCTTTGGGCACCATAAAAGCTTAGTTGTACAGTTATGTACTTAGTTGTACAGTTGTACAGTTATCAAAATATGTCTAGTTATTTAACATTTAAAAACCAAAAAGATATATCTTTTCTTTCCCAGCACAATCAGCAAAAATTAGAAGAAAACCAAAGGAAAGTTCAAGTGAAGAGGAAGAGGAAGATGTTCGGAATCAGTTACACCCTGCTCATAGAAACAACAAAGGTGAGAGGTGCTCAAGTTGATGTATATAGGGACAAACATACTTTCATTCAATCTATTTTTTTCCCTCCCTCCTTACTGATGCTGCTAATGAAACTGTAAGCTAAGAGCTGTTACCCTACAGCATCTCATCTGAAGTCTCATATATTTAATGACATTACTGTATTAGTTTTTGTTAGGATAAACTTTAGTAGGCTGTGTGTATCTTTCCCTTATCTTTTATATATTGTGTTAGGAAAGTCCTTTCCATAATTATTTTTGCCATGTGTTTATTTCCACCATTTTTTTTATTTTTACCAGGATCACTAATTTTGCTCTCATTCTGCTGTTGTTGCTTCTCTCTTTAGTTCATCTATACATGCTTTTTTAATGTCTTCATATACTTTTCTGAATCATCTTTTGTTTGCTGGTGCTATATATTACACAGCCACTATAGTTGTCTCATCTTGTATCAAGAGTTCAAAGGTTGCTTCAGAGGGGTTGCTTCATTTGGAATTAATTACCTTCTAAAATACCTAAATAAAAATTCTATTTGTTTAGCTTTGTGTATAGAAGTGCTAGAAATTCTCTTTAATTTGTGTTTGTTCTACATGGAAAAACACAGCTAGATAAGCATAATTGATTTGGTAGTGCATCAGACAGATTTAAAAACATGTTTTCTTCTTTCTTGATTCTACTTTTACTGCAAACACTTCCAACTCTTTAGTATGGCCCACGTGTTCCACTTGAGCCAAAATATCTATATACAGTATAGATTTTGGACACTATGGAATGCCTCTAATTTTTCACATAAATAGTAACCATAGGCTCAGTTCAGTGTTTATGAGGTCTATATGTGGTTTTTTTCTGCAAATACAAAAAATCTACTAACCTACCAACACCTTTCATCCTAACAAAATATTTTATACTGAGCATTAGTACAACTCTTATATGCATGATGACAAAGCATTTTGCTTATAATCAACAAATGCTAAAATAAATACAAGAAGAGAGCAAGCAGGCTGTGAGACTGGTTGTGTGATCACTGAGGCAGTAGGAATACCTCTACAAGTGTGTCTTGTGGCAAAAAACAATTCTCTTGCAACTAGTTCCCACCACAAAATAAACAGACTTGTTTATTTTGTTTCAAATTTAAATCACACTGCTGTGTTCAGCATCCTTGAGTTCATTATACTGACTTTTAGGCATTATAATCCTTAAAAGTTTGGGAATACAGTGGTACTGTACCTTTGTTTATGATTCTAATCCGTTTCCAGAGAAGCGTTGTACACCAAAAAATTGTAAACCAAAGCTAATTTTCCCATTAGAAATAATGTAAATTGAATTAATCCAATCCACACACCAAAAAATATTAACTTAAAAACATATTTTATACCAAATACTACTCATATTTTGTACTACAGTATATCTTACCCTTATTGAGGACTCTTGTTGGCATGTGGTAGATGGTGAGAGGGGGGGGGGGGGTGGTGAGGAGAGGTGTTAGTGTTTGGAAGGGGAGTCCCCCTTCCATTATAACATCAGGCAGTGATGACATTTCTGAGGTTCTCTCTCTCTCTCTCTCCTACATTTTGCAGGCATACCACTAGAACCTAGTTGTGGCTCACTGCTTGCTTGTCTAAGAATCTTTTATGTTCAGAAACCAAAAAAGCAGATAAACAATGAAATTCTTTGCTAAGAGTTCAAGCATGGTCGTCACTAAGTGGGATCGCTGGTAAACTGAGTGCCTCGCCCGCGTCCAGCCGCACCACATGGTTGCTCGACCCAAACATTTATTAACAGACAAATCGTGTTCCAAAGCAAACGTCGTACACCAATTCAAATTTTACAATGAATTTGACATTGTATACCCAAAAAATTGTAATCTAGGGCAGTCGTAAACCAAGATACCACTGTATTTTATTTTTGTTATTCCCCCTAATCGTTTATAAAATGCCATCTTAATTAATAATGTATTACTGTCACTAAAATTTTGAATCATGTATTGAGTATGCCACACCATATCACATGTTCCTGCAGTGATTTGTTTACATTTTGTATATGAATACAGTACAGTATACCGATATGTCAGTATATTTTTTTGTAATGTTTTAATTTCCCAATTTACAACAGAAAACAATGTGAGGAGGTCAGTGAGGCAGTCAACAAATACTTTTACTTCAAAACATCAGAAGAAAATTGTTGATGAGGATTCAGATGATGATAATTTAAAAGGCTCCAGCAGCAGCGGTTCTGATGAAATGGAGCGGCCTCGGAAATCTGTCAGAAATGTTACACCCCAGCCTTTAGCTGAAAATCATTTTCGTCCCAAAAGATTAAATAGGCGAAAATAAGAAATTATTGTACTGTCAATGTAATGGTTATTATTATTAGCAAAATGTATATACAGTATATAACATGAAAGCATTGGCTGTTTGTGTGAAATATAATACTGAATATAATTATATAGTTTGTACTGAATATAATATATAGTCTCAATTATTCAGATAAATTGAGACGAGCAATGTATTGACCTGGGTGCAACAAATGAGCAATTATCTGAGGGTTGGGAGGAATGATTCGGACCATTCAAATGATGATGATTGAGGATGAGACATTTCCATTGGCCAACATAAATGAGTTTACTCAAGAGATGTAACAAGTACAACTAGGTGAGTACAGGAGAGCTCAAGTTCTTCTCATTAACAACTATAGACAATGTGACATTTATTTCTGCAGTTTGATCAACTGACCCTGAATTGATGGCATGTAGTTAGAAACACACCTATTTACAAAGTACTGGAGGAGGAAGTGAAGACAAATATTACCATATCATAAATGATAAATGGTTTATTAATGAAGTATATTCTGTAGTAAACAAAGATGAAGACTACTGTGTGTGTTACTAGAGGAATTACTTTGTTTTGATGTCTTACCATAACTGTCTTTCTTCAAAGAATTGTAATTTTGTGTATGTAAGTAAGATGCATTTATTTACATGTATACAGTATTTTTATAAACATTGATATATTTTCCATTAAACATATTTGGTGGTATTAAGTATGCACTCTCTTGACAAATCTTTGGTTTCCTCACTGTACATAAATTAGCTTATAAAATTGTTGACTAAAACTATGTTTGCTTCAATTATTTTTAATTATCAATCCCATTTTTTTATGATTTTTGTAGTACAGTACATATGATTTTCAGAATTATGTCAGTTTTAGGCGTTTACCCTTGTAGACCATAGGGCCACACAGCCAGGCTGATCTAGTAACTCCAGCAGAAACCTTGTCAAGTTTTCCTTGAAAATGTTTGTTTGTTCTTGTATGTATATTTGTTGGCAGGAGATTGAAACAATGTGGGGGCAATATCTAGAATGAACAAAAATATGTAACACAATTTTTAACAAAGTGTCATAGCTCTAGATAAGGAATTGGTAGCCTTCAATAACCTTCGAGATATCTCTATACTGTGTCTGATACACTGTTCTCTAATCGTACTCGTGGTGCTGTGACTTTTCATTGGATTAAGTTCACACTTCCTGCCATTACTTTTACTCTAGTTGTAATTTCATTCTATAAGTTTGGTACCTAACACTCCAGTATTTTATGTAAATATTATGATATGCGGTATATACATCTATTGAAGGATTACAATTTGAGTGTTTTCATGTAGTCCCAGTAGTTCAAGTACTCCAACAGTTCTTTGCAGGCAGTCAAGGATCTGTACATTGGTGTGGTATATCTTGCTTTGAATGTTCTCATTAACCACCAAATCATTTTCCTGGCTTTTATTTTTATAAGTTTATTTTCTTGTGCTGGCTAAACATTAGGTTTTCTGACATAATTATTCCCAGATCTGTAACTCCTTTTAAGTTGTTTTTTTTCACTGAACTAATTGGAGTTTTATTACAGTTGAAGATTATAATACTGTACTTTCTTTTACCCAGTTGAGACTTTTGATATCTTATTGTAGTTACTAGGCCCCCCCCCCCCCAAGTGGCTCCCTGAAACTATTTTGCCAAGATTGCACCATTTAATAGGTCACATCATTCACGGGAGTTCTGTTAGGCATATTGGGGACCAGAACCTGGCCCATGCAGAGTGACACTTCTCCACTGCACCAGGAAAGCATCCAGAAAGTCAGAGAAGCTTTACAGAAACTGGAGGTTTCACAGAAAACAAAACTTCAAAACTACCAAACAACTATAGTGGTACCTTGGAATACGAGCGTCCCTGTTTGAGTTTTTCGGATTACAGGCAGGATTTCCTCAGAAAATCCACATTTAACTTAAAGGTGTATGGCAATAACTAATTCTTTAACCATTAAACTGCTCAGCATAAGGGGGTATAATTTGAAAAATATTTGGATTATGTCAAAATTACTTAAAAATGTTAAACAAATCTCTAGCTTATTAGCTTCAGCGTCGTGAAACTTTCATAAAAATATTTTCAGAAATTTATTTTAGATGAATATTTAAAAAAATGTTTTGTTGATAAGGAGAACAGCGCCTATTAACTGAAACCGATGGATAATGCAATAATAGAGAGATGCAAGCACCTGTCCGACACACAAAGCAGAATAATGGTAAGAAGTGTCCACAAAGTGGATATACAGCTGGTGCCTTTATAGCATTGGTGAGTAATACATACTCATTATTTGTATTATGTTGTTATGCTCTATTTTGTTATAATAACATTGGGCAATGTATTTACGTGATATATAAGTTACTTTCAACAAATTCCATTTTTATTTTATTTTTTTATAGTTTTTCCTTTGTTTATTATTTGAATTTGTTGTAACATACATCCTGGAGAATGCATACCCTTACCTATGTGAAGACAGAATTAAATTGGTCAACTCAAAACTTGGGACCGACTTTTTTTTTTGGGGGTGGGGGGGGGCTGATTTTTTTCAGATTTCAAACTATTTTCCTTGTTTCTTTACATTGTTTTGATTAGAGACCAGAGTAAGACTTTTTTACTTATATAAAGTACCAACCCGTCCTCTTCAAATGTCGCTTTTCACTTATGCGCACTATGGCCAAAAATGGACGTATGGAATTTTAAATGAAATCGGCTCACGAAAGTGATGTACCTTCCTGTTTCCTCTGGCTTACTCGGAAAGGTTAGGAGAGGAACAAATCCACAAGGGATTTGTGGATTTGTTCATTTGATGCATCACACTATTGTGACTTATGTGTGTAGTGTTAGAGGAAACTTTCAAATAACATTTTGAAACTTAAGGGTCATCTAGATAGGCAGCCAGGAAATTTTCCTTAACTTACTGTTTTGGGGGAAAAAATCCAAAATTTATTTTCAATTTCATTTTGAAATTACGTCAGTTATCAGCCATACGGGTAAACGGCCAAAAGCGACGTAATTTTTAAGAGGACAGGTTGAAAGTACTGTACACCCTAAATACTGTATATTCCCTAAATCATCATTATTATCCCTATATTTTGTTTTTAGGGGGGGTTATATTTTCTTGACTTCATTTCAACAGTGACCTACAACTTTCACACATTTGAGTATGAATTCCAAACAATGTTTATTACAACATACAAGTAAATTCATGAATTAGAACTGCCTTATAATTGAAGTTATCGACAATGAATATCTACAGTAACTAGAATTTCAACTTGCTTCAGTGTCCCCGGGCTGCGGGGACACTAAGCCCCGGAAGCACCTCAAGGTAGCCTCAAGGTATCCAAAAATCTAGTTCGACCGATTTGCACCATTTTTAGTGTGCACAGCTGTCTGCTCTACAGTCCCTATAGAATTGTTTTAAATTTGTGTACATTTCAAATGCCATACTAATAAACTACAGTATACTGAAAATTTATATTCTAAATATGAAAATGATCATATGCTATTCTGAGAGCATAACAATAAATGAACAGCGGGTGCTTTTATATTTTTGCAGATTTCAAAATCTGACTTTTTCAATATTCAATTTTATAATTATTTTCTATTTTAAACAAAGTTGGAGCATTTGCCTAGTAGATTATGCACAAAACACTTAAGTTTCAGAAAATTTTAAAAACTGAGCTCAAACATATGACATTTTGTGCAGTGTAAGGGTTAATCCATCATATACCCAATATAAAAAATGTATACTTTAGGTTAATTGAAGAGGATTTTTTGTACATTTTTATTATAGTATATACCACAAATGAGGATAAAATATAAACCTTACTCCTACTATTCACAAGCCTTATTACAATACTGTATATAAATATACAAGTTTTCCCAGGTACTTAAGTGCTACTGGTGCTCAGTATGCTAAAATAATGAAGGAAACAATTCATTAAATGAGTCAATATCAAAGTCCATACTATGGTCTTCAAATTCATCAGACTGTAAGGATTGAGGTGATAGGACATCAAAAGATTCTAAAGATTGTGGTGATGTAATAGATTCATAGCCAGACTCTGACCCTAAGAGAGATTCTGGGCTAGAACTAGTCAATTTATCCTGAAGAAAATCTAAAATCTGCTCCTTACTAATTGGTGAAGGTGCTCTGGTAGAATGAGACTGTGTTCTTGGGCAAGTTTCATTGCCTTTTGTAACTGAAATACTGGCAATTTTTTCAAAATCTAGAAAGTCTTTCAAAACTTCTGAATTGGTTATATCTTCAGTTGGACTTGCCAGTTCATCAATTGACATTGTGACACCATTTGTTGATACACACTCAATGCTTTGAGCAGGAACTTCATTTAATGCACTAGTTAACTGAGCAATAAGGTCTTCTTCAGCAGGAGTAAGTCTTGTATTTAGGTCCTCTTTTGCTTCATATCCCTTAGTATAGTCATGGTCTGCTAGGTCCCTGTTGGATTCCACATCTGTTGTTGTGGTCCCCACCATTTGAGACCAGTTAGTCTTTTCTTCACTGGCAGCAATTGTGCGGGTTGTGTGCCTTGAGGTGACTTTTGACTGCCCTTTGAAGAACTGACTATCACAGTGTCCATCAGACTCAAGGCTGCTGTAGTTATCCACTGTGAACAAAGTGCCGAGAGAACCATGATCCTCATTACTGCCAATGCTCCGACTGCCCGCTGCAGGGGTAAGGATACGGCTGATCCAACAATTGGGGCATTGACAGGGATCACGACTCCCTCCGATACACTTGTATTTTGTGGTTCACTGACAGTTTGGCAATAAACAGCATCACTATCAATTTTCTGTTCACAAGTACATTTTGATAACTTCTCTTGTAAAGCTTCATTTTCTTCAGCAAGTTGTGAATTTTGTTCTGTTAGTATTGAATTTAGACTTGTTAATTCAGAAATATGATCTGACATCTCTGCTAGTTGTGCTTCCAATTGATCCATGCGCATTTTCTTCCTGTCACGTGCAGTCTGTGCAGCAACTCTATTCTTCAGTTTCCTGGAATAAAACACTATGTTTAGACAATTTGAGAGAACTCATCAGTTTTATCAAATTTGTAGTCCATAAGTTAATGTAACTTTCTTAATTTTTTTTTAAATTTTAAAGTAATTTCATAAATGCCATCAGTAGACAGTGCACTGCCAACCAAATTTTCAAGATGGTGGATTTATATACAGTATAAAATTTAAATAGTGCCTGGGTAATAAAATTAAACAGAACAGCTATAGCTAAGTAATTATTAAAAGATACCAATCATCTTAATCAAAATATTTACTTCCTAGGCATTATTTAGGATGCCAATATGAGCAAAAGATAATGTCAAAAGTATTGGATCAAGGTCAGATTTACCAGTGATTTTATTGAAGGTTTTTAATCCTTAATATCAGACTTATTCGCAGGCGATGAGTCACAATAACGTGGCTGAAGTATGTTGACCAGACCACACTAGAAGTTGAAGGGACGACGACGTTTCGGTTCGTCCTGGACCATTCTCAAGTCGATTGAGAGTTGTATGGTGCCACAATCGACTTGAGAATGGTCCAGGACGGACCGAAACGTCATCGTCCCTTCAACTTCTAGTGTGTGATCTGGTCAACATCAGACTTATGAGTTGCTACATAGTGCAAAGCAATTCTGACTCCTACAGTGGGCCCCCACCATACACCTGCATCTCATTTAGCCCTTACCACACTACTAATACCCCCTCCCTATCAACCTCTACCAGACTTGACAGTTCCACATAAAGGTTGTTCTGGAAACAAATATACTTGAGGGGTGACAAAAAACTGATATGGATAAAATCGTGACAAAAACAAGGGCAATAATCAGAGGCACCAATTCATCTTGTCAGGTGAGCCAGTTCATATATACATGTTAGGCTTGTATTTAGATACCCTATTGTCAAATTTCTGACCCTCCCTAGGATACAACCCCACAAATAGCTAACTCCTGGGTACCTAGTTACTGCAAGATGAACAAGGGCATTTTGTGACAGGAAATGCACCCAACCATTTGTCCTGCCCAGTATTCGAACTTTGAATTCTTTAGAAGTCAAGAATGAACCCAACTGTACTATCTGGGATTGGAGAAATGTCACAAGTTGAATACCACTGGATTCAGTTCTAGCACCAGTAATAATCATTATTTGAACGATCTCCTAGAGGGAACAATTATATGAAGACGTTTGCCGATGCCAAACTACTATGCAAGATAAACCGACATCTGTCATGCCCTTTAAGATGAATTGGAAAATTTAAGTGTACAGTAGTAAATGGAATTTAATTTTTATAAATGCCACGTTATGGAATGTGGAGTAGAAAATAGGCACCACACCACCACAAAGTTTTCCTTTACAAAGAGATCTTCAAGAGGAAACTAGATTGTTTCCTCCAAGGAGTGCCATACCAACTGGGCTGTGGTGGGTATGTGGGCCTGCAGGCCACTGCAAGCAACAGCCTAGTGGACCAAACTCAAGTCAAGGCTGGCCTCAGGCTGGGCTTGGGGAGTAGAACAACTACCCGAAACGCTTTGCGTAAT